CGGTACAGACTGCCGGACCTTGGGAGAGAGAGAGAGAGAGAGAGTCTGCTAAAGTTGCGTCGGGATGCCGTGCTACATGATTATACCGCGCTTGTCCTATGCGTGCCCTGTTTCGCTTCTTGTCACGAACTGGGGTTCTCCAGCATCCGAAGCCAAGCAGCTGTGCCCTTGTGCGAACGTGCAGAGAAGGAGACAGCTGATGCCATTGCAATGCTGGAGCAGCAGCGAGCGACGCCCTCTGAGGTGACCTTTCAATTTTTTGGTAGGTGGGGTGGCGACGAAAGCTCATGCATTCGTAGACACGTCAACAGTGTATTGCAAGCAATTGTCGTGTGATGTGTTTTCTGCAACCGCTTTCTGTTGCATGAGTTTGAGCAGCACCACCGTTGCTTGATTAGTCTGTCATGCGTGGCCAGGCATCCGGAAGGAACATCTCCTTTCCAGAAGTCGAGAACGCCCCCTCGACGGACCCTTGCGGAAGTACGGAGAGCTGGGCACAGCAATGCGCAAACCAGACTCTTTGCTTTCCAACGTTGCTCCACCCTGAGGACTTCACTACGGCTAGCTGGGCTCAAATCTGGAAGAGGTTGGTGCCCATCTTTGGAGAAATTTGGCCCCAGGCAGGAGAGCTGTTGTCTGTGTCCGCACGACCAACGACACGTACGGACATGTCGAAGTCTTCTGCCCAAGAAACCAAAATAAACTACATAATCCGGAAGTCAGTAGTTCTTCCATGCGCTGACTTGATGAGGCAGTCAATGTCGCCACGGTCTTCGCGGTCACCATGTGTCTGGGACGAAAATGCCAGCCAGTGCTGGAGATTGAGACAGCCATGTAATGAAGCACTGTTGAAAGCTCCTCCTGAGTAAGCACATTCCGCGGTAGAATTTGCGATTGTTTCCGAGGACTGTGTTTCCAGGTGTGATGGTGCACTGGGAGCCTAGTGCCACCAGTCCTTTCGCAAAGGCAGTGGGGGGAGCTTGCATGAATTTGAATGATCTTACCGCTTTGTACATTATATTTGCGGCGGTAGCATGTGGATGGACTTCCTGTTCAACTCCTCGCAATCAGCGGCTTGGTGCACCACTCTGCTGTTTCGGATTGCAGGTCTGAGGTGCTGGCTATGTAGGAACAGCGGAACAGCAACACAACTGCAGCCCTGTATGCTGAAGCGCTCCGCTCTCTGACCATGAAGCCTCCATTGCAACCATGCCTGATGTGAAACAGGCCACGCAAGTCTATGGAAACCTGCTCATCGGTACATTCCAGGCAGGCAGTCTATTCTTGCCTGCAGAACTCGGCAGCGACATCACTGGGACGGATGCCTCGCTAAACTGTATTTGTTATGCTTGCTTTTGTTGCTGCTTGGCTTGGCCGTGTTCTGCTGTTGCTGTCTCCACTGTTTGCGGTTGCCTTTTCTGTTATTTTCTTGGCGCTTTTTCGCTCTGCTTGTAGTTGCTTGGCTTTTTTGTTTGCCCCCTCTTGCTTCTGCTTGCCCTGCACATTGTTTCTGTTTACTCTTTCGTGCAAGTTTCGTGTTACGTTTTTGTTAGTTAGCTGCTTGCCTACTTTTCCGCTGTTGTGCTTGTGTGGTTAGGCTTAGCTTTGCTTGCATCTCCTTGGCTTCTCCCCCAGCTTCGTACTGAATGTGTTTGCCTCGCAGGCTCCTGCTGCTTGTCTTGTTTTCGTGCGCGAGAACCGATAGGGACCCACCGAGCATATTGCGCAACGTTCGACAAACACATGGTTTGTCAGTCGCTCATATATGCATATATATATATATGTGTGTGTATATTTATATGTATATGTAGCTGTGTGTGTGTGTGTGAATTTCTTGGTTCTCAGTAGCTTTTGCTCATGTTATCAGAATGTTTCGCTGCATACATAGTTGTTGTTTGGTGTTATCATTCTTCATGTTTTCCCATGTTATTCGTGTCAGCGTGCTTATCTTGTTGATTCTGCTATGCTGCATAGGCTATGCAATGGCTATACTCCTTACCTATCCGCTTGTAAAAATGTTGCTGATGTTTTGGTCAGTTCAGTTTCTGGCCGTCCTGTAGCTTTGGCTTCGGGGCAACCTCAAAGTTCTTTTTTTGTACGATGCCAGAATGTCAGATCCGTCAACATTCTTTGAAATCTTGGCTAATTCTTCGAAAAAACCGTTGTAGTTGCAAGTTGCAAGAGCCTGCAGCAAAGACCCAATAGAACGCGGTGAAATTCCGTGTGGGTTCCAGCAAAAGCGGAGAGACGACGGACTTGTGGCCGTGGGTGGCGGAAAGGTTGCTGAAGGTATCATGACTGATGTAGCGCCTAGCCACTCAGACATAGCACTGTGATACAGCATGAATGCCATAATGCAGCTTTGCGACAGGTGGGTGATGTTGTGGGGCGATCATTCGCAGGTCCGGTCGGAAGGTGTATTGGGCCGACGCTTGGTTGCTTGTAAAACTTACCTCGGCAGCAGTCTACCTTCAGCTTGTACTCTGATGTACCATGATTTGATTTCCTTGGCCCTACCCAAAGAGACAGCGAATGCGCAAATCGGAGGAAGCGATTGTGGATGCCAGTCTTCTTGCGCCTTGCCTTCATTTTCTACTGGTCCCAAGGTTTGCTCGGTGAGTGCCTTAGCATGTTGGCTTGGGGTTTGGCTTGCCTTTCCAGGGGCTTGTGGGCCCAAACTCTTGGGCTGAGGGTTACCTCCACAAACAGGTTTTCTTGAAGGCAGCAGAGAATGATTAACCGTTATCGTGGCTATCGTGCATACGATTCATGCTTACAAGTGCCGCTACTTCACCGAGGCGGTTTATCTTCATTCCTCTTTTCATGCTCGGGCAGCGCTCGCCTGAAGCTTGTGTGCTGTGGGGACACTTGGCCTGACCTCCCAACTGGAGCAGTGGATCTGTACCGGACTTCAATGCCTGAGTTTTGCAGTTGACACCTCAGGATCAGATATTGGCCGAGTCTGCATGTGCGGGCTTTTCGCCATTAGCAATGGCTTGCTGGCATCCGGGCAGCAGCAGGAGCAGAAAATAGTTCAGAGACAGGTCAATTAGACTGAGAGCCTGCAGGTGGTGTGTGCATGGCAGCCCACTCGAGGCAAACCTCGCCATGATGTATGGCCCTGACAGTTGCAGCACACAGGAAAAGCGTGAAGTCGCAGGCAAGGCAAAGCACGCTCCAGCAAATGTGGCAGATGCGCGTCCTCCTTTATAATCTTGGATGTTGGGACAGGCATGGCGATGAGTGCTACTATGGTGACAGGCACTGGGCGCAGCGGCACAACCGCTCATTGCATCTACTTTGGAACACGCGAAACCCAAGAGATCCGCAGTTGTAGTCGGAAGACACATATTACATGAAAACAGGTGCCCACATGCTTGAACAGCTTTTTTAGTCATTTGCTGATCTGTGTGAGGCATCTTTGCCGGCACACTGCTGGCTTTTGTGACGCAGATCGGAGCCACAGAAAATGTAAGCCCTGCTCTCAAAACATTTTCCATTCTTGGAGTGTAGGTGGAAAAGAATCCCCACGCCAGATTGCTGCCAGATTCGGCTAGTTAAGCATAGATCAGCCACTACGCAACAAACAGGTTGGGATTGGCGCACCTGCTGCTTCAAGATCTGTAGCACCTGTTTGTTGGAGCAGGGTCGTTTCACAGGTAAGGAGGTCACCTCCCGAAAACCTGGAGGTGTGATGCCGGTGATGCCATAATGCTATGTAGAGACCTGGTGCGGTAGGAGTGATGAAGGCTTGCAAGCCTTCGACGTGTTGATTAAGCAAGCTGTGTAGGGGTTCGTGCAAAAGGCACCTGCCCGTGCCTCCTGTGATGCTTGTTCGCAGGTCGTACACTCGAGCTTGCCATTACAGCAGTGTAAATCTGCATCCTATCTGGATCGTTTGATGGCTTTGCAGCCGAATCCGAAAAATCCAAGCAAGGCATGTGGCTGATCGCTCTTTGCCGATGCTTGCCAACTTTGCAACTGTTGCCTATTATTGACTCTATAGACTTGAGTGAATGGCTTCGGTTGAAGCCTGACACCTGCGCTTGTTTCCGCTGATTCTTTTGAACGCTTATTTGGCCGTGAATCAAAAGGTTTGGCTTGTAACAGGCCCCCCGGGGGGGCCGGCGACAAAGCTTGTAACAAAAGGGTCTGAGCGAGAGTTTGAAAATCTGGATTTTCGCAGCCAGTCCGCGACAAGGCCTGGACAAGCGCCGCGACAGCTTAGTGGCCCAAACGGCAGACAATGTCCAAGCAAAACGTATCAAGCATTGAAACAGCCCTGAATTCAAACGTTCTTTTTTGGCTCCAGGCCCCTATAACACCTAAGCCTTTTTCTTGCCCCATTTCTGCGGCGCCTTCAATGTTTGTAGCAACAAATTCAGCATTTTGGTCTGCAAGCGAATCATAAACTAGTGTGTAGAAGAAGAAGAAGGCCGCGCGACAGGGCATGAAACAAGCCCTCCGTGACATGGGCTTGTCATTGAGGGAAGGCCGAGCCCCGTGACGAAGGGGGTTTTGATTCACAGCAGTTTGGGAACGTGAAAGTAATGCAAGATACTGCGAAACTACTTGTTTCTGCATTCAAAAGAAGATGAAACGTCTGCCGTACACTAGTATCGATCAGGAACATATCCAAAGGCTGTGGCCCGCTGCGGCACGAAGACCACATGACATCAGTGTCTTCGCATGCCACGAAACGCATGCGCATGCAATAAAAATTTAATTTTATGACTTTCTTGTGCATTTGGGCGAGAGCATTCGAAAACACACCGACCCTTCACACAGGCTGGACTTTGGACGTAAGCGCGCTTAAGCATGTTTGAGCGGCCCCTCACGGAGGGCCGGCTGGGAGCAGCGTCCGAAGTGAGGAGCGGGATCGTGTTCGTAGCTGTGTCGTGCTACGAGGGCATGAGTTCAGTGTTGTGTTGCCTCGCATGTTTCCCCCAGATTCCCCTCCCCAGCGGTTCCTGCAGAGCCCCAAGTTTGACACATCCCAGGCCGAGCTCCGATACATTTTTGGAGGATGCCGAGGATGCCGAGAGTGTCAGCGGCCCGGAAACAGTTCAGCAGCATGAAATGCCAGCTATCTAGCGAATTATCGAACCTAGACCTATTGCAAAGCATGGCTGTCCTTATAAGCAGCACCGTAAGACGAGCGATGCGATGTGTCAGGATTCGCCCATCTCTCGATACTCTCAGCCAGGAAACCGTTTTCCTCGAAGCTCCGAGAGTCGAGTCCTTGGCACAGGCCCTGAGCGGCGCAGTCTCGACTCGATGACTTCATGGCTGTGTTGCTGTTGCTGATGCCCGTGCGCGTTCCTCCCTCAGAACCGGCACTCACCAGGCCGAATTGTTTGGTACTTGGGCTATGCTTTGGAAAGCTTTCTGAAGAGCTTTTGCGGCATCCAGGTCGGAAATTCCGTCATCCGTGTAATCCCGCCCCTGGGCCTTGATGCTGTTTGTTTAATTGTCTTTCTTCAAAACTGTTGTGAGCTAAGGGTCCGCAGATGACTCGTCCATTCCTTCCGCGCTCGTATCCATCACAAGCAGGACTCGTCGACTAGCACCTGCGATTCGCACAGAGTTCTTGAAACGCTCAAGTTGCGTGCAGCTGCCAGGTACAAGCTCACCAGCCTGTGTGACGCAATGGAAGGCCATGCTGGCTAGATGAGCAGTGCGCACATAATGCACGCTGCAATTTGAAACAGCTGCAAAGGAGTGGTCGAGCGAAGATCCCATTATCTGAAAACAGCAGCCTGAAGCAGCCTTACTACTTTGGTATAGTGCTGCATCGCTACACTAGCTGTCAGTGTGTCTTGATCGCTCGAGGTGACAGCTGAGTTGCCTTTGCGCCGGCCGAGTGCCAGGCAAAGGTTTTCGGTGGTTTGAAAAATGTTTCTCGGCACCCCAGTTGGTTCGAAGTGCCTGGCTGCCCTTCGATAATATGGCGGCGTGTTCGAAGCCAACGGTCATGTGTATTTAGTGTAGTTGGCTGGCTGGCTGGAGGCTTGCTCTGCTTGTACGTGTGCGCAGGCAGAGTACGCGGCGCATGTCCACTTTCGAAAAGATTGAATTTCTCAGCTCAACACATGACTTGGCAACTTGGCTGTCGCAGGGATCTGATGCAGGTCTCCTACCACGGTGGCCTTCGCCCTTTGCGTCCGAGCACAGCCATAAATGGATCACCAGGGTTTACCGGCGAATCACTTCAGTGTCTTGGCCTCATCAGAGCAACATTCCTGAAGTTCCGCAGTATGCAGTATGCTGGAATCTTCACACGTGACTCCGGACTCAGCCTCGGCCACCAAGGGCTTGATGGATCGCTGGAAACAGTTCTGGCACGGTTTCTGATATGCCAGATCAAGCCACGATGTTTCACAATGTGAAGGTGTGGAGGCGGAGCAGTTTAAAGTCTTGGTGACCTTGCTACCGTTGGGATCGTGTCTCACGTTTGGCATGTTCGCAATGTTGATCTATACAGGCGTGGACTGGACTGTCAGAAGCCGGCTGTGAAAGGGGTGAAAGGATTCAAAGTGAGCATGTCGCTGCTTCAGGGTCGCTTGCCTGCAGCCTGCAAGGGTTAAAGGTCAAGGGGTTTAAGGCATTGGGCTTCTAAAGGTCTATCAACTCCCTAGACATTCTGTCCTTTGAGGAATGCACGACAGGAATGCGTCGGCATTTGCCTCAAAGATCTGCTGTAGAGGTGGTGATGTTCTTGGTCTGCATCACGCATAGCTTGCAATGCAGCTTGCACAGCCCTGTGCCGAAGCACTTTCCATGATAAATCCGTTTCGGTAGCTTTTGCTTGCAGCTTTATTGTGCACCCTTGCAAACCCCAGCTCTCGACCAAACTCTCGGAAGCAAGGCCGGCATCCTGCCCAGGAGTGGTATTGATTCTGGTATGCTACAGACAGCTCAGGCCACGCACACCGACAAGGGTCCAAGGATACCCGTGACCACGCAAGCTCAAAGCTCCGGAACGCTAAGCCCTCAGCACCTCAAGGTCGAAGCCCACATATCCATAAAAAAACCTTCAGACCCAGCTATTAACATCCATTTTGCTCCCCCAAACCCGGTACAGCAAGCCTTCGCATGGCCGCATCACTCCACGCGCTGCGGCTCCGACGTCGAGTGAGAGGCTGATCGGTGTAGCTGCCCAGGTTACCAACTCGACTTATAAGCCCCGTACTGAGCAAACTAATGGAACAACATTGAAAGAGCTTATACCTCCTGACAGTCGGACACTGAAGCAGCGTTCGGAGGTCAACTGGTTAGATAGATTGTGTGAAGATCTCAAAGCAGTCCAGAGGCCCCAGATGCGTGCAGACCTTGGCAGAGGCGGAGGCGTTGGCACCCTGGCCATGTAATGCGGAAGTTGCGGAAGTTGGAGGGTTCTGCAACCCGTTGTGTCAACTAGAGTCAACCAAGCTTGCAACCCGTCAGCCGAGGTGGCATCCATCCGCAGTGGCAGCCTTGCGCGCCAGGAGGCGCAGCCCCGATTCTGAGACTCTGACAATTCACAGGAATCCAGCACCTGGAGAGCGAACGCAGTTGAGTGCATCCTGAGGTAACTTGAGGCTTGAGTCGTCAGTCGGAATGAAAGATGGGACTCGGTAGGCTTTGAGTTTGAGAGTACTGTATCTACAAACCACCTAGATGATGCGATCTACAAACCTTGTCGCCGTCAGACTGCCCACGAGCTGCAGATTCTTCATCGGCGTCAGGCTTTGACGAAGCTGTCAGACGTCCTGCCTGCAACTTACAGTACCTCAAGAATTACTGATCAGTGCTCGATTGGGCGGTGGTAGGATCCACAGCAGGGTTGGGCCCAACTCAGGGCACAAGTAAGGGTATCTGATCCTGAAGCTCGTCTCAGATTCGTTTCCTTAAGGGCCCCAAAAAGGATTTGAAAGTGCTCTGAAGCCCAGGAGGTGACCATGGCAGTGGCCAAAGCAGGCAAAGTCAGCCTTTGGGAAGACGCCGTGTGGCTGCTGGAGGCCGAGGAATTGGGCCCAATCAAAGTTTGAGAGGGCGATTAAGGGTTCTGGGATGCTCGAGTATTTCAAAGCGTTTTTATGTTTTCTAAAAGCTCGGGGTGTTGGTGCGTTTAGCAGTCGTCGACGTGTGGACAAAAACGTGCTTCAGGCGCAAATCTCGAAACCAGTTCGCGCCCAAGCAAGAAAACTTCGTGATAAGTTCTTCTTTCTTGATCGCAATGGCCTTGACAATTCCTGACACGGAAGCACCACCCTGCCAGGGCGTGAAGCATGCGTCGAACATGAAGCCAGACATGATCTTGTATGGCGCTGTCATGAGCGCCTGCCTCTTGGCAGCGCCCAGCATGGGAGACCTTGTCAGCGCTATCTCAAACCTGCCCTTTGAGAAAGTTGCCGAGGAGTTTGCTCACAGTTGTGGCAAGTAAGTGTTTGGCCTGAAGAGCCACGAAGGAACACACCCGAACATGCACAATTCTGAGAGGCTGTATTGTGAGGGAGGTGGGGGCGGGGTCATGCTACGTAATGTACGAGGAAGGCCAATCATCCTTTCCCCCGCTACCAGCTCCATTTTAATCCGCTTGTTAGTATAATAAAGCTCATCTGAACATCCGTTCAGCCGTCTTAGCCAAAATCTAGGCGAGAAAGCCCGGCAGTGGCGCCGGGCTTTGGCTGCTTTTGCAGAGGCAGCAGATCGAGGACTGGAGCCGGGGCTCGTGGCCACAAGCATCGCCACTTGAACCCGGACCTGAAAACGCCTTCAACTTGTAGGGTTTTTGTGTGCACTTCGAGGGCTACATATACAGGGTTTCCTGGTTCTGGAAGTTCTGGTCCTCCGAAGGGAGCCTTCAACTTTCGACTTGGGCTCTTACATCATCCCCAGGGCCCACGCTGCAACAAGCAAGAGCGCTGGTTGTTTGAGGGCATTTGAGGGTTCGTAGCCCGTGAAGATCCTTGGGCACGCAGAGGGCATAGGCAAAGCCCAATCTTAGGCCATCACAGCCTATGGGCGTGGTGCCCTGTGGGAGAAGTCCATACAGACGCTCAGGCGCTCGCAGTTAAGTCCAGGATTGAGGGGCACGTGGTACAGTTTGCAACGTGCTGTCGTTGACTTGCGCGCCGCATCTTTGCATTGGAGCAGCCAGAGACCGGTTCATGAAGCAAGTGACACAGTAAAGTCTACAAGTTGGCATGCTGGGGTGCTTCGTCTCGTGGATAACATTTGGTGGTTGCAACAATGCGTAGGACCTGCAGGTATTGTTTTTCGAAACGAGTCGTTTTGTGTCCATGTTGCTCCCAGTCCGGAGGCAACTTTCCGACAATGGCCTGCAGCGCCTGAGATGAGCAGTAATCCAGCTATCCAAACATGCCACAGGTTCATGGCAGCAGACTGTACCTGAGGCACTTGTAGCCCACGAGTCGACTAGTCGACTAGTGTCTTGTGCCTGCGCCACCAGCGAAGTTGCGCCAGCTTCCACTACCGCAGCTGCTGCTTCTGGTCTTTTTCATTCTGCGGCGACAAACGCTATTGCTTGCGCTTGCGTTTGCTATTATCGGTCTGCTCGTATTGCTTCTATTCACATTGCAAGTGCGAGGGTAGTCTAAGAAGAATGTTGCATTCTATGTTGTCTTAAAATTACAATGAACAGTCACGTGCCTTTTCATGTCTAGGCTGCTCTCATTTTCGCTACCTCGGTCAAAATTGCATACCATACGTTACTTCTGCTCATTATGAAGCCTCGCGGGTTTTTCAGGTTCGCGTTCAAAGGCGAGGATCGTTAGAGTCCAGTGCATAGGCCCTGCGTTGCTGTCGGGTCGGATCAGGAGGACGCGGTCGAGAGCAGTGCAAGAAGTCTTCAGGGAGTTTTACGTTGGCGTTAACATGCATGTGCGAGGAACATACCACCTTCTATCCAAATTACACGTTTGATGAACATCTGATTCCTTTCAAGGAGTATGCCGCAGCTAAGGCCAAATGTGGTCACTTACAACGCGACCATAAGTGCCTGCGAAAGAGGCCGATGCTGCCCTGCCAACAGAGTTTCGATCAAGTCGCGACAAGGTGCAGAGCATTCACACTAGTCACCGCTTCGGCTGCAATTTGGCCCAAGATTTATGCTACCTGGCCTCCGTGCCCTTGTGCTTAAGCCATGGGGAATGTGCTTGGCTTTAGAACAGCTGCGGACCGCCAAGCCATGATTGCTGCCCAGCGAGAGGAAGCATTGAAACAAAAGGCACGGCCACAAGGACTTGGCTTGTGCTACGCGGATAGGGCTTATTGGGAGTTCGGGCTCGTCATTTCCCTGCTCCTCTGTTAAGGCTTCCAGCAGGGTATCTTTCGTACTTCCTTTTTCGATTTTCCATCGGACGCTTCACATTCTTCATCTCCTTGTTCGATAGGGTTCAGGGCTTCGCACACGCCATCTCCTTTTGTGGCTTTGGGCTCGGGCTCGTCCGGCTTCGCACCTGTTTCCAAGGTTCTTCCTCGCATCTCCTGTTGCATGTGCGTCTTTTTAATTCACCTGCGAGGGTCACAGTCCCACTTTCGCATTCATGATCTTCCCCTTTCGCAGTTTAGGCTAGGGTTCGTGCATTGTGCGCGAATCAGTAGCCTAATGGATTTGCGCGAATGCGCTGTGCATGAACCTGTCTTTCAGTGCACGAGTTGATTCCTCCAGTGAGCAAATCGGTCACATGCCTGGCCTTTGATTCCTATACGTTGTGTCAAAATGTCGGTGCCAGCTGACGTGTGGCGTTCAGGCACTACAAGTGCTGGCCACCACTGTTAGCGGCCAAACGTTCGAGGTGAAGGTTCTGCCCAGTGACACTGTTCGATACTTGACCCTTGGTGCGCAAAGACGCAAAGTCACAGACCTTCTGTAAAGACACATGGTCCATATGGTTCGGTTCAGGAAGTCGTGCCTGGCTGAACCATCTGGTGTTGCGGCGCACCAACAGCGGCTTCTTTCAGACACACGGGTCCTCAAAGACACGGAGTTGCTCGACGCCGTAGCGGTTCCTTGCCAATGTTTGGCACTACTATTTCTCTGTTCTGACTCGAGACTCGAAGCCATCCCAATGGCCCGGCACATCTTCGTGACGCATGGCAATTCGAGTGTCTCCAAAAACTCGGCAGGGTGAATCAAGCCTTCAGAACAAGTCGGTTGAACCTAGCTCCCTACGGTCCTCCTCCGGACAAATTTGGTTACATGTCAAAGTGAAACCAGAGCACCTGCCAGAAGTGGCGTATCAATGTCAACAGACTGGCTCGCTGTTCGCAAATCGTTCTACCGCAGTTGCTTGTTCATGTTCAAACCGGGCTGAGCAAGTTGTGGGCATGGCCCGGTGCGGCGGCGGCAACTGTGCCAACATAGACTCATAGCCTGAAGGCCTGTTAACATCATTTGTTTTCGGATGCGTTGAGCTCTTTTGGTTTGTGGAGATTTGCTTCCGAAGGGGGCAAGAAGCAAGAGCAACCCCGAGCCCCTCCCTGCCCAGTGGTTCGCCCTGCCAGGCGAAACTATAAACCATCTGAGAGCTTAGGCGTGAGAGAGTCGAAAATCTGTTCTGGTTCCTGCAGTTGTAGGGAGTTCGTTCAGGGTTCCTTCAACAAAGTGGGAGGTTCCTGTGGTATCTGGTGTTGTCATGCCCCACTAGCGTAGAACCACAGCAGTCGGGGCGATCTCAGGTGCCCGATCGACCTCTTGAGCTGACGCTGGTGATTGGACCGACGCCAGCTTGACGTTGCAGGTTTTCTGTGGACGAGTTCGGGTGCGCAGTAGGCCTTTTAGAGCCCCGCCTTGGGGTTTTGTGGGGGGCTTGAAAGGTTATTCGGCATTTCTCAATGAACTGTCGCCTTCCAGGCGACATGCCAGGTCAGCCTTGCCATCACTTGCGCAGTACCCGGGCCCACCCTAAGCCACTAACATCCGCGAAGTTCTCCGCACATCCCGGCAGCTCGAAGCCCAGGCCAGTCCCCAAGTGGGCCTTCGAATTGGGGTTTGACGGAGACCATCCTTCCTTGCTGTGCCTAGGCTTAGGGCTTAGGAAAGCATCTTTTCTGTTAATGGGAATCTTCTGATGAGGCTTCTGTCGTTTTTGCGGACCGTCCAGTTGCGGATCGTTTTTTGGGATCTTTGAGCTCTCGCTTGCAGTGTTGAACCTGAGCATGTGCAACAAAGTCGGGGCTGGGCCCTTCTGAAACAGAAGTTCGGAGACTGGGCCAGAGACACTTGAGCAGGCGAATGTACTTCCAGCAGCACAGCTCTTCTGAACGGCGGCTCGACACAGGGCTGGGAGGAGGCAGCTTGAGCTTTGTGCCATGATGTGAGAAAAATGAGCGGCACCAGGAGCCCCTGACCATCCCCGACACCCACGTTTCAGTTAGACCAGTCCATTTGTAGTAGCTGCACTGGCATTTTCGGAGGGTGAGAAGCGACATCTGCAAAACTTGCCACAACAGGTCTTTTCACATCCCCAAACCTGCTTCACCAAAAGCCAAGGAGAGAGGACTGGCTGGAGGACTGCCGGATCATGTCACGTTGAAGGGGAGGTGCTTCATTGTAGATGCTGTGTATTACATTGTGATGGCCCATAGCAAGAGCGGCTCAGTCAGCGATGGTGATGGTGCTGGATGTGGCCTAGTGTTGAGCATTGGGTCGTGGGCTACTTCCGTGCAAATGATCCGCACCATGACATACCCATTACTTGGAAATCCATGACACAGTGAGGATGACGCTCAGTGTTGGGATAAGCTGGAGAAGAGCATGCAGGCGGGAGAGGGCAGGAGCTCGGCATGTCAAAACGTTCCTTCTCCATTCTTTCCCTTTGCTTCAACTAGTCACTACGCAAAAGGCTTTTGTAAAGCAGGCCGTAGGCCATCGGCCATAGGCGTCAACAAATAGAATTGCGCATTCCGTCAAGACAGCTTCGTTGATCGCGCCCTGACAACGCCTCTGTTCCGGCAGGCGAATGCAGAGCGCTTGGCAGCCTTGCAGGGTTGGAACCACGAGGCATGCAAGACTCGCCCCAAGCGTCTGTGGTGCCGCTTTGAGCTTGAAATTTATCGCAGGTGAAACTCTTTATGCAGGATGAGCCGATGCACATCATCCATGCTTCGCCGGGTCAGGATCAGTGGGTTCATTCGACCCTGAAAAGACACTGAGAGAAGGTGACACTGTGTTTTGGAGAGGTCTCGTTGCCTCGAAGACTAGGCAAGCAGTATGCGAGCGCTAGTGGGGGAACTCATGTAGAGTGGTGGCTGAGCATTAAAAAAGTGTTCTCTAAACATATTGATGATTCATGGCATCCCTGCATGGTAGCACGTGCCTAGTCAGGAACTTGGTCCTGCCAGGAAGTGAACTTGCGTGCGGATGTCCGCATACAAAACAACCAGGCAGATTCATGCATACAACAGCCTTTTGGCAGAAAACGCTGGCCTTATTGCCGCTCATAGCAGCTGACGATGTGTCGCCGATTAGCTGAGGCTAGTTCTCGCGATGGACACTACGATTGTGGGTGAGCTTTACAATGGAGTTCCAGGCCATACATGAGACACTTGAATGTGCTGTGGGAGGGATCGCGCTCGTCGCCCTTCCCCTGCGAGGGCGCCCTCCGTTGCCACCCATACATGCCCTAACATGCCCGACATCTAGATGAAATAGCAAACTCTGCACGACAAGACCGGAGCCAAGTTCTGCTGAAGGCCGGGCTCGCCAATCGTCTTCAAGAGTGCGATTCTCCGCACCATCTGCGGCTGGAGTCCACATGCTGTGGAGGCAGGGCTGAACATGTGCTGTGGCAAGCGTGAATACCATTAGCTCGATGCTTGTTTAGATTGTGGCTTCTGGCAAGAAACCGTCAGCAAGTTGGAGGAAGAACGACCTGCAGTATGGCATGGCGGATGCGCGGCGTAACTTTGAGAACTCCGTCAGGAAGCCGATGCCTGAAGATTGGTATCCTGACAAGTTCGTGGGTTGGCTGATCGTAGATGCGTCAAACGGGTCATCCACCTGACAGAAAATGCCTTCAGATGGGTCCAGCTGCAGTGCCACTTCGCGGTGGTGTGCAGATGCGTGGACGCTTATTTACAGGAATTGATGAATCATTGATGAATATTATTCCTGCATAGCAACAACAAAACTTGTGTGCTTGTATAATGTCGTCTCTGGCTGAAAGGCCTTCTCATTGGACCCAACACTCTGCAGCGTCAGGACGTTGCAGTCGTGCAGGTAGAGAATCCGAGACAAGAGGCCTCAGAGAAGCGATCCTGGTGCCCACTGTACAGGGCTGTCGCAAAGGCGCAGTCGCCAGGACGTCGATTCTTAGAGAAACCATTGATCTTGAGCGGAGTGATACTCCAGGTGCCACAGGTCTCTGCTCAGCAGTGCTCAAAGAAGTGCTCAAAAGGTAGGGGAATGGGCTGCTGGTCCCAGCCTTGCGCTTCTTTGCAAAGTGCGTGGCATCAGGCCAGCAGTCGAGACCAGCTCTGGCACTTCTTTGTGGCTGGGCTGCCCACGCGGGGATTGATGCAGGTTGTCTTCAGGATACCAAAGTTGAGGCTGCTCTGGACATACTCAACATCCGAGAATCGCATGGTGCTAGCTACGCTGGACTCTTGAGTTTCATCTCAGGTGAGATGCCAGAAGCAGAGGTCCCACCTGACCTGATATCCTACAACGCTGTCGCTCGACCTCCTATATGCTTGCAGTCAGTGTACCTACACCTTGAATACAGCCCGTAGAGGCCGTGGAGAACACGCACTCTTGGACATTGGAGGTTCTAGAGCTCAGTGCACCTCATCCCTCCAAGCATTGCAGGCCATCAACGCGTGTGAGAAGGCGAGCGACTGGCAAGCTGCCTTGGAGGTTTTCTTGGCAACGCCCCGCGAGCTACCAAATGAGATCACCTACAATACGGCCATCAGCGCATGCCACAAGGGCTCTCATTGGCAACTCGATGAGAGGTGCTTTGTCAACAGCATCAGGTAGCAAATGTGAATGCCAGGGGTTGCTGGCAACTTGCACCACAAACTCAGGCAAGGTTCAGTGGCGCTGTTCAAGACGATGGAAGCCCGAGCTTTGGCGTCCTGTCTGAATAGTTGTCGCACTGAGGCATCTCGGCCAACTAGCAGAAATGTGGAGAACTTTTGGCTGCCTGAAGCAGGTGAGACATGCTTGTCAGCTTGCCAGGCTCCCAATGTCATCACTCACAGTGCAACAATGGCATCTTGTCTACGAGGATCTGCTGGAATCAGTATGATGTGCTTTTTGACTGGAACGATAAGCCAGTTCTGCAGTTGACTCAAAGAACTGCTGCCCCACCTTCATATGTCTTACTAGCAAAGCCTTCCAGGAGATGCCTGGCAGAAGGCCCTGGAGCTGTATGGTCAACTGCCGCTTGCTGAGCGCGAGCTTCGGCAGATAAGGAGACGGCATGTTCGGTAGGCAAAGAGTGCATTGCCCAGTTTGCCCAGAATCCTTGAGCCGAATTGAAAGGAAGGCAATCCGATTATGGTCGGGCTGATGCTCCAGGCCAGGGTTTACATACCTTTGGAGGCTGAAGGGTGGAACGCGTATCCGGGACTGTGTTTTTCATTTGGGCTGGGCTTAGCTTCTTTGAGTTTCGGGGGGCCCTGGGCAGGCCCGCGGGCTTCAGCGTAGATGTGGCATTCTTGGGCGGAAGCACAGGAAGTGTAAGAAACTGTAATCAGATTCCGGATTCCGAGCAGCACAATTCTTAGATATTCTTAGGCTGGGGCTTGTTGCCAAAGTCGGTTCTCCTCCTGAGCATGGCAATAGTGAAGGCGTTCATCGTAAGTTTCAGGAGGTTGGTTTGTCCGGGCTAGTGAGCATGCGAATGTCGCGGCTGACCTTTGCGAAGGGATCCGGAGGCAAAAAAAGGATTATGGCAAGTTAGCTCTACCCGAATTGAACAAGCTCTGCATGAGTGTGCGCCGCCTTTCCAAGCCTTTCCCCATCGTCAGCATGCACTGGGTGCAAAGCAATGCAGGGCTTACATCTCCTACGTATCAGCCAGCAGCTTCGGGAGCCCTTCATGAAAAAGAGCCAGCTCGTTTTTTTGGGATGCCGGGCAGAGACGAGGGCTGAACCTGATTGAATCTGGGCCTTCGCTGTGTAGTGAAATGTCGGACCATTCGGACCGTTTCCTTGCCGTGAGCGCTGAAGTCCCTGTGAAATCCTAGCCCAGTTTCAAGCGCCTCGAGGCACTCGGAGCGGCTAAGGCCTGGGAGGAGGCCCTGGCACACCTGCAGAGGCCGCAATCATTATTGTTTTTTGTTTATTATGCTTATTGTTACCAGTATTATTGTTATGGTTATTATTATTGTTATTATAAAGATTTGCAACCTGTGCCTTCGTTGAAAGCTCTGGGATGTTGGGGCATGTAGTGCCGCAAGGAGTTTTGAAGGCGAACATGTGAGATACTGGTAAGAGAGTTTGGAGCTCAGGCACTTCTGGGGCTAGTGTTCGAAATTGTTGACAAAGTTGTTCTCTTCAAACCTAGTCACGGAACCATGATTGGACAGGCTTGCAAAGCCTGGGTCGCGTGCCGTCGATGCGCTGTGCTTTACAGCTGCAGTGAGGCGCCCCGGCCATAATACTTTGGAAGGCTTCGAAACACGAGCATGACCTCGAAAGGGCACTCTGCTGCAGAGATGCCTCGCAACAAAGACAGCCAACATTGAAAGCAGCACGCGCCGGTGTCAAGCTGGACACAATCCAAGATCGAATTTCGATTCCTAGTTTCACCGACCCGAGCTGGACGTCATACGTGCGTTGAGGTCCTCCTTCAATCCCACCCAAACCCAAGAGACAAACAAGGACCTGTGGCGCTTGCGGGCCATGGGAATGGGCCATTTGGCAGAGTTCGGGTGTGTTTTGTAGACGTTTCATGGCTTCGTTGGTTTTGGCACTTGCTTGGATTTCACATCCAAAGAGCTTGGATTTGATGATTGTTGTTTGGGACACTAACTTCGCAAATGAAGTCTGCTCCATGCTACGCACGCCCACCTTTCCAAGGTCTGTGGGTCTGAGGGCGCTTCTCCTGCAGAAACTTCGTTTTGGCGTGTGAGCATGTGATGAATAAGAGTAATCAGAGGTTATCTCATTTGGATTTGGTTGCATGTCGTTTCTTTGGCCGCATGTCTGAGGCCGTGTTCCTGCTGGACAAAATGCAGGGCCACGGCTTTCTGCCCGATGTTTTGGGCTCAGTCCTCTCCTGGTGAGCTGTGCCGCCTTAGACTCGAACTGTGAGATCCCCTTTCACGCGGCGCACACGCTTTCAAGGTCGTTACAGCCACCTTGGTTCTCAGCGCCTGCCGGCACCTTGTCTCTTTACCAGAGGTTAGCTTCAAGAAGCATGGCTGATCCGACGCCTATGTCATGCTCGAGCAGGCAAGCTGGGCAATGGCAAGCTGCACTTCGCATCTTAAGAGAGACGATGCCGTCACTTGGTATCGATGCTTGGAGCATTCAGCTTCACTTTGCCACGGTATAGCTTATAGGCATCAAGCCGGAATGTTTCAAAGGTCACAGTACTTTAGGTAGAGGGCTCTTGGTCCCAGCTGGCTTGGCAAGAACGAAAAGCAGCTCCAATCTCCAAACGCAAGCAAGGAGCCGGGCACCTCAAGCATCAGGAATGTGTTGGGTGCCTGCTTCGAGGCTGGGAACTGGGTGTGCTTTGTAACTAGAGCCGCTAGACATGCTCAATTCTTGTTGGTCACTGCTGTTACAATCGGCCGTAGCCTCAGCTGGTCGAGTTGAGGCCAATCAGCTCGACGTCGGCTTGGAGTTGCTGAAGGTGCGCCGCTGCTCTGTGGCCTGCGCGCTAAAGATTACTGAAACATGCTGAAGCATTTGCATCCACCCTTTTTGTTCCGTGAGCTCCCATGCGGCCCAGGAGTCACCGCTGCTGAGGGCCCCCAGGCATCACGTTTTATCAGGACTAATTACCCAGGATCGCAAGTAATCGCGAGTGAGACCATTCGACGGGATAGGCGTGGCCAGAAGCTGCCGCTAGCGGCTGTTCTTATACAGGCCCAGCTGTTGCTAGGGTTGCGGACACAGATCCTGATTCAAGCGCCCCGGCTTGTCACAAACTTTATGGCATTCATGGTAAAACTAAACGGGAAGTGCAAGTTTCTTCAAGAAGTGAATCAGCCCAGGATTCTGCGGAATGCAGCCACGCGTTGCGGCACGTGGCCTCCGCGCAGATGTGGCAGGAGGCGCCTCTTGCGCAGATTCAGGTCGCTTCAGGTCCAAGCAGAGAACTGTCGTGGGAATTGACAGGCGCTCTGGCTCACAGGGCACATGCTGGAACATGGCCTCGAGCTGAGCGCAGGCAGTTCTTGGGCACATCCGTTGCAAAATAGCTATCCTGATGGCTTGTTTTCGCAGAAATATCTGATGATGTCGGCTGTGCCGTTCCTGATGAATATGCCCGCATACCCAACACGCCTGTTTTGCGACTGAGTGCCCCGGCATACACACACACAACTTGCGCCTGGCTTCATTCGACGCACGGAGCATCGGACACGGCAAGAAACTATCTGTGTCCTGCACCACTCGAAGCCCTGAGTTCCATCTTGGGCCTCCCTGACAAGGTGCCCAGCCCTTCCTGAGGAAGGTACCGCAGCTTGCGCAGCTGGCGGTCACAAGGTCAGGGTATCTGTGAAGTTTGTGTTGTCGGAAAGCAGGGTCCAAACTTTCAGAGGGCTTCTGAGAGTTTAGGGTGCATGTCAGCTCTCCCGCGTCAGATTCTAGGACACGCGGTTCTAAACGAGAATCTATGGAACCTGGTCTTGGTCTGCTTCCTGGCAGATCGCCGCCGCCGCCCGCACGTCCACAGCGGCCACCACCGCCTAGCGGACGGAAGATGGAGGCACCGATGAGCTATAGCGTTCTGAGTATTCCGGCAGCTTGTTACAGCTGACTTGGCATTGGCGTGGGTGGTCCGGGTGCCTCTGCCTTTGGAACGCATGCTGCAAGCTTCAACCTTGGCCTGAACTCTATGCAAGGGGCATGACGCGACTGCTGCACTGGAGAAGCGCGATGATGATGCGGCCTCTGAGGCAAGATGCTGTTCAGGTCAAAAGCCGCTAAGCCCGCCAAATATCATCTCCACCTCAGCAGGCTCATGGCTTAGTTCCTTAGCCAAAAACCTCAATGGAAGGGAGTCGTCCCAAACCCTCTCGAAGCTCAAGCCGCTCAAACTGTAAACTCTTCAACCCATCACGGACCCGAAGCCCGGCGACTTAGTCAACTTAGTCGACATGGCATCTTCTCAGTGTGGCTCTGGTAGAGACGAAAGGCAGCCGGCAGAACCACCGAGGCAACCATGGCAGTGAAGGCCTGCTCATGATTTGTTGTGCGGTGTCTTGCAAGGCGTAGCGCTGTGCCAGAAGAAGCAGATTGTGTTAGCTTGACTGGCCAAAGACGAGGCAGCAGAGCCAGACCAGCAAGAAGAGCAAAAGGCTTCCCGGCCAATGGCGGTTTTACTTTCGGGGTGAGGTGTCACAGTTTGCGCTCTGCCAAGGAGCTCAGCTACCGCGTCACTGAGAGGGGAGCCCCTCCGCCGCAAGACTTTCGGGATTTAACCCGGCCAAGGTCAGTGTATGTGTAGAACACGAAGCCTGCGCAATTTCGAATCCTCCATGCGCAGTGACATCACAGGCAGAAGGCAGCACACGTGGATCGCTTGCAATATATCTCAGGTTGGATGGCTCTGCTCTGTAGGTTGCAAACTAAACCCCGCGACCTGATCAGGCAGCTCTGATTGACCTCCACGGTTTGCCGGTGGAAGTGGCAAAGATTGCAGTGCAGGCGGTGACTGGTTGAGACTGCTTGAGGTTGAGGAGTGCAGAGCGGCACTGTCACGTGAAAGACCCGGTTCGGCGGAGAGTGCCGTTTTGAAGACAACACTACTACGCTTTGCAACAACTCTCTCTTCTCTTACAAAACACTGAAATTGATTTCTCTCGTTTTTGACCCCTCCCCCCGCCCCACTCTCACCCCCCAAGCCCCTCCCCTCCCACCCACGTCCCTACTCCCAGCACAGCACTGATGTGCACGAGCTGACGGGAAAATCAGGAAACCCATATCCAGGCTGCAATTCAGATCAAAAAAGAAGGGCACAAGCTCAGCCATTCCTTCGAATGTGATTTTTCTGCATGGTGGATGCCAACATGAAACCGTTTCACCTCTACGAGCCGCCTTACTCGCCTAAGCCCAAAAACAATTCCTTAATTGCATTGCAGGTGGCGCTTGAGGACTTGCTGCTGGGGCCACCAACGGGCAGAGCAGCAGCAAAGGACGGACGAAGCTCAAATCTTGTTTGCTTTGCCGCAGCACAAATGTGAGAGGCTCGGGGTTCCAGAGGGCACTGTCGGCAAGGAACTGGGTGATCTCATCATCGTCACCGGCAGGGGCAACAACAGCCCAGGTCATGTGCCAAGCGTACTTCTGATGAGCCGTTTTCGGTACTTTTTCATCTCTTGAGCTACATAACCTGGGAGAAAGTGCGGCAGCTGTGGGTTGGTGATTGAATGAACGCATTCCGTGGCAGGCGGGTTGGCCGTTGTACGGCCAGCGGTGATCGCCCTGCTCCGCGAGGCTTGTTGTGGGAGCTGTGCCTGACCGCATCAGTTTCAATGAAGCTGTGGGCTCTGGGCCTTGGCTGTGTGCAGGAGCTGAAGATCCGGGTGATAGAAACCCGCCACTGGCCCCAGAGCTTTCTTGCGGACTGCGCGACTTTATATGTTGGGACCTGCACGCTGTGGAGACACGATGCCATGGGTGTGGCAGTAAGCTCTACTTCAGTTATGCATATCCACGATACGCCTTCCCACTGATTCCCAAACACGTGCTAACACAAACGGAGCTACACTGCACCCAGCAGTCAGGCTCGGATGGACCCGGCCGGCTCCGCGTCCCCGCCTCCGAACTCCGGAGCTGATTTGGGAGACGAAAAGTGTCTAAAGCATCTAAGTGGTTAAAAGTGGCTTCATCTCATCCAAAACATGATGGACGACATGTCGGGATGTATCGCATTTAGGGCTTGTGCGTTTGGTCTACGGAGTCTGCGGACTCTATCAGGGATCAGGAAAAAGTAACTTAAATTGATATTGCAGGCTTGTATGGACAGCTTGGAGATGAGTAGCCTGTGAGAAGGACAGATGACTGTTACCTGTTCGTGCCCTTGTAAGAGCTAGTAACTAGCAAGTTGGAAGACGAAGCACGATGGTTGAGCCCTGCTGCCGTTTGGAGGAAGCTGCGCGGTGTTCCGAACCCGAATCGGTGAGAGCTGGCCGATGCTCGGAGCATGCCTGTGGAAAGCTATGCTGAGTGTGTGAAGAGTTGTATCTCGGCTGAGCTTGAAAAGCCCATGTCCTGTGTTCACAAATAATGTCTCCAACTCGTGACGGCGTGACTCTTCCATGGGCTCCACTCCGCAACGTCAAGACCCCAAGAAAGGCGTCAATCACGACCTGGGTTCAAAACAGGAGCGGCAGGATTTCATCATGCCAGATCTCATCATTCCCCATGGCTTGTTTCAGAGGGCTAGATGAAAGTGAAGCAGTTTTTGATCTTCCAGAGAAGGTGTTCTTGCTTGCAACTTTCCGATTCTTAAATCCCCTGAGCCGCGAGGCCGCTGAGGTTTCGCCCCAAGAATGCCGAAGCGAGTATCCCTCGATGTGTGGGACGTGTTAGAGAGCCTGAAGTTGTGCGGAGGCTGGTCGCTCTGGCCAAGGTCCCCCTTTCCCTCGGTTGTGAAAAGGCCCCCTTGCGCCGCCGATCTTGGGCTCAAACATGCTGAAGTTGGACAGATTGACATTCCGCCTCCATGTGCAACCGCTGCTTTCTACTTAGGACAGCATGAACGACTCGCAGCCCGCCGGCAATGGCACGCCCAACAGTGTGGAGACCACCGACTCACGCAAGAAGGGAGATTACAAAGAAGCCATCGCTTTCTGCAAATCCTTCAAAGACAAGTGTCCTGGCTCTGGGATGACCGAGGGTGGCGGGTAGCGAAAAAATGCTTTTGCGGGGACCAGTCACTGAAGTTCTGCTGTGTTTGCAGACTTCTGCTCTGCCGAGGTACGACAGATGCTTTGATGCTTGGTACCGTCAGGGTTTTCTTCGGCATCAGCTCAACAATCCTTGCGACCCTGAGTTTGAGGACTTTGACGCTGCGGGTAAGCTAGTCTTAGTGCAAGCTAGTGTGTGATAGCTTCAAGCTCATGTTGTCTGTCTCCGTTACATAGACGCAACCTCTGCCCTGCAGCTGCTTAAATATTATGCTTAAATGAGGTCTTGCGGTCGATTGCACGTGGCTTGCGCTCCGGTCGATTCGTCATGTGGATCGAACACACCTGCCACACCCCCTCTAGACTCTAGACCCTTAACCCTCAAGCCGACTTCAAGTCATCCGAATGGAATTTGTCTGAGAGTGGGCACCCACAACACTCAGCTAAATCTCCAGGATTACCGGGCCTGCATCCTCGAAGAGCTTGCCGCTCGTGGCCTGCGACTGCCTGGAAGCCGCTGATGTGCCAACAATGGATGTGGGGATTCGGGGCGCCGCGGTCGCGGGAGGAGGGGGGAGCTGGGGTGGCAGAGTGAGGCTCGATGAGGATGGGTTCCTTCTTGGCAGGAAGCGTGTTGGGCTTGACAGCTTGACAGGCCGGCCAGGTAACTCGGGTAGCAGACTTTGCCTGTGCAGGGCTGCTCGAAAGTTGAAGGCCATGCCGTTTTGCGTTGGCAGTTTTGAGGCCCCGTGCATACAGGCCCGACAGTCTGGAGAACTTTCAGCCGAGCAGCTCGATCTTTCAGACTGCTAGGGGCAGATTGCTCCAGGATCGCGTTTGGATGCGAATGTCATCGGATCGTTGCCACTGCAACCTCAAGAGGGTGGCGTGCACCGCGTGGTCAAAGTATGCAGCAGCACTACGCCACGTTGCCATGTACAAGCAAGCTGTCTCATGTTGAGGACAGCTATAGCTGCCCAAAGCTAAAGCTTGCACTCGCAGCGGGGCATGCTTTGGCATTCTGCCAACTTCCAGCCGTTCAAGACCCAGAGAATCAATGCCGTGAGCAGCTATCTCCAGAGTAGATGTTTACCTGGAACTTCGGTCTGATTTCGCGGAGCGCATGAAATGATCGCCAAGACGGTTCGATGCCTGCCGCTGGACTCATGAGCCATGTGCACCTAGAACTTGTGCAGAAAGCTTGGTGGACTTAGATGTTCAAGCCTCGGCGTCATGCAAGTCAGGTCAAGTACCAGGCCAATCGCTGTAAAGCACCTCAGCCATGTAAACCCACTCCATGTCCAGATGTGAGCTTGTTTCAAGCACTTGAAGCCGCAACCGACGTGCGGTCACAGCTGCTCTTCGTATTGCTGATGCGCTTGGCATCGCCATAACATGGACTCTTGTTGTTGCGATGGGCTTCCTCGAACTATTGGGCCGCCTGCGGCAGGCTGCGAGGGAGGAGGCTTCGATGCATCACTTGGCATGACTTGGATGAAAGGCTGTGCTTCCTGTAGATGCCACAGTTGCTGAGCCTAACCTCTCGTGCTACTGTAGTTAGTCCCAGCACGGCCCCATGCATCCATTCTTGTAGCCCTGGGAATCCCTGATAGCTAGATTCCCAGTTCCTGTGATTGCATGCTCGGCTGCAAATTGTCGTAAGCATCGGATGCTTAAAAACACTAGCACGACTGAAACACAGCTCACCTTCATGATGGTCTTCTTCTGCGTCAGTCTCGTTGGCGAGCTTCGGCTGCACGTGGTCATTCAATATTGCGAGTATCGATGCTATTACTGTACATGACAGATGGGCAGGAGTCCAGGCATGCTGGGCGAATGCTCTCAGGTCTTCGCCATACTGATCTGCATTGTCTCGCAGGTCTTCGGTGTGGCAGTAGGCCAGAACACAGTAGCAAGGCTTCTTGACATGGCATGCACATGGCCGCCCTTATGCAAAAGCCATGCTTGAGAAAGCACACGTTGACCTGCACTCAGCCTGTCCCAAAGTGGCACCAGCCCCAAGCGCAACGAACTCCACAATCGAATTTTGAGCCTCAAGCCCGACGGCCAGGTGCAGGCATCATGGGTGCCACTGCTGCGCTGGCAGTTCTCAATGCTACTGGGCTTGAGTTTGTCAATCAGGAACCTGACCATGTTGCGGACTACCTATGTTGACCCACATGTTGCTGGACGATCTTTCTGGAAGGGCTTCGGGCAAGGTCGAAGCAGAAGAAGAAGCAGATCTTGCAATTGAAGCAAAGTCGCAGGATCCGGGAAAGATGGCTTGGCAGCAGATTGTGCGCAGTTGAAACACCCAACTCTGCTCGGGAGGAGATTCTTGCGAGCTTCGCCGACCGCACGGAGAAGAGGTGGCTCCCTCGTGGAGCAAACGTCGTTAGAGGATGCCTCAGGTTGAGGTGCAAAGCTTGTACTTGTCAGTGGGGTTCAACAGCTGCTTCAGTATGCTGAGCATCTTCAGTATGCTGAGCATCCTGCAAGTAGCCTGATTTAGGGGCCTGGGCCTTGGCCCAGTCTGGTTCAAAAGTTGCCAACACCGAGGCGCGAGTGGTTGCGCCAGCGGAGAGCTCGCAGAGAAGGTTGGGGTCATGCTCCCTCATACTCATGTCCTTGCACGTCCTTGCCTTCAACTTGCTGCACCTACGAACGCTTGAGGCACCTTGGAGGGTGAGGACGAGTACGAAGATTCAGAACCTGCTTCTCCCAGCTCGCCCACGTCACCCACCATACACCCTGAGGATGCAGAGGCGCAAAGGGGAGGTTCGTGGAATGTCACTCACTTCTGCAGCCGCATGAACCCTTGAGCCCAAGTTGCCCTGAGCCCTGCCCAGCCTTTCTTCGATGACGGCAGCCCGCTGCCCTCAGACATCAGCAATCTCAGGGCTACCTTGCAGGCCTTTTCGCCTTCAAGTTTTGTCGACCTGCCTGTGGAATCTGAGATCTGGTGCTAGTAGTAGCTGTTGCCATACGCGTCACTCGACCTGCTCTCACTAGCGAGCAGCCTTGAACATCTCAGGCATGAGTATGCCGGCCATACACCTGCTTGCGTGGTAGGCTTTGAGGTTTCGACTTCTAAATCTCCTCGCGCACCATCGATGCATCCAGATGCGCTTGCAGGCAAGGCTGAAAGCCCTCCGAAGCTTGGAGGACCTTGGTTAGTGGTGTGTGGGATGCGGCTGCTCTGCGCTGATTCTGTCGCATCCTGTCCCCTAGGCTAGATACAGAGCAGTGAAGCAGCGAGGGCTGGAGCAGTCAGGGTCTGCAACTTTGCAAGGACGAGGCTGGATCCAGGCAGAAGTCCTCCTTAGAGGCTCTGCCGGCAGGGGGAATTCTGGGTGCACTGCCTGCCGTAGCTTTTTTGCAGGCAGGGCGGGATGACGGCGAGGCCGAAATCATTGCGATTATGCACTTTTCAAAACATGTCCCAGGACAAGATTCGTTTGCAGCGAGTGTATGATCGGGTTTGAGACTTGATGTTACCATATTAGTTGCCCAGGCTACGATTTGTCAAGAGGCAGCGGAGGCTGTTGGTGCCTCAGGGCTCTTGCTCAGCCATGCCAGACAAACTCTTGTGGCGTGTTCAGAGGCACCTGTTATTTGAAGGCCAGGCCATACTGGCTCGAGGATTTGTAGAATTTGGTGCAGTCCTCCAGTTCCTGTCCCACGGAGTTCCCCAGCGTCCTGCCGACATCCAGAACTGGCCCACTGGCGAGATGGGGACACTGAAATCACGGTTCCAGGTCAACAAGCTGCTTGCCACTTGTGTCAAGAAGGCGAAATGGGCCAAGGCAATTCGTGTATTTTCAGAGATGCAAGTGCAACAGATGCAACCTGCAACGGTCACCATCAACACCACGATCCGCGCCTGCGAGAGAGGAAGTGCGTGGGAGGAGGCGCTTCATATTTTCAACCAGGCGTCCTGCTCTGGCTATCCACCATTAGACGTGGTGTCTTTCACCACTGCAATTTCGGCATGTCGCCATGGAGGCCGATGGGCCGAGGCCTTACAACTGCTTTTCATGCTGCAGCAAGAAGAACAAGAATCACATCTGCACGGCCTCCACATGCATGAATTCGAAGACCCTGCAGTGGCTGCTCTGCGCAGGGAAGTTCCGAGGGAAGCCCGCAGCGAACACACACCAGGATCTACAGAATTGCCAGGCTTCAAGGGCAGGCAGGTCGATGTGATGATGTGGAATGCCTGCATCGCTGCTTGTGAGAAAGCTGCACAATGGACGTGGGCCATGCATCTGCTCCAGCGAGCCTGGCACGTTTTTCTTTCTCCTGACCTGATCACCTATAACTCGACGATGAGCAGTCTGGCACGTGCACGAAGATGGAACCAGGCCCTGGAGTTGTGGTTTGAGATGGACTTGGGCGATCATGGTGAGCCGAGCCCTGTCCCTTGGCAGCTTGGCACTTAATTCCGGTTCAAGGGTTCCTGAGGCAACAGGGAAAGAAAGCAAGGTCTCTTTGTTGCACAGGACATCATCACCTGCAACACTTGCATCACGGCCTTTTCCGGGGATGCCTGGATTCACGCCATTCACTTCCTGGACCTAATTCACGCAAGGCCTGGTACCTTTCAGTCCTTTTTGCAAGATCTGTGCACAAGCGGTTGCTGCTCGTACGGTGCTCGAGGTGCCAGCACTGCTGCGTGCCTCACCCTGACATGCTGTACCAGCTTAAGGGATCTGACTGAAGTTGCGTTTTTTTTCACACGTCTCCAATGGATCAGCCAATACGGTGGGCAACCATGAGCAAAGTACTCCATCAAATGTCAGATTGGATCTTGGCAGGGCTTTGCAGCCCACGACGATCAGCTTCAACGCCCTCATCTCTGCATGTGACTGGTCTGTATGGCTGCATGCTACAAGTTTGCGTGGTCTGAAGGTTATACCTGGCACTATGAAGCGAAGAAGTTTTCACGATTGTGCAAGGCTTGATACCACAATCTCACAATGACCCATGCTTCCATACATACATCCTGCATGCCCAGCTGCCACGAGTCAGTTCTGCCTTCGGACTCCTGGCCACCAGGGCACATGGATAAGTGCAACTTTGCATCATACATTTGATGCACCAATACTGTCTTAGCCGCTAAGTCGCTACATCTTAGCCGGAACACAACAACCAGCATTGCACGGGGGCTTGTCAGAGCCAAATTCAGAGGAATGGATTAAGTGACTCTGTCTTTCATACACCTTCATGAAAGGGTGTTGCGATTGTATCGCGAACCCATGGTGCTCTATCCTGAGCTGATCAACTAGCACTCGCTCACAGAACTGGTCTCAAACAGAAGAAAGAAGTCATGACGTTGCTCCAGTCACTGCTGTGTGTCTGGCTGGTCCTCTCGGGCCGGCGATCGGTCACTTCTGGGACCGGCGATCGGCAACAAAAGCTTGTGTATCAGCACAGAAATGCTACAAGTTTGATTACGTATACAGCCTAGAACAGTCAAAGCTAAATGAAATGCTTCATTCCAAGGCGACAAAGGCCATCAGTGGCAGAAGGCCACGCAGCTCTTCGAAGACATGTGGCAACACCATGTCCAGGCCCATTTCTTTGAAAGCGTTCCACGGATGACCAGTGAAAGATATACTGTCCTCGAGCTCGGCAAGACAAGCACCTCCGCCGTTCACATGACGTACGCTGCAGGCCAACCTGACCACCTTCAACACCTCGATCTCGGCAGGTGAAAAAGGTGCTCCTTGGAGCCAGGCCGGGGGAATAAATAGCAAAAACGACCTCGCAGCAGCAGAAGATGCACTTGAAAAGGCCGTGGCGCTCCTTGCACAGCTGTGCCGAAGTCAGCAGCGCCCTGACTCCCGGAGCTGCGCCGCTGTGGCCACTGCGTGTGCCAAGTCCCGGAGCTGGAGTATGGCCTTGTAACTCGACAAATTTGTGAAGGATGTGAGGTTTGCAAGATGAGGACAGAGTCATGTGCTGTGATGACTTTAGGGTTTCTGTGGCTGCAGCATGTGAAGATCACAACACATTAGCAGTTCCACGGACAGCTACATGTTTAACACGAACGTCCCGGTCTTGGTAGATGGGCATCTGCACCAGGCACTCCTTGGTGATGGCCATGGATGCGCAGCTTCCTTGGGAGCCTCGGGAAACTTGCATGGTTGCCTGCAGGGCTCATGGCCGCAGCACTGCCGCAGCGGTAAGCATGCATGAAGCGACAGCCTTTTGTTGGGTCCAGGCACTAAGGTGCTAGGATGTGCTAGGCAACTTGAGATGGCATGTGCAGCTTAAGTCGAGACTTCCCCGGCGCACACTTTGAACTTGTTGTCGTTGTCGAGCAGGAGCCAGCAGCCTGGGGGGCAACCTGCAGCACATGCGCCGCTGCGCAGCAGTGGTTGCTCGAAGGCACGTAAGCATCCTGGAGAGTCAACGTCAGGGCGTTGCGGCATTTGTATGAAGACAAGCCGCTGCATACCGTGGCAATGGCATTTGAGCACACATCACTATTTTTCTGTATGCTTTCGCCATCAGCTGAGGCGTGCAGCGGCTGCGCTTCTGTCGGCGGAGGAGGGGCAAGCCAATGCATCGACATTGCGACGCGGTCTTACTATGTCGGCCCTTGCTACCGTGGCTGAAGCTATCCTGATGGCTGGCAGGGTGGACCTCACCCACCAACTTCTAGTCCGCTTTGGATGTGCAGCTGCCTCGTGTCTCCTCTCAAGACATGAAATGGGACATTGGCATTGCCAAGCCCTGTGCAAGCAGCCAGTCGTCAACGAAGACGCGGTGACAAATCCCTCAGTCACAACGGTGCGAGGCGTTCTAACAGCTTTGAAAGTGAATTCAGCAAGTCGGCCGTGAATCCGTGACAAAATTGGGCAGCAAAAAGAGAAGGCTTGCAACCCATAGCGGCTCACATAGAGCTCGCGGGATCCTTCTGATGAAAAGTTGTCTACGAGGCTCAGCAGTTGCGCCTCAAGCCAGGGACTCGGCTCGTGCTTCAAATGCTACAAAAACCATGCCTTGTTGAGTGCCTTATATTCGGGCCTTGCATGTTCCCAGGGCCCTTCAGGAGCGCTGGGAGCGGACGGCTTCCATTTGGATGTATATTTTCACATTGTATCACAGGGTACCGGGCAAGTGAAAGTACAACTTGCTGTCTGCATTGCATCGGCTCTGTCCCTCCCGGGCCTTGAGGCGTTCTGCCAGGCAAACGGTAGGGCGGGACCACATGCGCTGCCCAGGCGCCTCGTCACCGAAATGCGGGAGCGCAGCGCACGGGGCTTGGCAAAGCAGTGATGTGTGCCGGAGTAGCACGACTTGTGTTTGCTTCTAGGGCTTTGGTGGGAGTTTTTGCTCAGCCCACGTAAAGACACAAGTCTGCGCAGCAGCTGTGATGTGTTCGGGCTCAAGTCTTTGGTTCACAAGAGAGAAAGCTTGTCGCATCGCGTGGTGAACCACCTTGCAACGCAACGCAACAAGCAGTCAAGTATGTTGTCTCGTTAAGCAATCTTCAGCCGATGTCGCTGCTTAAGTGGACAAAGCCTCCTTGCTTCAAGAAGAACGACGCATGTCCTCAAGCCTCTCAGCGGAAGTGCAATGCGGCGGCACTTGGGCTTCTTTTGCCCCAGCAGCTCCCTCCTGGCGCTGTCGCACAAATTGAGATCAGCTACAGGGTGTTAACAGGCGACATAATATGGCGACATCGCCGTGTCGGTTCGGGTGTCATAGCGTGCATGGTATTTCGGACGTGGCTGGTAGGACATGTAGGATGGGTTGGACGTTAAAAGTTGGGTGAGCCATCAGATGTTTCGGCCGGAACCTGAGATTGGTGGACAAGAAGTCAGAGCAGCAGCAGCGACAGATGTCGTAGTTCGAACAGCTCACCGGGCAAAATCCACGTCATGATTGCATCATGAAGCAAACTCGCATCTGACGTCATCATGAGTCCGAAGGCAGATGCAGGCAGATGTTTGACTGGATTGACCGATGCTGCTTCTGTATAGCTTCACCCTGTTTGGGCTTCGTCCCAAGGTTTGTTTCTGAGATGACTTTCTAGATGCACAGCATTTGGGGATTCAGGGTGGCCACTGCTGCGCAAGCGATCAATGGTTCATCTGTCGTCTCGTCATCCCGCTGTCAACGAGGCTCCGGCCAGCCTTGAGGCTCGTGAAACATCAACGAACTCGCATCTGCAAAGCCTCCTTCGACGGATGCCTGGAACTCACATTTTCAGCACAGATGCCCAGAAGAGAAGCTTGCCGAAAGGTGCCCACCCTGACTTGCAGCTTCGCCGCAGTTTACGTGGTGCGAAAGCTACGGCTCCAGGCCACCGGCAGAGCAGACAAAATACCAAATGTAGATACACATAATAATGTATCTTGGTGCGTTCAAGCAGTTTTCACAGGCTGCGGTTGCCTTCGATTGCGGACGTTGCCTATTCGTAAATTGCCGAATTTTTCTGAACCCCCTGGACTTGTAGAGTAATGTCATTGGTCTGCACATACATCTACCCACTATGCAGGAGCTTACTCAGTGAGTTCCATGGTACGTTACGACGGGTTGCAAAAAGAGAATCTCATCATCACGCAACATGGTTTACGAACGTCTATGCAATGGTCACATTGCCAAGCAGCCGTATGTTGTTTGTGCGCCCATTCGCTGTTACAATGCTCTTCGCACTTCTTAAAAGCATTGCATGCAAGCATCAGAATTCGGCAGACATTGTGATGTCTTTGTCGTCGTAGTGGCCAGATGTGGGCATCTGCTGGTATCTGCACGTCTGAGACGATGCTTCTTGAGAGACTGGTGCATTGGTGCAGGTCCAGCTGCAACACGCCAAGGCTGACGAGTCGACTGCAGCTCAAGCATCACAAGCCAACGCGGAGGGGCTCTGTGGCGGTGAAGGCTGTGCCTGCGAAGATCCGGTCTCACCGTCGCAGCGGCAGCTGCAACAACAGCTCCTCAACATCTTATCGTTTCTTTATTTACGAGATGCCTTCATCGCCCTGCCAGCTACTTCACGCTGGATGCACGAGCGGCTTGACTGACTTTCCTGCACATTGCTGCCTTGCGGAGCGTGCACTGGCACTGACCAATGCACCTGAACTCGGCAAGTCCAGAAGATGCCAGTGGACTAAGGATTTTCCAGGAGGAGGTTCTGACCAGCATCAGACGCAACCTTCTCTGGCCCACCGAAGGCTTTCCGCCAGTTCCGCCGCCGAGGGACCCGCTTGACCTGGGACCTGTTGAGCCCCTGCAGTCGCCTTTGGAAGTTCTGTGCCTTGACCTTCCCAGTATGATGTGCATATATGTACATGTAAGTATATATAGATACATACAAATATAAATAAAGATATACATATATATGTGTATATCTATATATATATATATATGTATATAAAGTGTCGGTTTATGCCCTACTGTCATGATGCAAGCATCTGATATGTCTCCTGCGATGTTTGCATGCGTGGTAGCTTGGAACTTGAGGTTTTTGTGGTCTGTTCGCGAGAGTTGGGCCCTTTCCAAAAGTCTGGCCAGCAACGCGCCCCATCGAGCATTGCAGCCGCCTGCAGTTCGGAAGGCACCCGGGCCAATCCTGCACCCTGGCCTGGTAACTCCAGCTGCCAATGCGACTTTGGGGTTTGGTTTTCTGGTTCGTCTGCATCTGCAGCATTCCACGGATGGTGTGTTTCTTGCATTCTCTGCGTAGCGTTTGGGCCTACATATCCAGCTACAAAATCCCAGGAGGTGTCATTAACTGTATGAATTGTGAGTGCGTTGTTGAGACGGGCGCCGGTTCACCTGCACGGACAATGAGCGTGTATACGCTTGGCAAAATTATTGGAAACAGAGGCAAGTAATTTGCCCTGGTACGATTCTTACTGTAGTCTAAGTTCAACGGTAGGCAGCTTTAAACAGGCGGATGCCATCAACAAAAGGCAGGACAAGCTGTGTCAATGTAATGCTGTATTCTCATCTCACGCCAGCTCACCGAGTCTACGTTTTACTCATGGTGAGGTGGACCTTGGAACGCCTCGGCTGGAACGATCACGGTGCCAAAGCCCTGCGTTCAGCCACCAAGCTTGAAAACAGAAACTGTAGCCGCTGTAGCCACTGTGGCCTTTGGGTGTAAGAAGCTGCAACGGATTGGAAGCTTTTTGTGTTGATGTTTGTCGTGGCTTTCTCCTCATGCTCCTTGCATGCTTGCAGCTGTGGTCTTTCTGCCCGTACTGCCATGTCTTCAAGCCTGGGAGGGGGGAGGGGGTGAGGGGGGTTTCTCCTGAATGAGACAATTGACTGAGCCAAAATGAGGACATCAATTCCCAAGCAGCCTCCTGCACTCAACAAGCGAATGTTGGCCTGCAGCGATCGTCTCAAACTTTAAAACTTTAGAAAGCTAAGGGTTGTCAGGTGCACATCAGAAAGTCGGAATCCGCCCAGAAGTGTTCTCGAGGCATCTTAAGGTTTGACCAGCAACGGGCCTAGGCTGGGCTGAGATGTTTGGGCCGTTAGAGCCAGGCACAGGGCTAATGGCAATAAGCAAGCAGCATTTTACAGCATCATGTTGCCATGGAAGCAGAGGTACTCAAGTGGAAGGCGGATCCAGATGAGCTGGATACCAACAGGCAGATGAGTTTGGGAACTGCCGAGTGGGCTAGTAGGAGTAGTGCTTCTAGCCAGCACTGATTGTTTGCAGGTGACCTGTTTTTTTTGAACTTCCATACAGAAGTTACCCAACAGGTGGACACCTTTAATATGGGCTGCTCACCTTGGATCCGTTGTCATTGGCCGCCGCCCAGTTTGCACTTGGATTTCCCGGGTGAAAGGTGATGTGACTAAAGAGACTTGGAGTTGTTCAGGCACAGGGATCCTCAACAAATAACCATTCTTCCGAGACGGTCCCCAAAACTAGTACCAGTACGAGTACTAGTACTACTAAGACTTACTAAGACGACTACCATTGAGTACCAGTACCGCGAGCTGCGCATGCTGATTTGTTTCTTTTGTTGATCCTTCCTGGCAACTGTTTATCCTTCTCGTTCTTTGGTTGACCCTTCAGCCCTGAAGTTGAGGTTACCAAAATACGGAGTTACGTTCATGGTGCTGCGATGCTTCTTCCCCCAGCCCCCATCAGGCTTGCTTCTGCGTGCCGGTGCGAATCCTGATCACATTGGCGCAGAGGTACAGCCGCCGCAGCACATGCCCCATCCTCGTATACCCAGCGGTCTGTAAGCCTGGCAGAGTGTAGCACTTCTCAGCTTGTCAATCTTTCGCAAAGTCGCAAAGTACTGTCACTCCTCACAGCAAGCAACCCTTCGGAGCAAGCCTACATTGAGTTCAGCTCCCGGTCAGAAACAGGGCTCCTCCGCCCTGAGCGTGGCCTGCCGCTCGGCCCACCGGGACCCCGGGCACTGCTTGCGAGAAGGCTTCTCAGGCTTTGTGTTGCAGGCGTTGGTTGCGCGGTTCTGGCTTCTCTTCACGGAGACTCTTCTTGACTTCTTGCTCTTCTTGCTCTTCATTCCTGAGCTGTTGTGACCTGCCACTGCCGGTGGAGGAAGTTGTCCAGCTGCTCCTTCTTAACAGAGCCTCACCCTACCTAGCTCCATGCCTGCAAGAGCTTGCCAGAGCAGATTCGAGGTTGCAGGGCAGGAATGACCCATAACATTCCCAGAGAGCACAACCGGGCGAGCGAGTCTATTGGCGATAGAGCCCGTTGAGCCTTGCCCATCTTTCAGCAGCGCGTAAACGGATGACATCAGTCTGGCAACTATAGTTAAAGCTCCAGAGACTCCCAAACCCCGAACACTTGTGAAGCATTTGGCACCCCACCTTGGCGTTGACATCATCGAAAGAGGCGGTACGTACAAAACTGCACAGGGCTCACGAGGGGCTCAACTCTGCCAGCCAAAGGTGCCCATTGGCAATGGCAGCTCGGAGAAAGCAGCGCAGACTTTTGAAGTTGGCAAGTTAGATAAGAATAGCATGTATATATATATACATATGTGTCACTCTCATTATGCATTATTTATGACTCCGTCAGATGATTGTGGCATCATGTTCCGTAAGCAGAAAGGCAACTTCGACCACCACGTGGGCGAGGACATCTTGGAGATGGTGCTTCGGGTATCTGATCAGTCATGTAGGGCATTGTAGGGTTACAGTACTACACGACTACCGTGCCTTCCATAAGTTTTAAAGTAGCTTCAAGCTGTTGCAAGTTGCCGAACGCTACTGACAGAGGTCACGGGGCCCTAGGCCCTAAGCTTCTCAGCCAACACCAACGCTAACAGACCCTGCTCTGAACATCATCTAACTCCTTTTAAACCCTTGAGCCATTTTTGCACCTCTCGAGGCCAGCCTTGCATGCCACCCAGGGTGTCCCAGGACGAAGCTAGACTGGCGCTGGAGATGCGCTGTAACCCTGTAGGAATGTTGGAGTACGCTTATGGGAAGCCCTAAAGAAGTTGCGCTGCAGAACACACGTCCAGCGTGTTACACGGTTACAACTCCACACTTATCTTTCAGGTGCGCCAGTATCGGAAGTTGTCCACACACCGGGGCAGCTTTGTGCTGAGCTCCAGCTGAGCCTGAGTCCACTTCCGCTTTGGGAGAGCTTAGTGTTGATGTTCTTTGTCGCTTGATTAGGGAGATGTGGGTGCTTTAAGGGAGGTTGGGCAGAATGGCCTGAGAGTCGACCAGCTTTGCTGACGAAATTGCGAGACTGGACCAGACTGGACCAGGCGCATTCTCAGCATGCCCAAGTTGCCAAATACGTGCTGTCTGAGACCATCTGCCTATACTTATACTGTCGATTACGTTATGGCCTAGCCTCCCTTCATCGCGTTGCCACATGTGTTTTCCCGGAAGCTTCGGAAGATCGTGCTGCATGCCTTGCAGTGAGCCACCCCTTTCTTCAGCGTAAAGGAAGTGGTATCCGAAGCCAACGAATGGGTTTGGCTGAGGCTGCAGCCGCTGGCCGCGCAGAGAAAAACAACGCGAAACTGCTCGCACAACACATGCAGAAATGTCATATGCCGCAAGAAGACGGTCAGTTGACGTAGATCATGAGCGCGCATGTACTTGCTGAGGCATCCATGTCCCCCAAGTCTCCGGGACTTGCAGGCAAGGAGGGCAGACCGAGAGAGAACAGAGACTGGAACGACCAACTTGCAGCCGTGCCTTCCGCTTTGGAGCGAACAGAACTGCCCGCTCATCGCGCCATGTCTTACGAAAGCTGCATGGATTTCAGAATGAAGGGTGGAGCGCATTGTGATGCAGAATCGAGAGCAGGGCGCCGCGGAGACTTATTGTTCATTGTACATATGTTCAGCATTTCTTCCTCCGTCCATGCAGTGCGGTAGGCCACACACTGCATGTCGAGGGAATGTTTACTCGATCGTCAGCCGGTGTCTTCTTGCGAGAGTGTTTTTGCAAATGTCATTGTTTGACATTCGATGTCGTATTGCTGATGTTCACTTTGCCGGCCTGGTTGCGATGGCTCTGGACAGGTGGCGCCACATCTTCAACGGACGAGTTCACGGTTCTGCTACCAACCCCCTGCATGCACTATCAAATTATTAAGGGTCGGAAGCGGCACATTGAGAGGACCTCCCTTGTTACGATTATACACCTATTCGTACTTGCAGCAGCCTTAATCTACTGCATGTTTGTTGGTTGCTGGCGCAGTTGTTTTTGTCCCCACTAAATTCGGCATTCAGTGAATCAGAAGCAAATGGCTCAGGCATGTGTTCGACTCATCACATGTTACTTACCTGGTCTTGGCGCGTTTCCCAATTGAGGATTCGTAGCCTCTAAGCAGTACTTCTAACAATGCCCCTAGAACGGTCCCAGAGAGAGCTCGGCTTGTTGTATGGCAAACTGCGTCGCTCACCGATGGAGTGGCCAGCATTGGCTGGCAGCCACGTGCGGTGCAGGACCACTGCATGAGACTCCGTAAATTACAACAGAAATGCGCATGGAGAGGACATCAAGTACTTGTCGGCCTCTTTGTTGCTATACCTGCAAAATGTCGCCCTTGGAAGCGTTGTTGGGACGCAGCTTTTCCACAATCAAAGTTCTCATTATGGAAACGTAAATGCGGTAATCCAAGACTGCTCCGTGGTCGTGAGATCTTGCGCGGGAAGGCCACTCCCTCTGCTCAACTCGCCGGAAAGACTCCTTCGGCACAAACGACAAGCAGGGCCCAAGGAGGAGCTTGGTCAGCTGTTAGACCTACGCCAGCCAGTAATTCTAAGTGTTCAGAACCCTTCATGTAAGCTGTCAGGAGAAGCGCGAGAAGAGCCCAGGGCCAGGGCCACGCGAGGACGCCTTGCACAAACAAGGGCTACGGTAAGCGCACTGTCAACTTTAATACAGCTACATAGGGTCATCTTCTTTCCTTCAAGCGGGGCCATGTTTGTCGACATTTGGAAGCGCGATGCCGGGTCAGGTCATGTAGGCTCGTGCGCCTTGCCATCAGGCTGCGGCAGCTGCCCTAGCAGCTTCTGCTGCTGGGCCGAAGAGATCCAAAATCACTTCCGGTTTATGCCAGTAACCTGCCCGTGGATGTTGGATGGATGTTCTTTGTAACAACCCTTTTCACATGCCGTCACTCATTTGAAGGCACGAATTTCATGAAAAAGGCAGCGCCAACGTCGATAATAGGGATCCCTTAGAAGCCTTGGGCCCAGGTCGCCTTCTTCCGCTCTACCCCAGGCCCAGCACCGCGGCCCAGCCGTCCACGGCCAAGAGGCCGCGGATCCAAATCAGACTCTGCAGCCTCATCACAGCTGACTGTGCGCTGTATCCTTGATTATAAGTTAATAAGGAGGTTCAGTTCTGGGCTAGAGTCCTAGAGCAACGTTGTCGACGCAGCTTCTGGGAAAGATCAGGGTCAGCATTCGCGCAGGGCAACGCTCGACGCGTAGCCAGCAACAGTGGGATCACCACCAGTGAGATGTGCAAGTTGAAGCTCGCTGTTGTCTGTAGAAATGTGGGAGCCATTGCTGGAATACTCTAATGTAGCGTTGGCCTTTGCGAAGATCGCAACTGAGATGCTCCAGCAGAGCAGCCTCCTTTCTTTTTCTGTCCTTCGAGTCCCGCATATGTCTCCTTTTATGGCAGAGTCTCCCTGGCAGACCCGTTAGCACATCTGCTGCCATTCTGCGTTTAGTTTATACGTTGGCCACGTCGGAAGGTCCTGTCTAGAAGTACTAGCAGCAAATGCAAGATGACTTGGTAGCCGCTATTCACCTGCATATGCATACCTTGCCATGCCCGTGCTACTTCACTCCAAGCATCTTTGTTTCATCGGCTTTGTTGCGAGAAAGTGTTGCCCCATGAGTCACGGCTGTTTTCCATTCCGCTCAATGCAGGACTCCTCCTCTTGCTGAGGGACCTGACTGGGTGGCCAAGCTGCATAGGTTGGAATCAGGTACCAAACTTCCTGTGCTTACTTCAGATGCACCTACCTGACACTGTGTGACACTAGGACGTTCTACAATAAGTGCTCTTGGGAGACATGTCCTTGAACAAAAGCACATAATGTTTCACTACTTGGAGTACGTGTATGCTTGGGCACTATCTTGACGAATTTTCGAGCCAAAAATCCTGTTGAGCTGTTTAACAAGAATGACTTGCGTGCGAGAACATATGAAGCTGGACATCTGGGACCCCACGGCCACAAAAAAACGCAAATCGCTTCCAAAACTTGAAGATGAGCAGAAATCTGCAAGAATCGCCAAAGACAGCAAAAATTGTAGCAAAATGCAACAAATACACTCGCGGCCGCCAGGGACCCAACCTGATCTGTCCACGCGCGGGGGCCGAGGAGAATCGGGGAGAATCGGGGGTGGCGGGCGGTTTTAATAAGAAAAGCAAGCAGCAGAATCGAGGAGAATCGGGGAGAATCGGGGGATTGGCGGGGTCGGGGCCGCGCAGTGCTGCAGCAGGGCTTTCAAAGGCAAAAAGTGCGGCACGCACGACACGTCTGAAATTCCCTGTTGCAAGGTTTTCGCGACAAATAAGAATTTTCCCGCAAATTTGTGAATTTGCCTGCGAGCCGATGAGCAAATAAGACTGGTGCCATCTGCGCCAAACTAGGCGCGCCGCAGCGCAGAAAACAAGGTTGGAAGCAAACGAGTATCGACGTTTGCGTTTTTTTGGTCTACGCAAAACAACCATGTCTAGACGTGTGAAATTCGGTGTTAAATGGTGCTAACTGGTCTTAGTTTCACATATTTCAGAATGGCAACCATCTGATTATAGAACGTCTTACAGGCGAACGGCCAAGCTGATTGCTTTATGGTATTCATGAACCGGTGGTCGTCAGAAACACGCCAGAAGCCCAGGCCACTGGTACTGAGTGGTACAAGCTTCGTGCAAGCCTCAGACTGTGTAGTTTCTGTCATACCCTGTAGCGATGGCCATATGTCGAGAAAAGTAAGAATTGTGTATGAAGTTGTACTCAAATTCTCTGCTTCAGAAGAAGAGAGGTGCTTGCCACTGCGGTGCCGCGTCTGGTCCTGGCAGCTAGTTTTGCCGCCTCCCGGCCAAAGCAGCCCCTGGCACGAGAACGGCGGCATCACTCACCACAGCCGTCTTCAGCCCTGCTTTCGTCAAGTTAGGTACACTTCCTGCCTTGACCACCTTGTCTCAATCACCTGCAAAGAGACCTAGGTTATCGTTTTTGCGGCCACTTTACCTCGAAGTAGACAGCGTGAAGACGCGGCCGCGCCTTGTCTAGCACTTGATATTTGTAAGCTGTAGCAGCCGACATCAGTGAGAGGAGCCACAAAGGAATTCAAAATGCATCGCCTTCTTGTTTAGGCTGCAGCAGGCCCTTGTCAGGGTTTCTAGGGAGGAACTGAATCCCAGGCTCTCTCATGATCAGAAGGTGTGTAGCGTGGAGCAACAACTTCCGCCAGGTCCAGGCAGCACCAGGAGAAGCTTCAGAAAATCCTGCCGGCACCTCTTCGGATATTATGAAAGGAAGGCTGGTGCTGGTCGTCGGGTTTCTTCACAGAAAAGCAGCACACGACAACTTCAAGCAGCGCGCCAGCTGGCACCTGTCCTCCAAACTTCTGGCCAACCTTCATGCAACAGCACGTGTCAAGAAACGAGGCGGCACCAGCAACGTTGACTTTGCGGAGGTGTCACTGCTGAATGCAGCGGTGCAGGACACTTGGCCCCATTATTCTCCGAGTTATATGTTCCAGTATCCTTCTAATTCGTTGCCCTTGGGTCACACTGAGGAGATGTGGCCTGAAATCACAAGCTTCATCCGAACGGTGCTGAAAGAGACCGTTGAGGCTGGCAGGCTGCTTGAAGAAAAGTCTTGATGACTACAGTCATCAAGACTGGCAGACTCTGCCAGATGGAGATCAATACAATCCACTCTCACAGCCATTGATATATCAATATTCAGAATCCAACTTGTGGGTAATTGGCGGCTTTAGCAGAGCAACAGCTTATGTGGACGCTTTAATAAGCGCAGGAGGCCATCCAGACGAGAGTACCATGGTTCCTGAGCAGCGGCTCGGCTTTTTTTCAGTGGCCAGGGAGACCAAGAGGGCCAAGAAGAAAAGGTGGTGGGCGGGGGCGCCGTAGGGGACCTATACTATTCCATGGTGACGGTCACAGAAAGCCCTTCAGAAAGCGACCCAAATGCCGAAATGGCAGCCCAAGAGAGAGACGCTTCGTTTTGACAAGGCTTGGGCTTTGGCCGCATCAGCTTTGGGGACTCAGCCCTGAAGGTTGAGGAGCTCCTTGATTCAGACTGAGCACAGCGCTGTACAGGTTTCGGGTGTTCAGGGGTCCTCGAGATTTCATCGGTTGCACGAAAAGGGTTATAAGTTATAAATGTTGTATGCACAATGCAGGCCTTCATGGGTCCTATGTAACCATCGCGCAAAGGAGGAAGTGCACAGCTCACTTGCTCCGCCAAGGCTGAACGTGGAGCGAACGACACAGACCTCGCACAACCATGGTGAAGTGCGCAGCTTCAAAGTTTCTGGTGCAGACATCAGATTCGGTCAGACTTTGGTAGAGGAAAGCTCGGCAGATTTCAATAGTTCCGAACGAAATTGTGCGAACGCGATAGCTGCCAGAAGTAAGTCCTGCAGACCGACCCGATCCGATATTTGGGGCAAGCAGCTAGTTGCAGCTATTCAGGTTTCCAGCCTGGTAGCTTGGGATGCAGACGTCGATGTGGCCCTAACAGCACCAACGGCCGCATCTTGGACGCAAAGAATCACTTTTCTTTTCTGAACCTCTCACCCAAATCTTGGACCCTGGGTGTCCGCTACTGAGAGTTGCAGCCCAGTAAACCTCGCAGTATTCCCCATGTCCTGGTATGTCCTGGTTGAACGACTTCACTTCACTAAGCAACATGAAAGCTACTAGTTAGAGCCTGCATGGGCTTCGGCTTAGGTGCTCTCCGCAGAACACGTGCTCGTGAATGGTCGGCTGGATGTGTGCCTGCAACATATCCTACCCAGGCGCGTCGTTTTTCAGTCCAAGGCGAGCAGCTTGCCAGCTGCATGTAGTCATGGGTTTGCTATCAATGTTCCGTGCAGGCCGCCCTTTTTCACCGGCATCACGTTCTACTTTGCGGAGCTTCCCAAGGTAGCATGGCGCAAGCAACACTGTCCATGGCTTCAACTTGGCACACTTACGATGTCAGTGAGGCTGCTGTATTGAGTGGCATCCTCTTCTGAGTGCAGCTTCAGTGCTTTCTTGGGTATTCTGATTACAGATCGTGCACCCCCTGCAGCTGCCAACTCTTGACTGAGGATTAAGAGATTAAGAGTTTTAAGCTTGAAAATTCACGTTGGCCAGGTTCCCCAAAATGCTTGACCTTAGCCTGTATATGGCAAGCTAGCTTGCAGCTTGGTCTTGGAGATATTCCTGTTCAGCTTCAGAACGAGTCTGGCTGAACCCCTTCGAGTGCCCCTCTTCCAACTTGTTTTCCATGGCTCCGCAAGGTGGCCTTGACGCTGGAAGGCACTGTCATGGGCTTGCGGGCTGCTGGGCAAGATGGCCAAAGCCTCGTATGGACGTAAGGCTTAAGGGCAAAATAACAACGGTTGCAAAGGGGAGCATTTGTCAAGTTCTTGCTTTAGCATTTACACGGTCTGCACGGCTTTTGTTGCTCCCCCCACCCTCCCAGGTATCACTTGCATGGTTGGAGAAGCTCTTGGCTGACATCATTCAGCATCATGGCCAAGTGGGATGACCAAGACTCGACCGGTTGACTGGATGAAATGTCTAGTTCAATGTGCGTGCGATCTCAGAACACCGAGTGCTTGGTGCTTGAGCATCTGGTTGTTCGATACCGACCTCGCAAACAAAAGTTGAATGGCGTGCCAACTGAGGAAACAATTGGCGGAGCAAATTGTGCTGCCAACCGTCGCAACGGTCCCTGCCTGAGACCACAGCATCTCCTTTTGATGCCCTTTGTTTCAGCGGGGAGAGAACGTACACTGTGAGCATTTCAGCTCCTCCAGTCGATGCAAAAGTGAGGTATTGCTGGACATCACCAACGAGGATGCCTGGTTCGAAACTGGCGGCTGGTCTTCGATTGGCCTGTGGAGCAAGCATGCTTTCGTGTTGAAGATCTTCCATTATCGAGGTTTATAGCCTAGGAATGAATGGTCTGCGGTAGCATGCAGCAGTCCCTCACACGGCAAAAGAACCGGATCCCATTAGGTAGTGTGGTCCCGGAGGGTGTGCTCAAGGTTTGTGTGCACGGCGCCTGTGGGCTTGCGGCCAAGGCCCTGCTGTGAGTCTGATTCTGCCCGTGCCCTTGTTGAAAGGTAGCCGCTAGCCCTTTAGCCGCTGCCAGTGTGTTGTTGACTAGGGCCTAAGTAGTTCCAGAACTATCCCATTGTGAGCCCATATTGATTACATTCCCGTTTTGGGCGCTTAGTTGTGAATAAGGTTATCACTGATTATCACCTCGTCATAGGAAAACCATATGGTGGCTCGAGTTAAAGCTGACGATCCTTGCGTAAGCTGGGCCTATCGGAAATCTAATGGGTGCCAACAGTCCAAAAAAGTCGCTTTCTGCGTGCTCCACTGGTTTAGGACATGGCGCTGCCCTTCGGGCTCTCAAGACCCAGTGCCTCGATCAGCGAAGCTGAAAACTCGTCTTCGAGGAGGCTTCGTCTGTACCAGTCGAATCCGAATGCCACGGCGTAGTGTCGTTGAAAACCTGCGTGACATAGAATGTGGTCCTCCTTTTATGGTTTGCAGTCGTAGCCGAGGCTCCGATCCCTACTGCTTGGTCTCAGTCGGCGGCAAGCCCTTCCGTGCCTTGGAGCCTCACCAGTGCCCAACAGTTTAATACGAAACGAAGAGTTTGCCAAGTGGTTTGCCATCGCAGGTCCGAATCTTGGACTGTGCACACTCGTGACATGTCGCACCCGCTGTATCCAGCAATCGTCACGCACGCAATGCCGAGAGCATCAGATTGTGGCTTGCATGGGTTGCAGGCACACCCACCCGTCCTCAGAATCTCAATCCACAGTGGAGCGAAGCAGACGCTTGTCCCTGAATCCATTTTGTGGACTTGTTGAGGTTGAGGGTGTTGAACGGGTTCTATGGATCTGCGAGCCAGTGGTGCCCCAAGCTGACGCTCGTGTCTACAAGCCTTCTTGCCCATCTAAGGAAGGAACCAAGCAATTTCTGATCTATTCTCTGACAGAGCAGCTCCTAACTGTGGACCTTTACGACGAGAATCCCTACGTCGAGGCCCGTAGCGTGCGGATTTCGAAATCTCGGCCGCGAACATCGGTGGGAGTAATTGTCCGAGAACGAGTCGGCTTCGGAGAATGATGGCCGGGACTCTCCATGTACGTGTATCTCTTGTAGTTGCACATGTGGCTTTGCGAAGACGGCACTGCTTCAGCACTCGTTTCCCGGTTTGCAGGACACTTTCCTTGGCACCTCAGCTGGACGTAGTGTCAGCTGTCGAATCGGACGGCGGATGAGCTGTTGTTGAATTCCAAAGATGATGGAAGTTCGAGAACCGGTGGAAAATCCGAAAGCAGCTGAGGTTCCATTTCCACTGCTGCATCTGATGTGGTGAAGGCCAGCATTGAATCTCTCGCTTGGCTCAGTTCAGTTTCTGGTTGTGCTGGGAATGTTTTTGGAACTGCACCCTTCGGTCCCGCAGAAGTTTGATGGCCCAAGGCCTGGGTGCATTTGGCCGCTTAATCGTGAATGTTCAGAAACTGGGAATTACGGTAACTGGAACTAGCATATGCAATCATCAGCATATCCTCTAATTGGCTCACGGTAATAGCATACACCCTCCCAAAGTCAAGCCGCCGCTGATTACCGCACCGCAGAGAGGCCTGCATGCGCACAAGCGGAGGCAGCAGGAAGAAGTTTGGCACACAGGCCAGACTCCTGCGCTTCTTCTTGTGCGCCTGCCTTGCGCTGCAGCCTTGGGAGTCCGTGCATCGGGACACTGCGTTGCAAGCTTTGGCTTTCGCCATGGCGCAGCCGGCGCGGCCAAGCAGCCCCAGTGCCAGGACTGCCTTCATCAGGTCACAAAAATCAACGAAGGGCTAGGATGGGCGTTTTGCATATTTTGCTCATGGTTGAGAGGGGGAGAGAAATTACTTACCGGCATCTAAGTCATGTTTAGGCCAGTTTAGTTGACATCGGCACCCGCTGATTTGCAGGTCCCCTTTGACCAGCCCAGCGTTTTCGTATGTAAGCAGAAACCTCCACCCTACACCTTTGCAATGATCATTGCGCGCCGGCTTTTTCCAGACATTGTTCTGCACGGCGTCAGCAAAAAATCCACGCTTCTTAGGACTTTCCACCGACGCCCGCTCCCAGAGCCAGCAATTGCGTTCTCCTCGTCACAGGGCCAGGCGGTGGTTCTGGGCTGATCGCTGTGTTTGTCCTTAATGAAAAAATAAGCGAGAATAACATCCACAGAGTCACGGGTCCCACAAGACATGGCGTTGATTCATGTGTGTTATTTCCAGTCCAAGCTGTTATAACACCCGAACTCCCGCCAAAACACCCCCAGCATCTTGCCACATCCTTGTGGGCCAGGCGCTTTTCGCCGAAGCCCTGGCAGCAGGACTGTCAGAGTCTTGAGCAGTTGAAGCACCCCATTGCTCTGCTGAACTCGAAACCATCCGTTTCCCTATAGCCTTTCGAAGATCTTGGACGTGAGGATAAGAAGGACTTCCAACCTTTCTGCATGTCAAACGACTGCAGTTATACGCATCCTTAGGCAAACATGAGACAGGTAATCCAACATCAAGGCCCAAGTCGATATTGTTGAGAGTTGTCACTAGAGAACTTGAAAAAAAGACAACTATTCACAGCGCCTCTTTGCCCCAAACCTCCCCTCTCCTGCACCCCCCCCCCCCCCCCCCCCCCCCCCCCCCCCCCCCCCCCCCCCCCCCCCCCCCCCCCCCCCCCCCCCCCCCCCCCCCCCCGCCCCCCCCCAAAAGCCAAACAGTTTGTAGTACTGGGCTTGGATTTTGGGGGTGGATGGGGAAGTTAGTATCAGACAAATGGAGCGTGTTATGGTCAAGCCGAGCACCTTGTTGGCCAAGCGCACCGCTTGCTCTACCGTAGCTTCGTCCACCCCTTTCTCCGGGGGTACAAGGAGGCATGGGCTGCTTCTTCCGCCTCATCGAGCAGTTCCACACCCAAGCGGAGCCTGCCTACTGTGGTCTCGGCCGGGGCCTTCTAACCGGAAGGGGGGAGGCTAAACTTCTACAGTAAACATCAGTAAACGGAACACGCAAGGCACCCTGGCCATGGTCCTTAACGCCCTTGGCGTGGATCCTGGCCGGAAGTGGAAGGGACCCTGGAGGTGGTTCAGCTTCTCGGCTCGCTATGCAACAATTTAAACTGGCCAAGAAAGGATCGTGGGTGCCTAGACGAGGGATGGCTGATTCCATGCGCCGTTGCAGGCTATTCACGCTGTTTCTGGCCTTGCTGAACCCAGTTGAGACTGTTGTCATGATATGTCGGATTTGAGATATTTGAGGTGAAGATCTCTTGGACTGCTGTGAGCCGCTGGAGGTCGTAAAAGAGAAGGGAATGACCTTCGGCAAGGTCGGACCCTGGGTTGGAGCACGTAGGACGGTGGTTTAGGAAAGGTTTGGAGTGATTTCGGGTTCATTCAAGCTAAACCCTTCAATCCTTAGCAGGTGGCCTGCCTGGCGCGCTGCAATGGTGCCCAAGTCGAAGCCAATCGTGTAGACGAGCCCAATGTTGTTGAGGCGGATTTCAGGCCTCTGGGGCGCCCTGTTCGTCTGGGGAGAATGAATTTCTGGCACGCTTCCTTGCGGAATTGACTTTGGTGGTTCTTGCTCCATTTTCTTGGATGCCCGGAGAGACCCTTGCAGGAAAGCTGTGGCTGCTAGCTGCGAAGCCGATCCAGCCTCCGATGACTTTAGCGTGTCAGGGAAGCAACGAGTCCATGCTGATCCCCAATTTGCAGCTAATGCACTTTTGCTGGGCATCAATGGCTTAAGCTGTGCAGTTCTCAGGTGGTAGTGGTCTCCTACAGTCGGAAGCAGCTCAACCAGACGGGTGATGGGCACTATTCTCCGATTGGAGGTTACCACCGTGCCAGTGACAAGGTCTTGCTTCTCGATGTTGCAAGGTTTAAGCATCTTATCCAGCTCTTCAGCACCCTTTGGAGATTTTTCGAACCTAGAATATAGAAAGTCTAGACGTGTCTAGAGCTCATCCAGTTGGGACTTATGCCCGCACTAAAACCTGCACCTGGAACCTCGAATCTAAGCATGCCCTTCCGGATGCTCATCCTGAGCACTTTATCGAGACAACAGGTATCCTCCGCACTGGGTGCCTTTGTCACTGCTGTGGGAAGCGATGCAGCGGACCGACCAGGAGACTGGACGCTGCAGGGGCTTCATGGTACTTCGCTCCAAGGAGGCGCACGTGAAAGAAAACAACTTCATGGGCCCCGGGCCTCCCTGCTTCCGACTACTCGCATACGGCTTTGAAAGGACGACACGCCATACCCCCCCTAATTATATCGTCGTGTGCACAAAACGTTCTGTTTTTTTTTGTTTTGCTCTGCGGTCGCGTGGTGCCTTCTCATGTGCTTTTCGGAACACGAGCGACCGCACAGCAAAAAACAAACAAAAACAACTGAACAGCAGAAATGGATCCGCAGCAAGAAGACCCCGCACAGCAAAAACAACTTCGCGCAACGTTCCCTTCTTCAATCGAGGGGTACCTTCAGGAACTGTGGGAACGCAAGATGCTGGAATGGTGTCGGTGTAGTTTTACAGTTCCTGATGCTTGTACATATCCTGTGCCCGACTTCAGGCCCTGAAGCAGTCTTGTCTGAACCTGGTGTGGAAAACTGACGATGGTTCAAATGCCGACAGCTGGACAATGGTCAACGTACTGCAAGCCTTTTCAAACGCTTTGGTCTCCGAGCCTTTGCCGGAAGATGGCACTGCAGTCACGGAGATTCTGAAGCGTGCACCTGAGCTGCAACATGCTAAATGGTTTGTGCTGCTTTGGTCATGCAAGGGCCCTCATTTGCCACCCGACGTAGACAGGCGCTGCGCTTCATCGAGTCGCCCGCCATGCCCCTGGAGGTGGCCTGCAACGTCTTCGACGCCACAGAGGAGCGAAGCGCAGCGAAGCGCAAAGCCTGTTCGGAGGCTCAAGCAGCCTTGGCCACAGTCGTGGAAAAGCTTGACAAAGTGTTGGGCACCCGATGCCTCAGCACATGTATGCCGACGTGCCCCGAAGGCTCCTGTGAAACCTTAACAGGTGCCGTATTCACCGCCGCCAATGTGCTGGCCATTGACCTCAACATGTGGAAGAAGGTCTTGGTGGAAGGATGTTGCGTCGAGCGCGGTTCTGAATCACACCAGGCGCGGATAGCCCAAGCAGCATGGAAGGAGTTGGAAACGCTCCTATTGGACACTTGACTCGCAAGTACGTCTCTGAATTTGTTTCTGTATGTAGCTGATCATACTGCTTTTGGCATATTTTGCATCTTGTAAGGTGTCGTGGCGGAATGTCATGGAAATTTAAGCGCACGAGTACATCTGTCACATGCATGCTTTGTCTCATGTCATGATAGGGATTGTATTCCCTGATGTACAAAATTTGCACGCACTGGAATAAAAAGGGCTTTCGGCTGCTGTGTTCTGCTCTCGGCTGGGTCTTAATCTGGGCAGAGTTGGAGCCGCCAACTTAACATCTCAAAAACCTTGCAATTGTTGTCCCACCACAGTCCTTTGCACGTCTAGGTGTTGCATCACATGGCAGCGACGTAACTTTTTGCCTGGTTCTTCTCGGAGTCCGAGTTCGCATTCTCGATACATACCGCGCGTGCGCACGCTCTCACCTGGGTTTCGCACGGGGTGGGCTTCCTTCGCTTTGTTCTTTCTGATCCGAGCTGCCCCCCCCGCCTGCGTGGTGTTCACACTAGCTCTGACAAGCATGACTTCTTTCATCTTGTCTTAAGCATCTCTGCAGCAAGGAGATGCCTGCAAGTCTGCAGCACGACATTGAACTTTTGCGCGGGCAGTGGGCAGATCTTCTGACGGCGAGAGAGGACATGCGTGCCGAGAAGAGGTCATGTTGCAAAGGGCTGCCATAGCGCCAAGCATGCATCGGTCGAAAAAGGTTTGTCTCCTCAAGTAGCTGGCCTCCGAACCTGTCCACATGCAATGTGTCGTCTCAGCAGCAGATTCAGTCGACTTCCAAGATACATCAGCTTGAGCGGCGCTGCATCCGTCCGCGTTCGCATTTCAAGAGCCTGGGAGGCAGATGGCCGCGAGTTCTCCCTGGGTGGCCCGGGCGCTCAAGGCGGGCCGGCGGCCGAAGTTGCTACATGAACAAGAAATGTGCCCGACCCTGGCATGTGACAGAAGCGTTGCGAGTTTCATCATACTTTCAGGAACGCTTCGACTTTCTGCTCACTATACCGAGCCATAGTCGGCAAAAAGGTTTGTTGATGAAATTCGGATGAGATGCGAGACAAATGACCAGAGCTGCTTGGAGCCTCGCCCTCTACAAGGTTGCCGCAGTACCCCTGTTCAGTTCCATGAGGTTGAAGAGACCGTCACAGAGTCAGAGAGAGAGAGAGAGAGCGAGTGAAAGACGGACAGAGCAGCGGGCCAGAGTGGCCGGGGTCGGGGGCCTCTTCGCTGGGTAGAAGAAGAGAGAGCGAGAGAGACTGGTGGAAGTTGTTGGGGCCACAGAGGGGGGATGACCCAGTGTTTATGTCATGTGCTGTTAGTCGTATCTACCACTAAAGTCGGAACCCCAACCCCAACTTGGCCAAAGAGCTGTGCGCGAAGACCGGCCGGCCCCTTCAGGGACTTAATTATGACAGACAGCTCGGAAGAAAATAGAGAATGCTGCGCAAGAATCGGTGCCACATAATGCCGCTAAGGAGCTGAAACTGGATGTGACTGTTCTAAATTATTGAGATGCTGTGCGCACGTTCAGCCCTTCAGATATTGCTAGCTGAAAAGGAGTGTAGTTCCGATTGGCAGGGCTGCAGAGCAATCCTTACTCAATTACTTTCAATGACTTGAAACTGCTTGGGACTTCCAGGATCTCAATCTGCGCCGACAACTGAGGGCATTGGACAGCATGTGCCTTGGCAGAAATGTGGACTTGTGTGCCAGTTTCTCACTTGGAAGTTGGTGCCCAGCCTCGAAACGCGACCAACCATTGAAGACTTCGGGAACATCGGAACGTCGGGGCTTTGCTGGGGTGAAGGGCCTTTGTCCATTCCCGCTTTGAACATGAGCTGTTTTGGGATGGAAAAATGGGTCCGCGGGGCACCAGGGTATGAGCGGGCGCGCACGGGATTTCCAGGTACTAGTTTCCCCGTGGTGCGGCCGAGCCAGCCAAGACTAAGGCTTCCGCACACTGCTGCTTTTGTTGTCCTGGCACCTTGGCCTCTCAGCCACTGACCCCTGAAACATGCCGCGGAAAGCAAATCGATGCGTTGCCCTTTCCCAGCGAGTTGCACAGCACAGACAAGGTCGGAATCGACTGCTGCACTTTCCCCGACGAGCCTGTTGACACTTGGTTCGAGTTGTGCATAGCTTGGCTGGAATGCTGCAGCGCAGCATTTGCAGCGAAATCCTGGAACTCGTCACTTGCTCAATGCATGGCTTTGAACCCCTCCATTCCTCCAATATCTCCATTTTCCCCAATATCACAGCATCTCAGGATAGCTCCAAGAAGCGCGGCTCGTTCGTGTGCAAAGTCACCTGCGAGGCTGCTTGGCAAGCAGCCTCGAAAACGGATTTCTGGATTCAAAGTGCAAAGCGAAATTCGGAGTAGAGTCACACACGCACAGTGATGCAGTTAGAGTACCTGGAGCAATCCAAGAGCCATGCCACCAGACGAGCGCTTGCTGACAAGTCTGATGGGCCGTCTCTAAGAAGACGTTTTCGTGGCAGCCAGATGCAAGTTGCAAGTTGCTGACGCCTTTGACAGGAACACGAACAGGCCTTTCCAAGCCGGACCGCCCGCAAACAGGGGCGCCACTTGTGCAGCAGTTGCGTTTCTGCCGGTTCCAGATCGGGTCGATGCCGAATGACACGCGACCTGGCTACACTGAGGCTACGGAGCTACAGCCTGGTGGCGACTGGACAGCTCTGAGCCATCAAGTTCCCGAGCAGCAGGGGTGAAAATCAGAGCTGCGAAGTGACAGACTGACTTGAGTGCATGTTCCGACTTTTCATGATATTTTTGGGTTTGATCGATGTTCAGGACCCTTGAGCTCAGGAGTTTAGAGTTTGGAGCTAGTGTCTGCTAAACGGCATGGGAGCGAAATGGTGAGCCGAGACGAAGCCCAAGGCTCCGAAGCCACATCTTCCTCGCCGGCACTTGGGCCAGAGGTGCGGGAAGGGTGTTTTTCTCAGAGCAAGCCATGAGCTGGCTCAGATGATGATGCTATATGAACAGTTTGAGTTGTACTCTTACATTTCATTATGTTATGTTGTATTTGAAAAGTCGTGCGTTACTATAACGTATGATACTATGATCTCGTGTCACAGGAAGACGAGGAGGTCTGTCGCACAGCGCACTTTCAGTCGACGTTCACCCACATGCTGATTGGAGAGCCTGGGCTTGGCACTTCTTGGGCTCTGAAATGTCACGTGGGATGTATTGGGTCGACCAAGATCTGCCGAGGATCCCAGAGGCATCGCTTGCCACATCAAGCTGGAGAAGCGCGGAGGCTTGCCAGGCGTCGGCAATGTTGCGCCCAGGCTAAGTCTACGCAGGGGTTCACATGAGGCTCGCATGCAACACATGGCAGACCAGGGCATAATGTTTTTGAAACGTGCAACGTACGCATGCAGGAGAGTCGTTCAACCAAGAATCCGTGCATGTTGAAAGCTACATTATGGATGTTCACGCACTATGGGCCAGTACCTGCGCACGCAATGTGAAATCATGTGAAATCGGCAAGCTGCCCTGGGCGCACCGAGGTGGGCGAAGTGGAGTTTCCCATGTATCGGCTGATTCATGCCGCAGCCAACACGACCAAGGTGTGTGCCTTGAACTCGGCGCGGGCACAGGAGGATTTCATGCAGTACATTCTGGAAAGTTTAGCTTTACGACATCAACCTTGCCGGAAGCGCACGGTTCACGAATTGGTTTGGCCTTGCGACTGTTGTTACTACGTTTGGACAACCAAAGAAAGCACGAGAGTCACCGTAGTCCCATAGTGTCACGATCATCGCCATCCTGCTATAACTCTCGCAGCTCAACTGAGTTTTGCTCCGCCTTGGGGGGGCTTTGCTTCCTTTGTTCTTTGCGCAGGCCGTGCTGCAAGTGGGGCCGGCACAACTCTCTGTCCTTGCCCAGCTCCGAGCAACGGATGCGGATACCTCTCGAACTTACAGCACGTTGGCTTCAGCCGGGGCAGATGGACACAAAGAAGCTCTGCAGGCGACATAGCCGATATCAAGCCGACACATGCCGACACCTACACACTTCACACGAGGTGTTGCACAACACTGGCAACGGACTCACATTTCCCGCACATGATCACTGGCAACGGGCTGACATCTACCGTGCTCATGCTGCTCTTGTTTCCCATGCTATACATGGTTCATGGTTGCCACATCTTTCAACTACGCGGACCATGTGCCCCGCGCTGCGCCAAGAGACATAAGAGACCTCTTTCCCGACACCGCGCATCTTGACACGAGAGCTTTGACACTCTGGAGGGACAATACAAAGGTCAACCCAATCCACGAAGCAGGGGATGGGCTTGCCTGGCGGATGATCTGGAGATGGCCGGATCCAGGCACTACTTGCAAGTAGACCGTCTTTGCGAACCTTCCCTGTCAGATGCTTGCCGAGGGGAAAAACGGGACCAGCTTCGGTACATATGCAGTCAGCAGGGTTAGTGAATTCCGTGCCCCAAAAGAGGCCATCAATTAAGGAGGGGCGGTTTAAGGTTTTGCGCTTGGGCCCTAGAAGACGATTGTAGGCACCTTACTAAGCCAACATGCTGTGCCTTGGTAATTTGTTTTGCGTATGCTTCTAATTCAATTCAATGACGGGCCTCCGGTGCGCAGTGGCATCGGGGGCGTTCTCCACGGCATCGAGGGCATGCTACCCAGGTATAGGCTAGGGCTCACATGCTGGAACTTTCCACAAGGATAGGAGCGAGCTGCTCAGGATGTCCAGGTGGAGGCAGAACCTTCTAGGACGGTCTTCTAGCATCCTAGCAACAGTCTGTCCGACTCGCAACAGTCTGACTCTCTGCTTCGGCTCGGCTTTGGGCTCAGACACAGACCAGCCAAGCTGATATTCGTCAACTATCCGAGTCTTCTTCTTGTGAGAGATGGCGACCAGTTGTGCCAACGGCTGCGCAGCCCAGTTCCAAGGCCATCTTTGCAGACTACCATCGGACGACTATAGCCCGAACTACCATCCAACACCACGGAATCTGCCGTCAACATGTGAATGTGAGTCTGCTGTTTGCATCTGTTTGCAGCCAGGGACGCAATTTTTCAGTTGCTTGCGATACAGATGCGCAGCCGAGAAGCTGCACAGGACTGCGCGGATGCCTTGCGGGACTTCAGAAGCCAAGAATTGCTGACGTGGACCCAGACACCAAGCTTGAGAATGAGGCGGGGTCTCATAATAATTACCTGCAGTTTTGACCTTAAAAGGTCAAGGTGCCGTAGTCTCAATGAGTGATCTAGCTGCAGACAACCAGAGCGTGCTTTGAGCAGGTGATGCCGGAAGAAGGGCCCAGGGCCGAGGCGTGCTGGCCTAGTTTAGACCGCAAAGACGCGACAAGCAGTCAGTAGTTCTGAACGATGTTGAATGATCTTTATGCCGTTTCCTCCTTATGACTGCGTCCTTATCAGACGTTGAGGATGACTGGCTCGCAGCTGAGGTTCGACACACAGAGTCACCAGCCCTTATCTCCAGGTCCCAATCCGGCACCAGTGATGTGCCTTGACTTGATTCGCTGTATTCACAAAGTTTACACACCACTTCGTTTTGGCCATGCTGCGCCACGCTAAATTTGATCGTACTTGCCGATACGTGGCGAACGCGGTGGCACATGCTGCAGCAGGGCATTGAGCCTTCATTCTGGAACATGTCGCTTCAAGCAAGTTCTGGCACTCGTCATGCTCTTGCATATGGGAGCATGTGCTCTTACACAGCACAGACGGTTGCAAAAGCTGCCAAGGAGTCACGCGAAGCATCGGTTCGGCCGACACTGCTGACCTCCAAGGCTGGGGGGACCACGGCAGACATGCAGACCTTGCAGCAGTCGACACAAAGCCTGGTCAGAAATCAATGGTTTTTCATCTGCCACTGCCAGATTTTGCAACATCTCCCAACAGATTTTGCAACATCAGCTTATAACGTCCTCCTCCCAAAAACAACACGAAAGAAGCGTTTGAGGATCGTTTCATTTTCACAGCCTCCGCCCCTGCCATTGGGTCGGAATTAAAGGACAGGAGATTGGGCATTTAGGGCAAGGGATGGTTGTGTAGGATTGGTGTCTAATCGGTGTGTTGACATGAATGCTTTGATTTTGGGTTTGTGGAAGGCATGGTGTATCCCGAAGCAGCTACCTTTCCCTCTGCCCCTGCTTGCTTGGTCTGCAAAGGCCTGTGCGCCAGAAGGCGGCCCTGTCAAGAAGGAGCAGGATGAGGCGGTCGCATGCATTTTTGTTTAATGTTTTGTCATGGCTCGTTGGCTGTTTCTGGGTTTCTGACGGTGGAGTGCGTCCAACCGTGCCAGCTTCATGAGCCGCTGGTGTTGGAACTGCTGGTGGTAGTTACGGAGTGCTCCCAGGATGCCGAAGAGCTGGAGAACTCGACTGTGGCCATGACGACTGCGAGCTGGATGAATTGAGCATCGATGCGTAGGGCATGCACAAAGCTGCAACATGCCAACCCAATCATCTCTAATACAACGAGATCAAACGAGTCCATTTACCAAGACGGGCCATGAGTCCGAATCAGAATCATGGTGGTGGCTGCCCTGCATGGTGAGAAAGCGAGGGCCAGTGTCCTACGACTAAGTGAAACCGTAGCTGTCGATTCTAAACATCGAGTTGTAAGTTGTCAGCGTCGGCCACCCGAGGGCAACGTCTCGGAAGACGAGGGTTCTGCACACTCAACGCCTCGAAATCGTCTGGATTGCTGCACTGCGGCACCCGCACTTCCAGAATGGGCGACTTTGACCTAGAATGCAAGGAGATTCTTAGTACTTAGGGATCATTTGATTTGATCAGAGTGACTGTTCCTTGGCCTGGACATCCCTAAGCCCGTCCTGCTCCGTTACGTGCTCTGCTCTTCGGGGAAAGTCTTCAGGAGGCGCTTTCACGCTTTAGCAGCAGGGATACTTTGAAACTGTTGAGAGACTCCCAGGACACCGATGACTTCCTGAACCTCTCGGCCAGGATGGGACAGGCGGAGCAGCTGTAGTTCGGACTTCACTCAAGCTCAAGCATGCGAACAGGATTCCATGTCAAGCATACAACAGCCTTCGCCTCGTCTGCTCATAGACAGATGTATTGATTAGCCCCATACCGGTCTCTTTCAGGTCTCATAGCGAGATAGAACCTTTGACGATGACAGCTCTGCTTTCGAGGCCGCATGGAATGGTTCTCAGGAAGCTGCCCGCTTATTGGCAGTGTCACTGCGTAGGGCAGCGGAGCTCGCCGAGCCCCATGTGTGCCTTGGTGGAGCTGTTTGGGGAACATAATGGCGGTCTTCCCATCGGTGGCAATGCTTCCACTGACTGATTCCCATAATGACCGTCAGGTTGAGGAAGTTAAAGGCCAAGACTTAGGTGTCAGGGTTCAGAAGGGTCTGAACGCTCCACCAATCCCGCAACAGTTGTTGGTGTCGACGGGGGGGGAGGGAAGGGGTTCACTAATCAGAACCCCACGTTAGTACTAACAAACCGTAAAGATCGCAGACACGCCAGCCGCCAGCTGTTCTTGAAAAAACAATTTCTCGAGTTAACTCATGGGGATCTGTTGATGTAGACGCCCTGGAGAAGTATGCCTATCTATCATCATGCTTGACATCGACCTCCTACCGAAGACTAGGCTGACTGTTGCCTCCTCCTCGCTAGTTTAGGACCTCACTTGCCGATTCTGCCACAGACGCCATCAAGTGATTTGGCGGCGGTTCATGGTTCGAACGGTTCGTGCTGATTCTCCCAGGTCCTGAGCCAGGGTTCTGGTATTGAGGCAGATTGGCAAAAAGTAATGTGCTGAGTGTCCTTGGGCATCTCTGTTTGCAAATTCAGCGCGTATAACACGTTGTGTATGGAAATCCCTGGTTCCGAATGTCTGGTTTCTCACACACCCGCAAAACTCAACAGTTCTGCTCAATGACATCGTGATGAATGTGACGTAGGGGTCCGCCCTCCAATGCAGCATCTCATTCCAATCCTTAGCAGCGGCATCAAGCCTGTTAGCTCCGGCCGTATACTCTGCAAGAATCACATTCAAGAGGACGCTTCACTGGCCTGGGCCCTCAAACTTGTCGTCTGTTCTCCGTTGAAGAGGAATCTTATGCTTGTGTTCATGCCAGGCGATTGGCACACTTCTCAATGGATACGTCAAATTGCTGACGTAAGCCCACTTCCCAGGTCCGCAGCCAAGAGGGCGTTAGCGGCGCCGCCGCCTGCACCAGAGCTCAGTCGATCCACTTGGGAGGCCCCGGGATGCAAGGGAGGAGCTTAGGGGCAGAATCATCACGAATTACCAGCAGCAACAATCCACCCAGTGCTCTTGAACCATTCCATCTCGAACTCCTCCTGAGTCTGCTGTCAGCAGTGGGTTGTGGATACCATTCCTTGGTGCAGCTTGAATCTGTACACTTTTCTTGTTGCTGGAGCCTGGAGCTGCAACGTTTCAATTTCGCCTCAGCTCTCCACTTCAGGCAACCAGCCATCGGGCACTCACTCATCCATGTGGCTCTGCCGCACCGGTGTTTCCTGATCTTGCAGACTTTGCGGCTGGGCTGCAATGCGGACATGTCTTGCACCGGGCCGTGGCACTGGGGAGAGAACCTCTCTGACACATTGGCTGCTGCGCCCACCAGCCTCCAAGGACCCTTGTCCAAACAGTTTGCCACTCCCTGCCATGCCAGCAGGCTGGCCCAGGACTGATCATGTCGGGCGGCTGGTCAAGAACAATAATAAAGATAGATAAAGCCAAAACAAGGCAGCGCCAGTCGCAGTGGTAGTTGCAGTAGTAATCGGGCGAGGAAGAGGCTTTCCTATGGAAATTCAGGAACTAGAGGTTTCCTATTCAAATGTAATTAGGCGAAATAGTACATAGACGTTTCCTATTCAATCTCGAGAATGAGAGGTTTTCCTGCTAAAGAATCGATGCAACGGAGGTACCTGATAACTTTTGGGAAACATAAGTTTTCTGATAAAATAACGGGAGGAACTGGAGGTTTGGAATTGTAGGGGAAATACAATGGAAGTAGAAAGTTTTCCTAAGCAAGCTTGCAAGGCTTCAACATAAAGGAACTTAGGGGTTTGGGGGGGGACTTTGCACAGCCCGCAGCATACACACATGTCGGTTGTTTTTTTAAGCAAGGGGTTTGGGTGGGCACAGACCCCCCATTTACAAGCACAATGCTGGCATGACGGTTGAACAGGATGTGCAGGACCAGTGGGCGGGAGGTCAGCTTGATGTATTGGTTGTTAATCCTCAGTTTTGGTCGATCCTTATCGTTGTCTTGATCCCTATGCCCGTACGCGGCTTAACCAGTCTTAAAGGAATGAACGAAACAAATCGAGTGTTTAGTGCTTCAAACACACTCCGCTACAACTTATGTTTGCCATGCTTGTCGTGAGCGGAGATGCGCAGGGTGGTAACTCAGGGAAGAGGACGCATCCATCACAGCAGCTGCAAGTGTGTGCATCCTGCTTCTGCACACGTGTTGCAGGACCCCTCTACAGCTGGGCAGCCTGCGTTTGCCGCCCATGCAGCCCCAGTTGCTCGCTGTGCCGGCTTGAACGGGAATAGGCGGTTAAGCTAAGGGCATTCGACTCTCGGACTTAGCAACCTGCCTGTAGGTTGTTTTGGGATGCGCCAACTTCGTGCGAGTTGAAAAGTTTAAACCCACTTGTCGAACGGCCCGGGTTCTCCCATGAGCAAAAATGGTGGCTGTCTCAAACCTCAGCAGTATGCCAGCAACTGCCCCCGTCGCTTCAGAACAGGTTCGATCTCAGTCGGGATGCGCAACTGCGCTACTCGCTGCCTGGCGTCCTGGCTACACTTTTGCAGACTGGCTTGTGGAGGGGGTGCATGCAGTTGAAGGGTGATCGTTGAGTGTTGGGATGAAATGGTTCACGGGCAAAGGAAGGCTCGATGCGTGCAGGACGTCGTGCTCGCTGTGTGAGGGCCCGTTTCTTTGAACAGGCATTTTTCATCGCAGATTCTGCATCACATGTCTGCTTTCCACCAAGGCATCAACCAGAAGAGCCAGTCCTTCTGTATTCCAGGCCCGGCTTCGCCTGTGCTGCAACCAAATTGCAAGGCAAGGGCATCACAAGCAGCCTCGGATGTAAAGGAAGGCCAGCACATTTGTCCACCCAGTCGCTTTCGTAAAATCATGATGTGAATGAACCGAGGCCCCAAGCATTGCTCATTGTCAGACTATCGAAAGATCACGAAAGCATGGGCAGGTGCGGCCGCAGTGAACTCGTTCGCCGGAAGACCTCAGCCTCAACGGATGGTGTCAGCACAGCCAGCCTACCACACACCTCATCCTGGCTACGCTCCACAGACCTTTGGATCCCTGTTAATGCTTGTTCCCGTAGCTACTTTCTTTGACGTTTCTGTCGGCACTTCGGAAAGAAACTGGCTGCCCTGGGCCAAGGATTCTATCTGCACCACCCAGTTTCCGACTCTCTGACGGCCCAATTTTGGTGGCCCAGGTGGCCCAGGTGGCCCAGGTTCCTTCAGTGACCTCAGTGACCTCAGTGCCTGTGGCGCCTCCAGAAGGGCCTCTGGTTCAACCGCGCAGCTCTCGTTCAGAAGGGCCTACCCTGGCTTTGGCACCCGTCCGGCCAGGAGAGACTTCAGGAAATCGCAGGCCATTGGATCGCAATCGCGTCAGGACTGAAGTGACTGAAGCCAACTAAGGCAAGGCGCCGTCTCACAGCGGTACTGCACACGGCACTTTCTTGCTTCGCATCCCTGTTGCTTGATGGAGTGCAGTTGATGCTGGGCGTACGCCCTGGCAGCGGAGTTTGGAATGCCTTTCTCCATATTTAAATTAGTTGGCAATTTTTTCGTGTAGTGCCAATGCTACTGTACAGGCAATAAAGGCAACGTATGCTACACCATCACCAAGCATGGTAAAGCAGCCCGCCACACTTAGTGTGGCCCATTGACCTGTTCGTGAAGGCTGAGCAGGTAACGATTGTTTCGAGCAAAGCCCCAACCTGGCCCTACTAGATCGCAGTTCATTGTGCGTTTGGCATCAACCTTTGGAGACAGTCGTATAGTAACATGTACAGCGGTGCTGTGACCAGCAAGAATTCGAGCCATTAAGACATGGTTGTCAATGATGCTCCTTTGACAGCAACGGCGCCAGACAGAGCGAGTCACTTGTGTCAATTCTCATGCCTATCAGTTCTGTCAGTTCTCAGCTTTATCAGTTCGGCAGGAGCTATCGAAGTGGAAGTACGCGAATATTAGAAATTAGAACAATGTGTGGTGGTATCCTGGGACAGAGCGAGCAAAACGATGTATGGATTCTGAGAATCAAGGCCTCATCTTTTGTTTTCTCTTTTATTGGCGCATCTGATCAGACTGACGCATCGGATGTCTTTCTTTGCTGCTGGCTGCTGCTGGCTGCTGTTTGTTTTGACGACGCAGGGCTCAGCAGTGCGACGGCGTGCCCAGCGCCAGGTGCGGAAGTGTGCTCTCCAAATCTTTGCAGGTCTCAAGTGGCCATGTTTGTCATTGTCGGTCCTAGATTGGGTACCTGCAGTGAATCATTGCAGCTCAGGTGTTTTCATGCGCATGCCACTGGAACAGTAAGAAGTCCAACGTTGCAGTTTTGCAGCTGCTTCTTAATCTGGATTGCTCGGTAGATGGGCGCTTGCAACAGGATGTATTGCAGTGGACTGTTGCAACACATCAAACACATCATCGCCTTGCTGGCTGGCAACTACAAGGCTCAAGCAGTAGTGCTGAAGCCGTGAACATATAGTAGTAGACAGATTTGCTCTTGTGGCATGCGCTGAGGGGCGCTATGCAGAACGAGTTCACCTTTGAGGTTGAGCTGCACCGCACTCCAGACACACCACTGGGCATAGACTTGATCCTTGCAAAGACCAAGTTGGATGGGAGCTTGTTAGTGGTGGAGAAAGTGAGGCCTGGCGGCTTGATTGAGGAGTGGAACCGCAAGGCTGTTGGACCTTACCGCGTGCAAGCAGGAGATCTCATCGCGAGCGCCAATGGTGTGAAAGATGACGCAAATGCCATCTCCAATCTTCTGCGCAGTTCCCAAGACACCCTCCGTATCACCGTGCTGCGCAAGCAGCTGCTGGACTCGCAGTTTCTACCGCAGACGCAGGTACCCCAAGTACTGCCCGAGAGGCACGGCCCTGCTGTGCTCGAGTCTGCGGTGGGCCCCATGACAAGGGCAAGCATTGCAAGCATGCCTCGCGTGGAGGGCATGGGGCAATTTGGCCGAACGCCTTTGGTGGCGCCAAGCCCTGCAGCCATGCCAGAGGTGCCCAGCAAGACAAGCCCAGAAGGTTTCACGTTCGAAGTGACCCTCCACAAGCCCTATGGAGCATACCTGGGAATTGACATGCTTCCAGCACCGGAAGTTGCCTGCCTAATGGTCAAGCAGGTGTTCCAGGGCGGTGTCGTGTTTGCATGGAACAGCCAGTGTGAAGGCAATGCCTTCACTATTCAGCCCGGGGACTACATCGTTCGTGTGAACAGCGTCTTCAGTGATATAAAGGCCATGATGGAAGAGATGAGGGCGAAGTCCGAGCTCCTGGTGACTTTGATGAGGAGAAGAACTTCTGAGGCTGCAGGTAGTGCAATGAGCACAAGCACTGCAAGCAGGAAGCTAGGTGGAAAGGGCTTTGCAAGCCGGTCGGTTCCCATGCCGGATGCACTATCCATGCCAAGCTCCCGGCTTCAGCAGCTCGGCGGGGCAAGTGAAATGGACTATTCCACCGGCACTCCTTGGCAAGAGGAGAGTCAGAGTCTTAGAGGGCAGCCACCGGCACTACCAGGGCAACCTTTCACATTTCAGGTGGACATCGAGAAGCCGTTGGGTCGTAAGCTTGGTGTGGATGTGATGCTCATCACTGGGCAAGGCTCATGCGGCCTGCTAGTTGGACAAGTAGCTCCCGGGAGCTATGTTGATCAATGGAACAAACGGAACCAGTGGCCTCTACAGATTCAAAAGGGGGACCTCATTGTTGCTGCCAACGGCATCAACGCATGGACCTCCTTGCCAAGAATGGCTCAGGAATTCGATGTCGATGTTCAACGAGTATGTTTCACAGTACAGCGATCTGCTTCCGCAATGCAGAGTTCGGCACCGGCAAACCCTTCTCCCATGGTCTCGCCTTCAATGCAGTCGCCGCAGATGTCGTCTATGACCGCACCTTCGGTCGATATGCCAGTGGAAAACAGCTGGTGGCATGGTATGTCTGGGATGGCTCCAGGCAACTGGGTCAAACCGCTCGGCACGTCACCTGTGCCTCAGGACCGGTCGAGCAAATCAAGAATCCAGCCAGTGCAGATCAGTGCCCCTAGCCGCAGCAAGTACTCACAATCCTTGCCGGCGCCGGACATGCCCGAGGATTTTGTGATGCCTCCAGGCCTCCCAGCCAGCAGAGGCCAGCCTGCCACCATCCCTTTGGAGATGCAGAAGGAGGCGCGAATTGCAGTGTTGAAAGGGCAGTATGGTATATACGGTATGTGCGAGCAGCCTGTGCACCTATTTCTCTTGTTTAAGGTTTGTAGTGGTGCAAATGCAGAAAGCTTGTGATGCAGCAAGAAAACATGGCAGCTAGCTCGACTGTAGCCGATTTTCGACCACAGTCCCAAAGAGTTACGAGAAAACCATGGGGCCTCTCATGTCTTCTATGCATCAGCATGTATGGGGCCTTGCTCCATCCCCCTGACAGAATTCCAACAAGATGCCGGCCAAGATTCCCGACATGTCCTCTGCGATGCCGCAAGTTGCCCGGCCTGTTGGGGTCGACTTTCTGTTTTATCTGGTTTGAACAACCCCCCCCCCCCCCCGAATTATGGGCATAGGCATCAAAAAAAAAAATAATAAGCATCAAAAAGAAAAATAATAGGGATCAATAAAAAAAATAATAAGCATCAAAAAAAAAAATAAGCCATCCGGCCCACCTGCGTGGTCCTCTGGTCCCGTGGTCCTCTGGTCCCGTGGTCCTCTGGTCCCGTGGTCCTCTGGTCCCGTGGTCCTCTGGTCCCGTGGTTCTGGCCGTGGTCCGTGGTCCGTGGTCCCCTGGTCCCGTGGTCCCCTGGTCTTGTGGTCCCCTGGTCCTCTGGTCCTCTGGTCTGCTTGTCTGTCCACCTGGTCCTGCAGGTCCTATGCGTAGAAATAAATAAATATTGTATATTATGTATTATGTATTATGTATTATGTATTATGTATTAAATATGTATTATGAATTCTATATTATGTTTTATGTTTTATGTACTATGTATTATGACTTATATATTATATGTTTTATATTATGTATTCTGTATTATGTATTATGTATTATGTGTTGTGTATTATGTATTATATATTGCATGTTTATTATGTCGTATGTACTATGTATTATATATTATATATTATATATTATATATTATGTATTATAGATTATATTTTATATTATACTTATTTTCTATATATATAGATATTATATTATATTCTTTTTTATTATATATATATAATATTATATATATATATATTATATTATATAGAATATATATATATATTTATATATATATATATATAATATTTATATATATTATCTTATATTATATATATATTATATATATTATAGTTATTATATTTATTATTATATATGTTATATATACTATTATATATATATTAATATTTATATCTATATATATATATATTTTATTTATATATATATATATTATATATTATATAATTTTATATAATATATATATATTAATATATTATATATATATATACTATTATTATATTTATTATCTATATTATTATAATTTATATATTCATTATATTTTTATATATTATATTTTTTTCTATATATATTATTATATATTATAATTATATATTATATATTATATATAGTATATATAAATATATATATCTATTATATATGTATTATATATATATATATATATTATATTATATATATAATATTATATATATATATATATTTATACATAGTATATTAATATATATTATATACTATATACATACTATACAATATATAAAATGTCTATTTTTTATTATTTCTTAATTTCTTTTTTATTATTCATTATATAGTATATTTTATATATTATGTAGTATGTATTATATATTGTTCTTTGAAGCCATTGGAATGCAAAGAAAATGGAAGTTTTTTGCTTAAAACATGTAGAAGTAGAGTTTTTCCGATGGAAACATAGAGATAATAGAGGATTTCTCATGAAAACGTGAAGACAGTAGACGTTTTCTTGTGGGAGTATGAAGAAATAGAGGTTTTCCCATTGAAAGATCGAGAAAATAGAAGGTTTTCCAACCACTAACCACTACCACCACTTCTACGCATCGTGCGAACATTGTTTGCAAATGGGGGGGGCTGCGCCCCCCCCAACCCCCCCGCTGTTTTTTTTTAACTGTGCAAAGCGTGCTGCAAAGCCAAGTGGGGGGGGTGGGGGGGGCTGCACCAACCCCAACCCCCCCGCGTTTTTATCAAGCTGTGCCACTGCAAAGCGTGTGCGTTATGAATCTTGTTGAAGCCATTGGGATACTAAAAAGATTAAGTTTTTCTTAAAATATCTGGAAATAGAGGTTTTCCGATGGAAACATAGAGATGATAGAGGTTTCCTATGAAAACGTGAAGAAAATAGAGGTTTTCTTGTGGGAATATGAAGAAATAGAGGTTTTCCTATTAAGAGATCGAGAAAATAGAAGGTTTTCCAACCACTACCACCACCCACTATTACCCATCGTGCGAGCATTGTGTTTGCAAGTGGGGGGGGGGGGGGGGGGGGCTGCGCCCCCCCCCCAACCCCCCCCCCCCCCCAAACCCCCCCCCCCCCCCCCCCCAACCCCCCCCCCCCAACCCCCCCCCCACCCCCCCCCCCAACCCCCCCCCCCCCAACCCCCCCCCCCCCCCCCCCCCCCCCCCCCCCCCCTGCTGTATTCCAAGAGGAAAATGGGTTATTTTTTTTTTTGATGCTTATTTATTTTTTTTTTGATCCCTTGGGGTTATTTTTTTTTTTGATGCTTATTTATTTTTTTTTTGATCCTTCACCCCGAATTATGTGTTGATCTGGTTTTGAGCATTAGAACTTGTATGTGTCAGCTCTTTTCTGGAAGCACCAATTTCAAAGCATTTGTCCATCTTTTGAAAGCTGTTTTTCTGCAATTCTTTACAAGCTCCACTGCTTGCGCACACGAAAATTTGTTCTTGACCTTTCTTATCCTGGGGGCGCAGAGCCATCTCCCAGCTAGGACACTCAAGCTTGAACCATTCCACAAGCAAGTTGGACAAGCCAAATGAGGTGACTGAGTTTTCTTTCTTCCCAAGCCCAACCACACGACGTTTAATTTTACATCGTCAAACAAAACTAGAGTTGGGTATCTTATACATGGACCTCTCGCATGGTGCATGCTCGAAGCCCATTGGGGCCTCAGGTTTGGAAAGGCCCCAGATGACAGCGAAAGCTTAAAGCTGCCAAGCCTAATCCTGCAATCGATACCAGCCCGCACGCTCCAGACTCAAGACATGTCTAGGCATGATATCGTTGCCCACGTCGCCGAAGGAAGTGCGGCTCACGCCGGAGGCGAACGCTGCAGCGGATGCCGCAGAGGCCACAGCCACGGCCATTGCTGCGGCAGTGGTAGAGGCCAGGTTGAACACGTGTGTGCAGTGCCTCTGGGGATGCTTGGAAGTTAGGCCGAACGCCGAGAATGTCTTCAACTCGTCCTAATCATTTTCTGAATTGCGCCCGACAGGACCTGGGATTCCAAGAGGACAGGCCAGAAGCAAAATCCAAGGTGCCTCCAGCAAAGCTTCTGCTTTGTACTTTGCAGCTGGGCAGCACAATCAACCCATATACTATGCCTATGCCATATACTATACCCTGTGCTACTCTAGAGCGGGGGCAGATCTGGCAGCTTCTGAGCTGCGTCATGCCAGAGAGGTCGTGTGCAGACAGGTTCCCACTTCCCACTGTTTTGCACGACTTGCCGCTCAAAGGCAAGCAGATTGTGTAGTTCTGAGGCTTTTCAATGCCTGCTGCTCAGGCAGTAGTCGGCGCTGACTGAGAGACCGTGGTGAGTGAGTGAGTGAGTGAGTGAGTGAGTATACTCAGCAACAAGCGCCGAGAACTAGTATATTGCGGTAAGGACTGTGGGTTTGGACCCAGGCTCCTTCAAGACGAAATCACATCAGTTGTTGCGGTTGCTGATCGTCATGCAGCAGTTGCTGCCAAAGCTGCTGCCACTGTCGTGTTTGTTGTTGTCATGATGTTTCTATTGTCACTGCCATTAGTTGATGAATGAGTTGTATGGCGGTTGCTGGCAGGGAAACCTTCGCTGCAGTTGCTGTTGCCGGTGCTGTTGCTGCGGGTGATGTCGATAGAAGAGCACATGCGAGAATGACATTGCAATCTGGGGCATGCGCAGTGAAGTTGAAATTCTCCACTACTTTCGAGAATCACACAATGCCACGAGATGCGACGAGCCAAGGCAGCTTAGCGATGAGGACCTGACGCATGTTCTGCAGGAGGCCCTCGGTCGACGCCCTTGGCTCACCACACCTGTCAAGCAGGCGATGCGGGAGCATTCGGCAACGCGGAGCACGAGACAGCAGTAATTTGGAAGCTCTCTCTTCCAAAGTCTCAGAGACCGAGGCCAGCAAGGTTCCCCACCATTTTTGGCCGAATCAGACAGGGAACTGAGCAGCGGGAGCTATTAGAGCGGAATACCAAACCGCGAGTTTTCCTCCGTGTTGTAATCGCGCATGTCCTGCTGGGCCGACCCGACTCGCTGCAAAACGGCGTGAACAAAGTGCGTGCTCTGAGCCGTGCGTCCCTGAAGCTTCACAATGCTTCGTAGGATCTGTCTGCGCTGCATCACATTTTGACAACGCGTGTGGCCATTGGCCATGGGCAGGCTGATGACGGGGAGGAAGCTGCTTCTGCACGGGCCCAGAAACAACAGAGTTATGTGAGGAGACTAGAGTGAGTGCAGGGTTTGGTCCGAATCCAGGCTTCCAGGTGGATTCTGCGGTTGAGTTAAATCATGTGAGGCTTATGGCAAACAATGGTGGAATTTTGGAAGCTGTTTGCAGTTTGGGTAAATCAAACCTTTCTTGTCATGCAGAAAGCTTTGTGGTCCGAGGTGCTGGAAGCGCCGAGCTGATTTCCAATCGCTCTACAGATGCCATCAAGCAAGTCTTCGCATGCAAAAAGAAATGCAGTGGTCACTCCGAGTTTAGCTGGGTGGTGCCGGGGCACGAAGCTCAAGGATCGGAGACATGCGATGCTCACAAGATAGGCGAAAGACACGAAATCTCATAGATCAACAGCTATAGTTGCAAACAGTAGCTGCAAGCCTCAGCCAGTTCTCCAGTCCTTCGGTTTGGCGTCATGTATGTTTGGAGCACAGACATGTTGTAAAGTGCAATATCAGCAAATGAAAGCTTCTTTGATTTGTGATGCAGGTCATTAAGGGGCGTCCAGGAAAGCCTGAAAGCCTGCGAAGCCATAGGAGCATCTGGAGAGTCACACCCCAAAGTTGATTCATGGAGGGTCATGTGGTCATACTGGATCACAAGCCCCCTCCATGCATGAAGCGAAAATCCGGATTCCCAAGACTCACAAAAACTCTGGCAATTAGGAGGTGCCTATTTGCGACGATCAATCCCCTCCGCCCGCCCTCCGCCCACTCCAAACAAATCCAAGGCCAAGCCGCTTCAAAAAGCCAATCTTTCGAACATGTCTACAATTGCAACCCTCATGACCGACAATGTTCTTGATTTCGCCAAAACTGGCAGACCTTCACGCAAGCCGATTTCATCCCGCAAAAACTTAATCTGACAGTTGTTCATAAAGACGCATTGCATATGTTCGGGTTTTTCATGGCTGCTTGCAAGGTCAGCATCATCCAACTTGTCGGCTTAAACGTCCAGGGCAGATCAAGTCAGGTCCAGACGGCACTTCGTGGAGCTTGACAACAAGCGGCAAAGTCGCATGCGAAATGTCACCATAACTAAATGCAGCATAGCAAGAATTTTCTGACTGCAAGAAGTCCCGGTTGCAAAAAAAATTGCAGCCGAGGGCCCAGGAGAAAAGGAGAAGCAAAAGCATGCAGAAGGCACTGAGCCTTAGCTTCGGCAGCGGCCCAAGAAAGCACGATAGACTTATGAATATGCATATATATATATATATATACAGACATGTGCATGCATGTGTGTGTGTGTGTGTGTGTGTGTCTGTGTGTGTCTGTGTGTGTGTGTGTGTGTCTGTGTGTTTCTTTTAGGGGGAAGGTTGACGCTGACTTCGATGTCTGGATTTGTTGGGACAACCGTACTGTACCACAAACTCCGTGCTGATCCTCATTTATCACTTGTCTTAGATCCTCTCATGTGAAGTTGTGTTCTCCTTAGGCATGCTTTTGTTGATCCCCCAGTCCCGTGATCCCTAGCCTGCGTCAACCTTGCACGAGGAGAAGAGACGCAAACCTTCCATGCCGTTACATGGATCTTACCATGGTGCCACACATATGGACACAACTATCTAAGGCACATGCCGCTACAACCAAGATGACTTAAATCTTTGGAGTTCGCCCCGCAAATTCGAAAGCTAAACCAACGTCAGTACACGCACATCGCTTGTGTGAGCACCCGCTGCAAGTACTGAACGCAGCTTATTCCCGCACAAGTTCTACTGCACTTCACTGCCTACGAAGTCTGTCGATTACATTGCACAAGAACCCATGGCGCTTCTTCCGGCGCAGCTGGCGCCTCTGGAGGAGGGTTCGAGTTGAATGGTTGGGATCCAAATTCCATGGACTTTCTCAAGATATGAGCGTTCAAGAGCATCAGTTGCTAGAAGCATGCATGCGTTAATTTCATCCCCTTGCTTTGACTGGGGGCCCACGGTCCTTGTAGGCACCAGACCCCCAAAGCAATACCTCTCAGATCCTCTCAGGAGCCGGCCGCTGCTCCTGGAGGCGCTGGCATTGCCACTGTGGAAGGCTTTTTAAATTTTTGGACGCTTTTTGAAGTTCACAATCGGGCTGAGTAGAGTCAATAGAGTCTGCCAAAAGAGTGAGGACTAGGCCTTTCAGATTTGATTTGCTACCCATACCCCGCACCTCCACCTTCCCTGCCTCAAGCCGGAGCAGTCAATAAGCAAGCTCTACTCCACATGGGGGCGCGCACAGCGCCTGGCATGACAATGACAATCCTGTCATTGTCGCTGGGCGAGTTTCAAGTAAGTGAAGCCAGGCCTTCGCGGGCTTCGGCGACCTGGGACGTCAGGCAGGGAAGTAATGTTGCACCTGCTCTAGCAACGTTAGCGTCTACTACGCGAAGTTTGAAGAAATCATTCAAAGAGCCTTTCTGGATGATGTTACCATGTGCGAAGTTCTCGGGCCAAGGAACCCGGAGGGCAAGAAGCAAATGGTTAATGAATCAGCAGCAGAGAGCTCTTAGTCGCTTTCAGATCCCCGAAATTTCTGGAGCCGAGTTTTAAAATTTGCTTACGAAACAAGGCCCCAAACAACTCATGCACTTTAGTATGGCTTGGGTGGTCCAGAATAATCCGAAGCCCCATTCCCATTCTTCCGAGACAGAACCTATCAACCCAACGCTGAGCTCCTCAACCCCTCGACCCCTCGGCCTCTCAACCCCTCACCCCTCGACCCTTCAACCCAAACCTGTTGATTGAGTATGTCCAACACCTGCAAGTTTTTGCGAGCACAACAACCATGTTTTCATTGCATTGTTGCTCCGCCTTTCGCTGAGTCTGCAGTACTGCTACAGCCGATGAACTTCTCCGGATTGCTGAGTTTGTTGCTGTTTGTTGAACATTCATGCGGCCGTGGATGTGGCACATCGGCCAGGTCCGCCTCTGCAGAAGTCCCACGAAGTTGGGGCAGTCAGCGACAGCCGCGGCATTGGTCCAGCATCCCTCGGTTAAGCTCTCGGACAGTCCTTGGGGGGAACGCCCCCGTTCCACTGGCTTGAAAATACCCTAGGCCAGAAACCGCATCATCCCCGTCAGAGGTTTGGCGCTGGCCGCGTGCGCCGCCCAGCGCTGCAGAGCACGCACAGTACGGCGAGCTGCTGCCGAGGCGGAGGCCGAGTGTCTTGGAATTTGCCCTGGCAAGCGCCAGCTTGCTAAGCACATTCATTCTACGATATAAGATAGTGATGCAGAAGGCATGCGGCAGGGGCAGAGCGAAAAGCATACGGCCTCAGTCATGTCGCAGATAGGACTTGTTTCCAGTTGGGGCCGCAATACTGAGGCTTTTTGAGATACGCAGGCTTGTTTTGACCTAGCTTCCGTTCGTCTGGGCCATTCAAACCGCTGTCGCACACAGAGCAACTATCCAAGGAAACCGGGGGCCTCCCACGTCGAATTCTCCTTGGCCGCTTTGCCTGGCTGTTGTAGCATGAGGGACACACAGCAATCAACAACAGGTCAACAAGCATTCATGAATCACGGCTTGTTCAACTTGTTCATTCGTAATGTCTACGGACTTTACCATGGGGAATTGCATTCTCTGCTGCTGACACAGATGGCGCGACCCTCCCTCCCAACTCACCAATTGTGGAGCAGTTTCTGGCACAGACTATGATAGAGTGATCGTTTCATGAAGGTTGACTCTCAAGCACATTGGTGAGAGACTCTGACGTCCTGCGCAGGGGGTGAGTCTGGAAAGTCCTGGAGCATTTGCCCAGCTTTGAACTCACGTGGGCACATCAGAATACGTCGTCTCACTTAGGCCGTTTTTCTGAGTCCCAAACCCATTGTAGCCATGGCCGACAAGAAATATAGCCTTTGATGGCATTTGATTGCCAATTCTGGAGCTTCTGAACAGCCGAGGCCTTGCGGGTGGGGCTGCGGGCTTGGTGGCACTGATACTTGGCACGGGGTAGCCTCACCGTGCCTCACTCACCATGCCACCATGCCTCAGCTTTCGGTTGAGACGATGGCTGTTGGATTCAGCGATAACTGAGAGCCGTACCGCCACTTCTGTTCCCAAGGAAGCGATTTGCCATCGATGGGCCGCCGGAGTTTGATCCAGCACCTGCATCGCTGAAGGGCAAGACGGCCGGGATGGGACGCTCAGAGCAACGGCGGCACATTGCACAGAGCGGTGACAACTTGCAACATCAAACTGTCAACAGGTGGTCATCACGGGTGGAAACACCGGAGCCTCGGTCAAAGCCAAATGAGAATCAGAGCGATTGTCCCCATGCATGTTGTGCATCGTTGAGCGGTTCGAGCCTTGGACCTTTTTCCTTTCCTTTATGATGTTGGAGGCCTTGGCAAGGAGTCCGCCGTGCGACTGGCAAAGGCTGGGAGGATTCTGCCGCCCAGTAACTCACGGTCATTCTTGCACACTCACGCTTTTCACAGTTTCGCGACAATTGATCAATCAATTGCTGGCACAGCAAGGTGCTTCACGTGGCTGCTGTCTTGCAACGCAGTTTTGTGTGGGCGTAGACATAGACATAGCCACATTGAGCCTGCACCTGGCGACTAGCAAGCTGCGAGGCCGGAGCCACCATCGTACTTACTGCTCGAAGCGAGGAGAAGGGTCGCAAGGCCTTGGCCGATGTGCAACTCGACATCATTGGGACATCATTGAGACATCACCAGCAACGGTGCATTTGAATGAAACCGCCTCTGTCACCGGAATGCGTTCTACAAAAACGTGACATCTGACCCCTAGCATACGCTTGCCCACCGTGCGTCACATAATTTGGGTACCTGTTGTAAATTGTACCTGGATTGCGCCCAAGAGGCAATCTTTGCGTTTGTCGGTTCGATCCGAGCAACAACCGACGCTGCTTTTGCTCAGGAAAGCTGCTTCCGGCAGTTCTGATGTTCACTTCCTCCAGAGCCTTGTCTGTCTATAGTCCCAAACTTTCTTGGTGACAGCGTGTACAGCACTTTGCAAAGTCATAAAACGGTGCTTACTCAGACATGGGCTAGTGTCTCTGCTTAGGCCTAGCATGCTAGCACAGCACTCTAAGAGTAAATGGATATGTTCTTCTTTGCTTCTTTGCGGGCCTGGGTTTATGAAAGCCAGGTGGTCATGCTTACGTGCGAAGCATATCCCGAAACACCCTCCTGAGTTGGTCAGATGAACGTGGTGGTGATATTTCGCCATTCGTCACTGTCATGAGCGTTATGACCCGCATCTCCTCAAGTCAAGGCTGGACCTTGCTGATCTGGAAAACGTGAAGTCCTTCAAGCAGCGCTTCACGAAAGAGAGTTACGGTGGGCCACGGTATGGAGATTGGAAAGTGTGTGACCAGAAAGCAGCAGATTCAGTAAACTCAGCGCCTGATAAAAGAAGGCTTTGCTGAGCTTCTTTCCGGGCGAATTGCGAACCCCGGATTGGCACAGGGGCACCAATTCCTCAGAGTCAAAGTGGGGCAGGTGAGAAGATCGACGTGCTCATGAACAACGCGGGGGTCATGGCAATCCCAGAAAGAAAGGACCAACACGAACCAACCTTCAGTCTACATGGAAGGGGTGTGCTCACCCTTCGCGGGCAGGAGACCAAGAACGGGTTTGAAGAGCAATTTGGCGTTAATCACCTTGGGCACTTTGCAGCTTGTCTGAATTGGAGCAGCTAAGCAGTCGAAAATGACTTCTGGCCGGTTGGTTCTTCCGAAGTCCAGCGTCAGGTTTTACAGGAGCACATCTAGACGGCTGGAACTGCACGCGTTGCGATAAGCAATTTGCAGACAAGGTTGTTCAGGGTTTGGCTTTCGAGCAAGGTGCTGTAATTTCAACCTGGCAGCTTCAAACAGATGACCGCATGTTCAGATGCTGGACCACCTTTTTGCCTTTTTGCCTGCACAATGAAGCGACCATGGCGAATGCAGCGATGGTAGGCGTCTTGTTCCCCGAGCAATCTTTGTCCTAAGAGATAGCAAAGCACCTTTCAAACGCGAGTCTCCTGTATGGAAGGAGTGTGGCATGCTGCAAACTCAACTAATACTAATAGCCATAGCTGTGCTGCCACAACTAGCCTCAAGAAACTGCTTGACATTGCATTGAGCTCCTTGGACCCATGGCAGCTGCGGCGCAGCTAAAGGCCGGGGCTCACTTCATTACCTACAGTCCACTTCAAACACTCTTGTATTTGTGCCCCACGAAACTCCCGAACGCCTTGCCTCGAGGTGGAGCCTGTTCTGGCCCGCCCCTGGGTGCTTCTGCGCAATGCTGCTTGGCAACATGTACTGGCAACACATTTCCGACATGAAACATGAAGTCACCACAGGCCATGGACACAACTCACATGCCGTCCTGGCTTCAACGAGATCATCTCCAATTCACTGAGAAGCTTTTCAGCAAAGGCGCGTCGACTGCACAAATTCTTCAGGCCCCATAGGTGAACGTTTTACATGCAGCGATCGAAGTGAGGTTAATGTAAATTGCGAACGAAAGAGCCCAGCTGAGAATGCTGTAAAGAAAGAAGGGAAGGGGAAACCTGAAGAGATCGAGCAAGAGAGGCTGTGAGCACACAAGACCAGAAGCTGTTTCTCATAGCGAATTGAGGCCATTTTTTGGGGCAATTTATTCTTGTGCAGCGGAGGTATTCATGCAACTCCGGTTCTTGTGGCGCAGACGCTCTACAAGATGAAGGGGTGGCATCACTGACGGTTAGTTGCACAAACCAGATGTTCGCTGACATGTAGCGCTGGCACAAGCTTGAGTTGCGCGCAGAGTGCCCTGAAGGCAAACTCCTCACGTTGCTTTCGTGGGCAGATCCAATGTTGGCAAGTCCACCCTTCTGAAGCTTTTGCTGATTTGAGTTCCATGTTTCCAGGCGAGGCTTGTATAGCGAGTTGTCATAAGCCGAACGTCAGCGACTTTGTTCTTACTTACATTAAATGCAGCACCGATGGACACCTGAAATGCGGCAAGGGGTGCTTCCAGGCAGTTGTCCACAAGTTGCCCATGTTTGATTCTGCGATCTGAGGAACATGCTGCTGCATCGTCGGCCTTCTCCTGTTCCTGAGCACTGGAGTAACAGTTCCCTACTCAGCAGAAGCCGCCACAACGGGCCCGTTCTGTGCCAATCCGCACGGCTTGTTCCTTTCTTACGGCTGCCGTTGCGCACTTTGTTCCGATGCGTGAACCACCTAAAGCGCCAGCCCAGGCAGGAAGCTGCGCTTGCCAACCGCAGCGCCCGTATCACACACGCCTGGAAGGACAGCTGCAGAAGCAAGTAGAGGAATTACTTGCTCACTTTTTGTCCTGAAAGCACGCAGGACGCGGCATTTGTTCCGGTTTGAGCTGGGCGGAGCCCTTACGTTGGTGGATCTGCCAGGATATGGACACGCGGCGAAAACTCCAAAGGAGGCTGTGCACAGTTCTACTGCACATGCTAGCAAGGCTTTCGCATGCGTTCTCTTGTCAGACAGGAGAATGCACGTGCTCTGCAGGTGAAGGAGAGCTGGAGAGACTTAATCGATGGATACCTGTACCTGGACAGCAGAAGAGTTCTCATCAGTCAGAAGAAGCATCAAACATCTGAAAGGTTTGAGCTTGAAAGCCCTTTCCTACAACGATGAGCCATTTCCTGATCACATTCTGTCCTCTCGTCCTGCGATTGTCCTGTGAGAGTCGAAGTCGCCCTGATGAACGGCTTCTTGCCGAAACATGTGGTTTTCTTGGGATGTCCAGGACCAATGCTGATCACCTCCGCCTAGTGGTGTCCCTGGTGGACGGCAGAGTCGGCGTGAAGCGATCAGATGCTGCTGGGCTCACAAATTTCGACTGAGGAGAACAGAACCCCGCGCATCAAGAGCCACGCGAAATGCAGTAGCCAGCTTGCGCGCAAGCTTGCCAAAAAAGCCACGGATCGGCACCGCGCCGCAAGACCCACATGGCACGGACAGTTTCGTATACTCACGGCGGAAATACATGGCATTGCTGCCTACGCATCTACCGTTGCGTAGGCCTGCTTGCTTTGAAGCAAGCAATTTTTTGAGGCCGGGGCTTGCATAATTATTAATTATCCCTTGGTAACTGACATTTAGAATATTACAGGGTTAAGTTTGCGTAGAATTCATCTGGCTCAAGCATTCTTGAGTTCTTAAGCCAGCTAACATGACACAGGGACCACGTAAAATCAGTTAAAGACGTTTGCATGTGTTCTCGCTTTCGGAGAAGCTACGCGGGAAGCAGCTGCAAGTTGCAAGTATTTAGTTCAAAAACTCCTCATCAAGGCACTTTTCTTTAGGCACCATTCCGCAAGCAACCGGACATACTTCAAGATTTCTCTAGGATCACATGAGCTTCCGGTCTAAAACTTGGTCCTGGGGTGATAGTGACTATACGCCCAGTTTACGCCAATATATCCACATGCCGTGACCGTATTTTGACACTTTATGACAAGCCAAGGCACATAGCAGTTCTTGAGCCCTCCAAGACGAAATACAACTTGCCAACATGTAGGTAAAGGTTATTCAGCTTTGTTCGTTCAAGCCTAAGGATTTAGCTCAGCAGTCGTCCCAAGATTCTAAGGAGGAGTTGTGGGAGCTTTTGGAGGAGCGGGAAAGACAGCTCATGGTGGTGCTCACCAAGGTCCACCTAAACCTTGAGTTGTTTTGGGCCATTCAGCACACCGCTGTGCTTCCTCAAGTCCAAAAAAGTGTCAGATGCAGGTTGACCAGTGCTCGCCGGAAGTGCTCAATAGGACCATGGCACATGTTGTGAACCTTGACTCCAACTGGTTTTAGTGGATTTCAAGGAACGCAGCCTGTTGGGCTGGCACGGCTTCGTTGATGCATGATACCAGCGATACGTAGAATAGCCGGTGCTTACTCACAAATTCCTGATTGCAGCTTCCGGCCCAGGTCTCTTCTGGAGATGAAGCGGCTTGGAGCAAGTCGTTGCCACGCATGTGACTGTCCGCGCTCACGTCGATATGCGGTATGTGATGCCTGCTCTCGGACCTCTGGCTTCAAACTGCCAAGGAAGGCAACTTTTGTCTGGCCCTACGTGCATGCAGTGAGTGGTCTGCATGGCCACGGGGTGGACGAGCTAAGGGCATCTGTTAGTTTAGTCGCCTCGGATTATGTCGCTCGAAAGCAGAGCAAGAAAAGGTGCCAATCGATGCACTGCTGTGTCTGAAATTCAGAATGAACAACTCGGCCCGTCACGCCGCCTGCTGGATGTCCACATGTTCATGTGCTGTTGTACAAGACATGATGATTTGAGGAGTGAAGTGTATACTCTCACCCTCACCCTTTGCAGGAAGCTCCTTCCCCATCTCCTGAGCCAACCCGACCCTGCCATCGGATTTGATGATGAGCCATAAAAGTGTAGTAAAAGTGTTCCTCGTACGGATGCGGCCTGAAGTCTCCTTTTCTACTTAACTCAGGCACTGACGGGCGAACTTCTGCCGCTTCTTGAGAAGGCCCGCCCCAAGTCCCAAGTTTATGTCGACTGACGTTCATGCGACAGAAATGAGTACATGCGAATTGAGTCCTGCATACTGAGCAGAGTGGTGTCGAATACTCGATGTTTGGAATCTGCGTTTTTTTGCAGGCGACAGATGGGGCTCGAGTCATTGCGGTGTCGAGCACTGCACACCTGGGTGCCAACAAGGAGCTCATGACAGGAGACCATACAGGGTGAGACACGACCACGTCAAAAAGCTGCAGTGCTGGAAGCCATGAATGTTTGAGTTTGACCGTGCACACGAGGCCCGAGGATGTGAAATTGACATGCATTGTGGCGGAAGCATGCGGGCAGGAGACCTCATGGCACCTGAGCGCTACACCACGTGGGGTTCCGCGCTAAGCCAATGATCGGGATAGCAAGTGAGAAGGCTATCTTATAGCGCATGGAGGTGCATACTGCCAGTCGAAGCTCGCCAATGTGCTCTTTGCGAAAGAGTTGGACCGCAAGTTCAAAAAGGTCAGCGTGGCCCGTGTGGGGGTGCGATGAAGAGAGCTCTTGAATAGATCGACGCATCGGGCTTTGACTTCGAGAGTTGTTGGTGGTTGTCGATGACCGCCCCAATTCTAAACCAGGCTGGGATCAACGCGACGGCTGTGTCTTGCCATCCGGGGGGTGTGGCGGCTCGGCACGAAAAGGATGTTCACACAGTACTTGCTACAGCATGGGGCGGCACAGGCTACAAGTCAACAAGTTTCGATGGTTTGCGGAGCTAAGTCTAGCAAAGTCGAACGTGCAGAAATGCTGTGCTTTTTCAACATTTAGAGCTTGCCAACGGCCAGGAATGCTGCATTTGTCAGCATTAGAGCCCTCGAACAGCCAGAAATGCTGCATTTCGTAGTATTTAGTTGCTTACTCAAATTGTTCTTACAAGAACGCAAGCTGCTATAGGGCTTTTGGGCACAGCATTCAAGGACACAGACCTGGCACGTTGGACAATGACTGCAGATGGCGACCCACAGAAGGCCATGAGACTCCGCAAGGACATCCTGAGCCGCTGTAGTGCAAGATCGAGAGCAGAGGGCTGGGACTCTGAGAAGTTCATGGCATCCTCTTAAATCATCAAGAGGCTGCCGAGATCAAGAGTCCAGAAATATGTGGCCTGATGACGTGCAGAGTGTCTCCTGGCAAGCCGAGAAAAGCCCAAAAAGCTGCTCGAACCAAGAGCCTTTGCAGGACAGCCCTGCAGCCGATGCTTTCTTCAGCTTTGTCACCCGATCTGTCAAGTTGGGTGCGAACACACAGGCAGGTCATGGCGTGATGTAATTGTCATAGCAGCTCTTGCAAAGTGTGGCCTCCCCATGATCTGAACAGGATCGAAAAGCCAGCCCAGTTTCGCAGAAGTGGGCGCCGCAGGTCTTCTTGGCTGCTGGAGGAGATGGCGGGTACAACAAGTCGGGAGGCGAGTACTTCGACAACATGGCTCCAGGACCAAGCATGACCCAAGCAGGGGTGGGGGTGATGTGCGTGGTGGCTTCTTGGCCCCACTCTGAGCCGTTTGTCCCCGAAAGGTTGCCCACTTCCCCATATGTGGAGGTTCCAATTGTAGGTCGCTGGCACAGCCATGCACTGGATTTGCCTTGATGCAAACATTCAGGACACATGCTACGAAGAGCAATGCTCAGGCTTAACTGCCAGATCCAAGTCCAGCTTAAACACGCCAGGGCCGAAGTGGCCAATTGCAAACGCAATGATCACTGACTCACATACCTTGGCGTCACATGTTTGCCTTCTTGCTAGAAGAAAGCAATCCAGAGCAATCAACACAGCTGCGAGAGAAATAGAACATAGCTGCAGTTTGTTCCTTAGGGCCATGGCGGAGAATGCGCAAGAGCAGCCAGAGCTGCAGAATTTGCAGAGTGAGGAAAATGAGGCAGCAGAAGCTCCGGCGGAAGCTCCAGATGAAGCTCCGGCGGAAGATCCAGCCGAAGCCCCGGCAGCTTCGGCCCAGAGCGAGCTTTCAGAGCTGCAGACTCCGCAAGCTCCAAGCTCCCAAGTCCAAGTACGGCCTCCGCCGCTCAAGAGGACTGCTTAGATCGCACGTGGAACTCATGAAGCCTGTCATAGCCTGTCCATTTTGGGTCTTGGATCTTAACCGCCCCAGTCCCCTGCAACGCAACCCCGCAACCCCCGCAACCCCCGCAACGCCAAAGTTTGCATCCAGGCGCAACATCGCCTCAAACATAAGCCGATCACAACGCATCCATCCAGGGCCCCGGCTCCACCGCGCAGCTTGCGAAATCAGAAGAATAAGGCAACTCGGCTGCACTGTGGGCAGGCAAGAGGCACGATGGGGGGAGGGGGGGGGGACGTCGTCTCGGCAGTCAAGACAGACAGTAAGAGCGGTTGCAAAAAGATGCCGAGCATCCAGATCCAACAGCAGAGACAACTTGCAGATCGGTTCTCAGAGTGGGCACGCCTAGTGTGGGGCGACCTTGAGGCGAGGAAAGCGAAAGATGAGCCTCGACCCGTCTGGGACGACAGGCGCGGAGGGATCGGATCCGAGGGTGCATGGGGTCGCAACGGGTCGCAATCGCTGTGGATTCTTATTCGAAACATGTTGCCGCATGACGATGTGTCGGTATTTTGATGTTGGTTTTCATGCTGACGCCCCTGAGACAATAACACAGTCTGCCTGGCGATTCTGAGTCCCCTATGTATGTCTGACATTATACGTGGGACTGAGGCACCATCTCAACTTCAACGACGACAATTCCGCGACTTGGCGGGTTCGGAGTTGAGTACAAGCAGATGTCCAGGTCTCAGTCCAGTTTACAAAGAAACCACTAGGCCCCGAATCGTAGAGCCGAAGTCCTCGCCTTAAACCACACATTAGATCCCTCAAGCCCCCGAACTTCGGGCCCCCGAACTTCGGAATCTCGCACAGCTCGTCTGGAGAGGTGAGTATATGTCACACTATTAGCATGGCTCAGCTAACCAAAGCCTTTCTGCTTCGGACGTGATGCGTTTGCTGCATCTTCAACTCATTCTATAGGCTGAACTGCTTCGTGGCAGCAAGAGCATCAATCGTAGTTTGCCAAGCTAGCCTCGGCACATCCTGGGGTGCCATGGCAGGAAAAGCCGAAGAGGCTGCGGAGCTACTTCAGCCGGCCACAGTCTTTGCCAGAGCTTCGCGCAGATGTGGAGAAGAGGCCGAACGCGAAGCTTGGGTCAAACAAACCTGTTCCTTCAAACTGCGTCCCCATGGTTGCTAAATACGTCCTGGGAATCTTGAGTCCTGCTGACTGCGTCAAGTCAGCTTCCAAGCAGCAAGCAAGCTTGACAACCCCTGGCCCTAGCGAGGCCTTAGCCTCGTCTGTTGGATGTCTGATTTCATGGACATCGCGGCAGGGCTTTGCCTGCTCGAGTATCTCAGGAAGTCAATTCTCAAGAAGTTGGAGACGGATGAAGGCACCGAATGCCCCAAGTGCACGTGTCTTGTCTTTCAACACATAGACTTGCGTGGTCCTCTCCTGCCTAGAACCATGGGCCAGGTGCTCATGAGCACCAGATCTGGTTGGAAGCATAAAACACAAAAGACACAGGGCTTTTTCACAATCTAAATTCTACCAAAGACGCGTTGGCTTGCGAAGGAACGTTTTCTTGATGGACTCCCTCTACTGCCGGCGGTGTGGCACAAAGCGCGAACAGATGCCCGCGCAGGCAGGATGACAACACAACAGTCAATGTAAGCCGTGCCTATACTATCAGTGTCAGCCCCAGGCTCAGGAGTGCAGAGCCAAGTTGTCATCGCTAAGCGCGAGCAGGAGCAAATGCATGCAAGCACATATTGCCGTTGAAGACGACGTAGTCCCACTCGTGAACTCGCCGTTGATCCTGAAAAAGCGGCCCTGTCAAGCTGCTAGTGGCAAGTACATGCAAACACGCATGAAATGCCGGGTCGTGTCACTGTCTCAGTTCTCGTTTCGTGCAAAAACGTCATGCAAGTCAATTTATCGTGCGGGAGGTTCGGGGTGATCAGCACAACTGCTGTCAACAATATGACTTTTCTGCACAGCTCACCTGAACAGTACAGTGCTGTGTCATGTCGGCAGAGCCCTTGCATGGCCCAGGCTGCATCATTTGTATCTGCAGATGCCGGGCCAGCAGTGTGTCCTCTTCGTCATGCAGCAGGTTGCGGCGTTGCAGCGGCTGCTTGCGTGTTCGTGAGAGGGCACAAAACACGGCCTACCGTGGCATCAGCAGCATCCCTAGAGCGCATGGCTAGCTCAGAGTACAATAGAGTACACGGAAACAATGAGGCAGAAAGTATCTGCTGAAGATGGCAGGTGGCGATATGGCGGACCGTGATGGGGCGCGATGTCCCTGGAACAACCGGTGGCAAGCAGGGGTCCACATCTTGAACGAGCAGATGTGCCTCAGATGTAAATTTCATCTCGACTCCGATACAGCGTGTCGGCACGGTGTTGAGGGCATTCAGCTACAGATGCTTACACGATACACGATATTAAATTGTGAATGCTTCAGCCAGCAGAAGCAACGAGCTTCTCCGAGATTTCGTGGCCTGGGAGCCCGAGGCATCCGCTGCACCGCTCCTCTTTCGCGACGAAGAGCTTGTTTGAAACGGCACCTTCTCAGAGGTGGCGACGACACCTCGATGTGCAGAACGAGCAACCTTGCTGGAGGATAAGGAGCCTGAACCCCTTTGTGTAGGCCTTATACAAGTGATGTGCAGGACCATTACTGGCAGACAGTTAGTCGATTATAATGCACCTGCTGGGGAAGTAGTGTGTGATGAGCTGTCTCTGCCAAAAACGACAGTCTGGTGCTGAGATGGAAAGACTTCGGGGAACTCGGGGCACAAATTACTCAGATTAGCTTCCTCATCATTCTGTTATGCTGCCTTTGTTGCTTTTATCTCTGTGTGTGCTGCCTTAGATGGGAAGAATTAGATTCTTGTAGCATCTGCGGAATGGAAAAAGCTTGTTAAGGCTTGTGATCTACAGGATCCACGGACCCGCATCCCAGAATCCGAGGTTCGGATCTTGGCGCTCCATGCTCACCTCAAAGGGTGAGAAGTTTCCACCACTTGGTGTATGAGATGAGCTCCTTGTGCAGACTTCCCTGATATGCCTATTGCTTTTTGGGTAATTAATTACTTCATTCCATGAGAGGAGGGATTCAGCTCACATTACTTCTTCATTGTTAGTGCGTAAGCTCGACCTTTCAGCGAAGCTGGAAGACCCCAGCCAGCGGGAGCTGCGCTGCCGCTTCGGGAAATTGGCAAAGCTATTCCCTAGCGGAGAGGTGGTGTGCGCCAGTGCCTTCGAGATGGGGCTTCCATGATTCACCTTAGCGGAGATTTCGTTTTGCTGTCTTGCATGTAGTTCTAGCTGACATTGACACCACTTTGACAGAAACCAGGAAGGAACTGAGATGCACAGACGCCGAAAGTGGGTTCGCATGAATGTATCACGACTGGAAAATCGTCCCGCTTGCCCACTTGCTAGGCATTTGCTGGGCAGGAGAGTGGCAATTTAGGGCCAGTCACAGCGTAAGGCTTTCGGTGAACGCAAGTGCCCAGAATCATGGCACCCAGAGAATTAGAACGTTGTTCGTGTACAGGCTTGTCCCCTTTGCTCCAGCCCCCCAATCCAACTAGAGGGAGCGTTCCGGTCCTTTGACGAAGGACTTCTCAATCCTACGGCTACGGATGAGGCATTGGCTGAGGAGATTCATTTTGAGTTTCGAGAAGCAAGAGTCAAGCTGCATTCTTGCGGGATGAGGTTCAATGCTTGAGATAGCCAGGGCCTTGTCTTGTCGCACTTTGCATGAGCTTGCGAGCCGAGGAGCTGTGGGCCAAATCTGAGCAGCTGACCGGTGTAAAATACAGCGTGTAGGTGACCCCAGGACGCAGTTAGCGGGGATCTTGCGCGATGGCAAGCAGGGCGATTGTTTTGGCTGTCCATGCCTTCACTCTGCCATCTTTTGGCATGTACAGCAACGCCTCACACAGAATTCGCACTCCTAGTCGGGAGCAGTTTTCAGAAGGCGAGATGCCAGTGCCACCTGCCTGTGGAATTGTTCTTCTTCACTTCCTTGAACAGGATACTATAGACCAATGCTAAATCCCCCCATATGATTGTGCATTGACTGTGTTTGCAAATGGGGGGGGGGGGGGGGGGGGGGTGGTGGAATCGGTGTAGTCGTGAACATCGTGAACTATCTCTCGTCGATTTGCAGAGGGCCGCGGAAGGCTTCGGGGAATGCTGCAACATGCCCGTGCTGATGCTGAAGAACCTTTGAAAAGCAGGATTGGCCCAAAACACGGGAAGGGCTTCGGAGAGTTTCGGACGATGTGTGTGCAGCCAGAACAGACAGAGTCGCACTAGCAAGACCCTGTCTACTTCGTTGATCGTATTCAGGAGGCTGGCTGGCAGCTCGCATTTTTCACTCATGCCCAATTTTCGACCCCGGGACACAGGACCGAGGCAGTAGAGGATGCTGCTGCAGGCAAGCTTTCAACGATGTGGGCCCTAGCTAGATTCAAAGGACTGCGTGATTGCACAATGGTTGTGCTACATTGTGCCAGTTGAGAGCCTACCTGTGTTGCACGTTTGCCTCGTAGTGCTATTGGTTTGCGACTCACAAAAGCTCCGCCAGACTGGCAGTCGTGCGAATGCCACAAGAAAGCCTGCTGTCAAAGCGTGGCGCGACAGTTGCAGATTGTTCCGGAAATAGCCAGCCAGCGAGCGAGATGCGCGAAGGCATGCGAACGCCATGCTTCAAAATTTGCTCCGGCTGAACTCGATAATTCACCTGTGGCTCAAGGCTGCGTTTTGCCGCTGCACTTCGTGATCTACAGATTCTCACTAAACGTCCCGTCCCACATCTCACTGGATGAGCCACACCGACCAACACCTCGGATTTATTCCTCAACGGCTAGCTGTCGTTGAGCTTATTGCAAAGATTTCACATGCTGCACAGGCCCATGTGAGCCCTAGATGTTGCACTGCTCAAAGGCCGTATTTCAATTCCTTGATGGCGTAGTCTCCGTAAACTTGCAATGACTGTGCCGCTAGCCTGGGATGGTCCTGAGGGCCAGGGCTTAGTGTTGACACTTGAAGTTTACCATACTTGTGGCTATAAGTTATAAACGTGCTCTTTGTTGGGAGTTCGAGCCTGCACAAGGTCTTGTGGAGTGTGTCTTCTTTAGCTCTTTTGTTGCTCACAGCAGAGAACTGCCGGGACCCCGCGTGCCATGGCTATCTCACCAGTAAACCATGCCGCCCCTTGCTACAGGATTCAGACCGAATGTGTCTTGGGCATCGCGCAAGGAAGTGAGGGCTACACAGCAGTTTTTGTCATTGTCATGGTTACAGCATCTCTTGTACTCGGACTCCGCCAAGACCAAAGTCACTATAAATGGCAACAGCAGGCGGCAATTCGACTAATTAAAGCCCGCTACTGCAATGGCTTCATCCAATACGAGCTTTGTCGTGAACTTGCCTCGTCCGAGGTCCTGGCGCTGACCTGCACTTTCATGATGATGAGCACATTGAGTTTGGTCTTGATGGGTATGGCCCGATGCTCAGAGACATCAGATGTGACTTTGAGAAAATCCATACCCATACGAATCATTGCCGAACTGTATCTCATGGTCGTACAAGGCCTGATTAGGTACATTACGATTCCGAGCACACCAGACTGATTTAAATTTCTGGCCACACGACCGCACACGCTGCGTCTAAGGGTAAGGGTGCTGTCCGTTCTGTGGTGTGAACAGTGACACACTTGTTGATTTGCTCTATTTCGGTATGGTCTAGTCAAGGCCTTGGTTCCGTGTAGGTCCGCCAAGGCAACCAGCAAGATCAACTCCGCGTAGGGTAGGAGGTTGCGCAGGCACACATTGGACTCCAATGCATGATGCTAGTTCAAACCGTTTAACGAAAAACAACTGCTGAGTTGCACCATGCTTGTCCGTTCATAGAGAGCCACGTCCTGACCTTGTAATTCTGCTCGAACGACTACACCGTGTCATTACCTCTCTCTCTCTCTCTCTCTCTTATTATGTATATATATAAATACATATATATGTCTGGCGGCCATATACATATAAACATATGTGGTTTACGATGTGCTTCATGGAATCGTCGAGCACTTTCTGTCGTACCGCGTTCCTACATGAAGTTGTAGAAGTTGTAGGTCGGCTGCGCCCAATGCATGCAGCCATGCCCGCCAGACCTTCTCGACCTCAGGCAAAGCACGATGCCACAACGGCATTCAACCGCATTGCCGTGCTGGCGCAAGCCTTATGCTTTCTTAACAAGCGGGTCATTCTGTGTTGGCTCCAGGAAGTGCCACAGCAGTTTTGCACGACCCACCTGTGGCCGGGGATTCGATTTCAAAGTCCAGGATGTGGAAAATGATAATAATGGCAATGATAAGAATATAGTATATGAATAAGGAGAAGAAGAAGAAGAAGGAGAATAGAATCAGTGTCAGATTCACTGTGTGCTGCGAGCGCCTTGAAAATGCAAAAAATGCAGTCTTGCAGAGGTTACTACATTTGCGTCCATCGCCTACTTCCTCATGAGCATGGGTGTCGGAATCCTTGAGGCGAGGCCTCCAAACATCAGACCTTTGCCATAATCCCGTCTCCTGTTGGAACACAAACTTAACAACCTTCCCCAGCGTGTCAAGACTTTTTTGCAAGGGTTCCAGGGTTGCACCCTTGAGGTCGTGCCCCGTGCCCCGAGAAGGTTGCCCAATATTTACTTTAAACAGTCTAAATACAAACATATACATATATATATATATATATATAGGCAGCATATTCCTAGAACCCAGGGGCACCACCTCAGGAGTACAACTTGGCCAAACAAACTAGCGGCAGGAGTTCAGACAGAATGGGACTTGTAATGGGAACACAACGTGGGGGATTGGCGTGTGAGTTCGCGATCCGGTCCTAGGCCCGGCAAGGAGTCTCCGGTTTTACTCTGCACACGGCTTCTTGCCAATTGCGTATGGTGGCAGTGGTTCGCCAGACTAACATTGTCAGAACGATACAAAACGCGGCATGTTGCCTCAATGTGACGCTTTCTTTGGGTTTCTCGCGCTCGCCGAGTCTGCGAGGAAGAGAATGGATCTCATGTCTATTGGATTCGAGACTCGTGCAGCAATTTTGGGTGCACAAGCTTAAGGCTACAGATTTGTTCGCTCGGTCAAGCTAGGTCAGCTAGATCAAACGTGGCCATGCCGAGTTTTGGTTCCCGTGGTGAGGATATGTGGATTGGTGCTTCACAACTCCGTTGATGCTCATTGAGCTCGGCGTGATTGCTGGAGTCTGCCTCAAACTCTCTTGACGTTGACTGGCATTTGCAAACATGTCCAATGGCTGCATCCTTGGCGCCACCTGAGGAGCGGAAAGGTGGCAGACGCTGCTGCTCATTGTAGCGTGCTGCAGAAATGGTCCAAACCGCCCATGTTTTTGCTACAAGTAACCTCATCTTGGTAGTGCAAGTAATGCTTGCAGGTTTTACGACAACGTCCTTCTTTGTGAACGAAGACAATAGGGCTCTAAGAACATCGAAGATGTTGAGATAGATGGTTTATATTCGTTTCTGAACAAAAACCCTTTGAACCAGTGCAGTACTGCAACGTGCACAGTGAAGGTCTTTGAAGTGAAAGGTCAACGGAACAATGTGCGATGGGGAGGGCGGCAGGGCCTGGAATGAGTGCATACGTTTGATGAATTGTTCTCGTGTGTTCCAAGCTTTGCCAAGCCATGGACAGCAAAGGTTTTTGATGAGCTCATGCTGGTATTTGGCATAGCATCCTCGATGAGCCACTCAGGCGAGGGTTGAATTGTTGGGCACTTGCCGTGGCATAGGCATAGTCGCAGCTGTGGCAGCTACAGACGTGTCTTGATGAACGTGTCTGGACGGGACGGCAGTGTCTGGACTGCAGCCATGGCCACTCACTAAAAACCCGTTAGATCGCAGACCTGCTCATGAGCGCTGACATCAGTTGACGTCAACTTACCATTTGCCCATAGCGAAAGAGGGTTTTGATTTAGCTTTGGCTTGTTCCATCGCGCTGATATCAGGCCATTGCTTCTATGCTCCACAAATTGTCTTTAAGCCAAGGTTAACTTCGAAGTCTCAAACGCTGTCACACACTTGAGCAGCACTTGCAGAGGCAAGTGGCCATTCTTCATGCTCGGCCTCCTGGCTTTTGCTGGAGTCGTGCTGAAGCTCTTCCTCAGCCTCACAACTCGAGCTGAAAAGCTTGGACTGCCATGCACTGATCGTTGCAAGCCTAGGGCCAGCGGCTGACTTGCAATCAGGAAGGTGGTAGGCTGGTAGGCTCGTATCGGGCAGCCTGCGGTTCACAGAGAGCCCCGGAAGGAGGAGAGGCCGAGACCCTCTTCAAATTTGTGGCCAACCGCACGGTGCCGTGATGGCAAGTGTAGTGCAAGTGCCCTTTCAAGTGGAAGCTCAAGAACCTTGACCCGAGGCAGAACTTTGGTGCGTCTACCCTGTCCTCTTTGCCCTGTGTGAGTGACGGGAGCTCGGTGGGTTGGAAGCCGCTCACTTTTGTCTGAACTGGATCCACGGTTCCTCAGAGACATGTTCTGCACCCAGGCACGAAAACCTTGCCGGAGGAGTTTGAAGTTGCGGGTTATGCTATTGCTGATGTGCTGGCCAAGTGTGGCATCCCGATGATGGTGCCTTGGCTGATATAGTCGCATAAACACAGTTGTTACCCAAACCGGTCTATGATGCACTTGGTTACTCATATGCACCTCACAAGGTTCCAGGAATGAGCCCCGTCCTGTCGTCCTGCAATTTTGTCTTCTCGGTCTTGCCGCAGTGGTCGTGGTAGTGCAGCCTGCGTATGGCTTTGTATTCGGAAAGCGTTCCAAACAAACCACTGTCACAAAAGAACGAGATTTCCACAACGCTTGACCATTGACCGAGTACGTGTTGAAAGTTGGACTGTGCAAGTACGGGTGTACAAGTTCAAACAGATGAGGCTGGTTCCCAAAAGCAGTTTAGACCAAATGCCGTGACACGCCGGACCTTGCTAGGTTTGCAGGCCACTTTGCCTCGCAACCGATCCATGCCTTGGTAGCCCAGTGGTACCCTTTACCCTTTTATTTTGGTTCTGGGCTCTTATCAAGTAGCCAACCCAAAAGTCGGTGCCCTTATTATAATCTGGTTACTGGGCTACCAAGATGCTGTAGGAGATACCTGGAGATTCATAGAGCAAGTGGCAGGTCTGGGTGTCCACCGTGACGAATTCCAGAAAGCTGGGCCTCGTTCCTCCCGTGGACTTGGCGGAGGACCGCGAAGAGGCCTTTGTGGACACGGCCCACTATCCAAAAGAAACTGTTTCTGATCCCGCGCCATGATTTTGAGTCCTCAGCTCGACCCTGAATCTTGGACTCCAATGAGGCATTGCTTGCTGTGTTTGGGGAATTGGGGGCGGCTCCCATGGCAATGAAATTGCAGCTGAGACTTGGAAACTGCAGGCAGTAGAGCAGAGTCAGTAGAGCATGCTTGCATCCCAGTCTTAGGAGCTTCGGCAGTGTACCTGACTGTTGCCGGTGAGCAGTTTGCACCTAGCAGCCAAAGCGCTGCCGTGGTCTCTTCTTGCAAGCATCTGGCCTTGGATGTGTGTCATCAGTTTTGACCAGACAAGATTGGCTGTTCGCATTGCCTCCAACATGGAATTCGATCTTGAGGCGTATGACATGCATGTGGCCATTTTCCAATTTACCGTCACCCCGAGGTGTCCTTTAAGCTCCACAAGGGAGCAGCTCCCAATCTTCGGGGGAAAGCATGACTTTCTAAAGGCTTGCAGAGTTCTCGCAGATGCATAGTCCGAGAGTTTTGAAGTGATTCTGGCGTTAACACTGGCACTGTTGCAGCTGCAGCTTCCGTATCGTCGGACTCCGAAACAATCACGCGTTGTGAGCATCGGTGATATCAACCTAGCACGCCGTTACAAGCCTACCACAGTCCGGTTCCATGACCGAATTGCGAACTCTCGACGCAGCGTCCCACGAATCTGATCCGGTGCCTTGAAGTACAAATCTTCTCGGTACCATATGATTTCGCCAGACACGTGAAGACTGCCAGACGCGGCCAAACAATTATACATTTGCGACGGTTGTGCGCTGGGGATTGGAGTGTCGGCTTATGAAACTTATGAATGTTAACTTTAGTTGGTCGTCTTGCATATCCATCCAGAGCTGGCAGCCCATGTCTACTGCCTAACTACTTCCCTGCTGGCACTGTATAAGACAGCAAAACTGGACTCAGAATTTGCCCCTCCGGTAGATCATGAGCACATGTAGCCTGACCAGTCCAGTGCGGCAACAAGTAGACACCATGCTTGTTGATGTGAGGATTTAGCGGGTGTCAGCACACGGCGGTGTGCTGCAGTAGTTAAATGTCCCAAGGCCCACACTTGCTTGCGGCTGCTGGGACCATGGCGCGAATGACTCAGAGTTTCAATCTACGAGCTGATCTAAGAGGTTGTCCCAGTACATCCCTCATCCTTTTGGTGTCCACATGTGACGTCTGGGGAAAAACAAATAGGGCAAGCCAAAGACCAAAGCCCAAAGGCCACAGCTCGGTTGTGCACATCACCGAACCGAAGGCTTTCTTTCATTGTTATTCTACTATGACATGTTTACTCGAGTATTATCTTACAATATGATATTATGTGTGTATGTCTTGTTTTTCGTATATTAGTGTACAGTATACAAGTATACTATTGCATATTTGCATTCTTGCATTATTATTCTCGGCATTCTGAGTGGGCTCTCCGGGCTTCTGCTCAACCACCAGGACTAGGATTCATGTGCTTGGGTTACTGCCGCAGAGGCCCCAGAGATGAACAGCTCATGTGGTCGATCTCCCTATCACACCTTGAGACCTGCACTCGAAGCAACAATGACGCTCCTACACAGAGATGATGTCACTGTGCCCAGGTGCCCAGGTGTCAGGGCTACGCGCAGGGCATGAAACGCTACGCCCTCGTTTGGGGCCATGCCTACCAGCTTCCGATACAGTTCCTTCAGAAAAACGCCTTTCATGTCATGTCAGGGGCCTTGCAATGGGAAGGGCTTCCATCAGGTCGTTCCACGCATTTTCCATCATCTGGCTGCAAGAGGCTTGCATCTCCAGACATGCGTTTGGTAATGTGCAGTGTGCATTTGGAGCCTACACCATGCAAAGACTTCTCTGCTTTAAGCAGGCGTGCAGGATCAGGAAGCCCCGGCATGCCACTGTGTTGCCCATTCTTCGGTCTAGCTCCAGTGGCGACGGACATCCTGTCCTTTCAAGTGGGCCATGGTGACGAATTCTGAGGAGATTGAGGCAGGGTCTTGAGGCCGTAGTGTTCCTATGTTGTCCTTTGTAATGCGACCTACCAACCAAGCACAGCTTGCGTGAAGTGTTGTGAAATCCTTGGGGGTACAACTTCTGCTCTCAAGGACTGGGCCGACGAAGTCTTCGCCACTTTGGGAAAGGAAACCACCTGGTCTGTTTCAGAGGTCAAAGCGGCATGTTGCAGTACCGCGTCCGTCGACATCGCTTGCATGCTGCTTTGCTCTGCGTCAACTTGTTCGCTTTTGTTGAAGCGCAGGTCCGCTGTCCCGAGGAGGGCTGCCCGCCTGTGGAGACGGTGCTCCCTGACCTGTATCGGGAAATATGGCACTGTTTACTTCAGACATACGCGTGCGCATCTAGAAAAGCCATGAAAAGCCTTAACGACATCGAATCAATTGCTCTATGCTGACAGAATTGAAAGTTTGCGCCTTCCTGCTTTGGAGCCCAGGCAGACTTGTGTAGACACACGCTGAGCCTCAGTGCCCGAAGCGGCCAGTAAGCAGGAAAGTGTACCGTGAGCGTGTCACGAACCACACTCTAGCTGCCCGACTCCCCGGTGAAGTAGGCTTCCATGCACCATTCCTCCAGCCTGATCCTTGGCCACTATGCCCAGGCTTACAGACCTGAGCATCAAAGCGCCAAAGCCAGGGAACGGCCGCACAGCTGCACAACTTCTGCGGCTACAAAAGCCAATATGCAATAGGAGCTGCGTGCGAATCGCACGTGCAGACGGTGAGAAGCCAAGTCTCCCCAACTCGTCCGGAGACGAAATCTCCCCAACTCGTCCCGCAACAAGTCTCCCCTCTCCGGTCGACGAAATCTCCCCAACTCGTCCCGAAACAAAGTCTCCCCAACAGTCCCGAAACGGATCTTCTCAACTCGTGCCGAGGTGTGTACAAGATGTTCAAGCCCATTGCCGAAGTTCGGAAGGAGGACGTTGAGCAGGTCAATCGCTTAGGACATAGGTTTCGATGCCAGTGGAGCCAGCGCCCAATTGTTGTGGCTGCTCAATGCTGCTCAGGCCTTGCAGATGACGAGCCACAGCCACGGTCACGGCGATGCAGCGCACGGCACTGGCGCATCCCATAGTGGGCCTGCTGACGAACCTTGCTGTGATGGCCACGCTGGCCACGATGTCCACGATGGCCACGCTGGCCACGATGGCCACGCTGGCCACGCTGGCCACGATGGCCACGCTGGCCACGATGGCCACGCTGGCCACGATTGCCATGGGCACAGCCATGAAGATTCGGGCCATGCGCAAGGCACCGGGCACAGTCACGGGTGAGGAGTGATGAAGTGATGAACAGTCACAGATGAGGGGTGAGGATTGATGAAGTGATGAACATGAAGCCAAAACTCCACGCAGAGAACGTGCAGTTTTGCCTCGGCGCCTGGCGGCAACGGCCTCGTGGGAACAAGTGCTGCAGAAGCACGCTGAGATGTGGCAGATGCAGAGTCCTCGCCTTCCTCACACGCGGTTGCTCCGTGCGAACGGTGAAAAGCGTTGAATAAATCTGTCAGATCTGCTGTCGGCTTGTGCACCTGCAGAAATCACGTAAGGAGCGCATGTCGAAGCCATAGAATGACTCCACCTGTCGCAGGCAGCATCTGGATGTCTTTGGAAACCAGGCAGGCGTTGCACCTCGTAGTTGCCCGAGTTATAGTGTCGGCTTGTAAGCTGCTGGTGCAGGTTCAGGAGTTTAGGGTGTGCTCGTTCTCATGAGAAACGAGTAGGGCTTACGGCGAGAATTCCTGTGGTTTATGTTTTTTCCGGACTGTTATATAAGTCGGCACTGCAATCCAGTGTCGAGGTATGTCGCGGTTCAGCCAATTTTCCGTGCTTGGGTGGCGCAGCGCAAGGCAGCTAATTCAGCTTGCAACCCACAAGTGTGCCGGAAGACACCAGTACACCAATAGGAGCCAGGCCGGGAATCAACAAATTAGAGCACGTTCTTCCTAGGATCAGTTGAGGAAGCTCGTCCTCACAACTCCTCATCTGCCGAGCGACTTCGGGCGCAGCACAGCGCTGGGCAGAGGGTACCCTCAGGCGAAAACCCCCCGAAAAGTGAGGCCAAGGCCGGCACCCCATGGGTAGGCCCAATAGGGCCAACTCAAGGTCAGCTGTGGGTTCCCTCCTTGCCCCTGTGCCACGGCCCAAACTGTGGAAATCGCTAGGCTAGTGCTTTAAATGCTGGCTCTTCGTCAGGCTCCGTTCTTCACACCCGCACGTCACATGTTAACTTCAAAGCTGGCGTTCAAGTCAAGGCTGAGTCCCTGGAAGTTACCTTTCATCCTGGACGGTTCCGCTACCGTTCCCCATTTATTGTCTGCGTGGCATGCGCAGGGCGACAGGTCTTGCTTACAGTGACGTTTTCAGCACGAAATATTTTTAAAATCAGTCTGTCAACAGAAGGGTTTTGGACATTTGGTGTGTGCCAGCTGTCTTTCTTGACGAAGACGACAGAAAGCTTCCAAGCTTGACTGGCAGAAGCCTGCTGGCCAGCACAGATCTTTTCAAAACGAACAACAAGCAGAAGAGACAACACAAGTCGTTCTCTCAAACGGTGATTGCCACTGATTATGCCAAGCTCGGAGCGTTTGCCAATGCACGTTGAAATTTGGACTGCCAGAGGGAGCAACAGCACATAGGCTCTGTTTGTTCTGCAGCTGTGGTGGCTCCTCGCCAACTGTCCTGCTGCATCATTCACGCCCAGGCACGTGTTGCTAAAGCCAGCGGCATCTGAGCGCACTGTTTGCATGTACGTGTCTGGTAAGGTTTTGCAAGGATTTCCATAATTCGTCCCCGTCATTCTGCCGACACTCTGACCAGAGGCACATCCGAATGGCTCCGGCACTGCGCTTGGCTATAATTGCTTTGGGATGGCAGCTTCAAGGTCGGGCAGAACTGCTTCAGGAACATATGTCGTGTACTTTTCGTGCAATGGCAACTCACAATTCAGATCCAACAGATACAGGCGCCATCTCCTGTGACTGCAGTTGGACTAACAATGGCGCGAATTGCGGCAACTTGTCTGCACACTACAGCGATAAGATCTTCATGCCAGAACAGCTTGTCTTTTGGGAGACAGGTAGCACTGACGGAACCTTCTGCTGGCGCGCTTGCTGCCCAAACTCCTGCGATTCTGGTGGTTGGACTGTGACTTGACTGGAGCAGAGCCCGAGATAGCCCGAGAGCTTCCAAGAGAAAGCGCAACGCAAAAGTTGTTTCATGCCATGCGCTACAGAAGGAGTTGCTACAGAGGATGCGCCAAATGTTTTCCATCAATGTCCCGCTTTCATGCACGGAGTCCTTGTGGTCCGCCCGTGCACTGTCAATGAATCCCACAAGGCTGCACCCTTCGTCACTCAGGTAGCGTACTCCTCCGAGCGCTGCCACCTGTCCAATGGTGTTCGCAGGACCTGACTGTTTTGCCTGAGAAGCTGAAGCTGTAAGTTCAGATGAGACACCCTGACGTCGAGCGAAATCTGGTTTCTCATGCTTTGTCGAACTCAGTTCGCAAGCAAACTGCTTGGCTGCTCGGTGATCAGCCGGTAGTATTGAGGCACCAGCGTGTTGATGGCATAAGAACACACACTCTTGTGAAACAGCTTTTCTTCCAAAAACAAAGTGCAGGATTTCGTGCGTTGCCCCGTCCATGCACCAGTGTGGCAGCTTGCATGCAGTAGTACCAGGTTACTCAGTACCATCGATCGATTTGTGAGTTGTAGCCTTTATATGCATCTGCCTGCCGCCACAGCTTTGTGCGTCATAGGAAACATACAAGGACCTGTCTTGCTATATACTGTAGAGAACCTGCAGGCACTCGTATGAGCGCCAGCAACTACCTCGGCAGAGGCTACCATTCCGTCCGAATCAAGGCAGCCATGAGAGCTTTGACGAATCAGCACTCTGTCAGACCAGTGTGATGGCGTGTTATGGGTGCATGAAAGAAGGCGGACAGTTCACTGTTTGTGTACATCAGACAAGCCCGGCAACAATTGACACAGGCAACGGACCTGCGGTACATGCTTAGAGGAAAGGCATGTCAAAAGGGCAGCCCTTCTGCGTAGACAAGTTGTAAACACATCGAGCCTTGCAAGTTGAAGCTTCACATCATCCTTGACGCAGAGGCAGCACCGGGACCTGGTATCGTTACCACCTACTACCTCTCCAACAACGGTGGCCTGTATGACAAGACGCCGGGCATCGTAATCCGTTTTGGTTGGTAGTTGGGGCTTCTTGGATTTTGGTGTGAGGACAATGCCCCAACAAAAATGGTGAGAATGATGAAGCAGCGCAGGAAAACTTGGCACTCGGACTTATGTGTCCATTCATCCTCCTGAGGACGAAGACTCATCCCTGGGTTGAGCTCGACTTTGAAATCATGGGCAATATGGCAGGCACACTTCTCCGAGCTGTTGAAAAGGGTTGGGGGGATGTGCGATCCCCTTTCTAACACAACCAGAAGCAGCATGCTGCCGTATTTGAATACGGCAGCTTTTGGGGCCCCAAAAGAGCTCATCACCGGTTCAAAATACACGTTGCTTGCGCTCTGTCGCAGGTCCTGGTGGCCAGTCGCGAATATGGACGAACATGTTCACTGATATTGCGGTGGAGCATAATCAGTGGATAATCGTGCCCTTCGATGTCACAGCGAACTACCATGAATTTGGGCTCCCCAGCATAAAAAAAGAGAAGCTCAATTATTTAGCTAAGTCAGGGAGCTTCATCTTGCAGACTTCACCTTCTTTCGTTCTTCAGGTTCGAGCTTGGGGACGACACCATCGCTTTCAAAGTTGATGGCGTGCCGTACCGCACCGTTAACATTCAGAACCACGGTGATGTCAGGGCGTCGATTTGGTCTACGAGCTTGCAGGAGTTCGTTTCAGAGACTCGCCTTGTTCAGTTATTCTCGTTGCTATTGTGCGTTATAGTGGCTTGTTGTGATCGTGAACAGTAACGTTCTCGGCAGCCCTTGGACTCCCTCAGATATGCTGACAGAAAAGTATTCTGACGGCAGCAGTCCTTCCCTGAACTTTTTGACCGAACACGCGCGAACCATGTAGCCAGTCCTGAACAATCTTTCGGCACTTTCATGCGATGTGTGCTCAGGTGTGGGGACAATCCTCGCAAGATCCGGGAGAGGGTATTCCAGAATTCCAAAATGCCTTGGGCCTGCTGGATTCAAATCCGAACGGCTTCCCAAGATATGCTGAGGTCATCGTGTAAAGTGTTGCGGAGTTGCACGAGGCTGCCCGCACTTGCATGACCAACAGCGGCAGACAAATGTGCTTAGCCTTGAGGCTACCAGCTCTAAAACTGCTGAAAGCCTTGGAGAGACGGTTTGTTGTGGATTTTGGTTTGCGCGGAGCCCCAAAGGTACCAGCAGGTTGCTCAAGTAGTCCATGCAATCGGCGGATTCATATTGGGCTCATGCTGCTCTCTTCCACAACAGCCATCTCCTTCACTTAGCAGGGTATTGCTGGTAGGCAATTCATCTGTGTACAGATCTCTTGCTGTGTGCATGTCAGACATGCACCTCCTGCAGAGAGTTTGGATGTTCTCGCGTACTGCCAAGGGCTAGCTGCATGCCATCGGCATTAAACCGTTGTGACAATTGACAAGTTAGGAATCTGTTTTAGAATTCACCGAGCTATCTCCGGATGCCGAAACCTGATAGTGGCAGTGCCGCGGGCAACAACTCCGAGAGGCAGATCTGCCTTGCTTGGGAGGCACTTGTTGGCTCTCATGTGGCAACGCGCGATCCTGAGACTTTCTATATGAGAACCAAAGACAACGGCGACTTCAAGCCTCAGAGCCTCTGACGCCTCTTCTAGCTTTTTTCTCACCAGGCACGTGCACAGAAAGCCACGGATGTCGTGGGCTCCCACGTCGTCAAACATCTAGCCAAACCCCGTTGCAGCAACAGAAGTCATTCTCTCCCACACATTCTACCTCCCCACCCCCCACTCCCCACCACCTTTCGTGGTGATGACAGTGGCTGGCTGCCATTGATTTGGATGAACATGGATCCCCACCAGAGTTCAGCATTCCGCTGTGAGAAGATACAAGCGGCAGCCAGCCTCTGCACCGGGTGCCCGGCACCACATGCGAATTTGTGAAGATGCCTTTTGAGGACACATCAGCTAACACCAGTCAACTGCATTGCTTCTGGTAGGTTGCCAGTAGACCTTGACCCATGCAAATTCATGAAAGTCCTCACAGAGCTGCGCGAAAAACACAAGCCTAGCACCGGCCGAAAGAGCCCGGAGGAACATTGAACTCTGTTCTGATCTGAGAAAAAAGCCGTGCTGCTCTGCATAACTGCTCTGCCCTGCAAGCTTCTGACTGGAGTGCGACCTTTACTTGAATCAGGCATGGGCGCGACCCAAGGTCTCTGAGTGCGCAACTCAATGCTCGAAGTCTTGGATGCGGCCCATGAGCTGTGCTTCTCGTAGCGGGCGCTGGTTGTGCCCAGCAGTTTTGTCATGACGCCTGAGCGACATAGCTTCCAGCCAACGGAGTGCACACGGTGCCATATGTGCACACCACGCAGCGAGATGTCCGATAGGATGACGGAGTCTTATGGACTGCCACGTTGTAACATCTCACCGTCTGCACCGTTCAACACTCTTCGACATTCTCCGACCATGCCTCAGGCCTGAGCTGTTCCAGGGCTGGACCGCGCAGCGTCCCCAGGTCTGGGACGCTGACGAGTCGTGGGATGCGAATGGATGCAGTTCAGATACGTTCAGTCCTCGCCGGCTTGTGCTGCTTTGGTGTGTATGTTTGCTATGTCGATGCGTGTAGCAGGAGGTAGGGCCTGTTTGGTGTCGGAACCGGTGTTCCGCATCTATTTGGAACATGTAGCTCACATAGCATGTAAGGTGCGGCCAGAGCCTTTAACAGCACGGGTCTGACCCTCGTCACGACATGCACACACATACTCCAACTCTCTGGTCGCTGTCTCTCTCTCTCTCTCTTTATCTCTGTTGCTTCTTTCCGTTTACGTCAGGAACCTCATTTGTCAAGATATGTCCGAGGCAGCAGTGGCGCGACTGGGCCCGAACTCCAAGCTCGCACAGTCAGCTGTTTTGCAAGGTCCGCGCACAGGCAATGTAGGTCATTCCGTTCTGAACAGCGTATCAGCAGTGGTATCAGCTGCTATCATGCGCTATCGACTTTTGACGCTGTTGTGAAGAGAGGCCGAAAGGCCTAGGCGGCCTAGCTTGCATTGTGCCCTCAAGGATGTCAAGGAACTGCAGCTTCAAGAGTTCCGAGGTCGCTGGGCCCGATGGCTCATGGTGGTGCGAGAACAAAAGGCTTGGCGCTGAGCGGCATCATCTCTGTTGCAACATGATGTAGCGGGCTGCAACGTCGGCAACACACTTCAACCCACTACCGCTACGCTTGGAGGTACGAGGCTGACCGAATAGTTGACTGGATGGCCCGGCAGCCTAGCACTAGCGACCATCAAACATCACGTGCACCACGGCTGGTGTTCAAATGCTGGCGGTGCAAAAAGCCTAACGAGATCTAACGAGTGTCCCTAACGAATCCTGGAGGTAACAGAATGGGGGCTGCACACTCTGTGCAAAGGACCGATGCCCTGCATGAGCTGAAGTCATGGCGACACTCTCTGCGTCATTTGTCCACATGATGCGACCACTGATGCAAAGTGCAACCATAATATCTGGTGGTGTTGCGTCATGCTTTTGCCTTTTGGTCCCATATAGCAGCCTTGAAGCCTAGTGACGTTAAGGTACCAAGCGGCTTCAAGGCACCTAAAGGCAGTTGCAGAAACCTTCCCCTAAAGCCCTATTTCTCCAGGAAGCGGCGTCTTGGATGCCTTGGCCCTGGCTGGGACATCGAACCTAGCTCTCAGCTGTCATCTTCAAACCCAGACTAGGTCCGCCGCTGCAGTGAATTATTCAAACGCGACTTGTAGTTTCAGACGCCTTTCGCTCTTCGCGCGCTCCTGAGCGCTCTCGCAAACCCACTTTGGTACTTGTAGACTCCGCTGCCTGGGCAGCTTCAGTGAGAGCTGCAGAACTGTAACGCGATACGGTTGTTGGTGTTGCAGAAAGAGCCGGAGAGTCATGTGCGAAGGGACGTCGTTGCTCCTTGCCGTGATATGAAATTGCCGTGCCCATCACCTGCGCTGAAAAGGCGCACGAAATTGCACGAAATCAGCAGGCACCCTGCCCCACAATGTGCCCATCTACCCTACGGTACTGTTGCAGTGATCCTGTCTAAACAGTCTCAGTTTTAGAGGTGGGCGGCGAGCCTGGCTTCTTGGCGTCTGCGCTGCTTGCACGCGGTGTGGCGGTCACCGCAGGGGCCTAGACTTGGACTTGAGAGGCGTGTCCTTGGGTTTCAGGATAGACTCCGGATTCCGGATAGACGCTGCTGCTTCAGGTCATCGATCCAACATGGAGTATCACTGGCAAGGCCAGGTTGTTTGCCTCCTCCCTAGGAATATCTAAGAATGATAGACTTGGGCATTGTCGGCATGAGCATCGGCGGTCATCGACACGCTGATACAATGCCCCTCCTGTCACGCAAGCCTTGCAGCCCAACACGAGGCATCTCAGGCAACTCATCGCGAAGCTTTCTCCACCGTGCACTGCAATGTCCAAGACATCATGAACATCTTCTGAGTTCACCAGCAGTGCCCGGCATGATTGGACATTGAATCCAGTTCTTCTGCAAAGGCGCACTGGTCCAATGACTGCTCTTGGGTCAGGGAGAGGCAGGGTGCGGCTGTTGCTCTTGTTTCTGGTGGTGGCGGAGCTACCGAGAGGCTGACAGGAGGCAGAGTAGCTGTCGAACTCCGGGAACTGCTCAAGCTGCTGAACAGGACTGTCTTTCTAGTGCTGTGCTAATGGGAGGCCCGAGGCAGTAGATTTTTCGCTTGTCCGCGGGGTTAAAGGTGAAGTTGGTGAGAAGATCTGGGAAGTGTCCTCGGTTGCGAAAAGAAACCAGCGCATACTGGCTCAAGGGGGCCATTATAGCTGATGGCCGTAGGCTGGGATTGAAACAGCAGCAGAAAAATGAAAGGCACCGCACTCAGATGAGGTTGGAAGGCCTACCAGCGCTGTGGGCTTTTTAGGCAACCCTTCCCCAACCCTGCCCAGACCTGTCGAAGTGTGTGGTGTTGGGGAGCAGGGTGGGTTACACTGGCCAAACCGCGTGCCTTGTTAGATTGTAAGAGCACTTACTTGTCATGTGGCATCATGCTGGCTTTGCTGCATATCTACAGCGGATATGCCGAACCGACATTGTGCAGGCACACGCACCTCCACTTCGCAGCCATCAGCCGGGAGTTTGACCAAAGCTTTGTTGCAACCCGGCACGCGCAGAGTCACGTTGGAGTCGCAGTTTGCAAGTATCTCAGAAGGCATCGGAAGGCCACCAAACCTCTGCAAAGTTGCAGAGCTAGTGGCAAGCAAATATATAGAGGCTCTAGATCAATTCATCGCACGAGCAAGAGGGCAACGCTGCCCAACTCTTCCCGTCCTCGACCTGCATTGTTTGGTGCTTGTCGAGCTTGACTTGTTACACTGAAGTGCGGCTCGGTCCAGGTAGGCTGGTTCGACTGTAGTGGGAACAGCTGGCGAAAATTCCGCACGCCACACCCCTAAGAACATGTTCTCGGCTTCAGGCAGACCACCCGCAGCTCGTCCACGATGCCAGCGTCATTGTGTCCGCAACTCACTTTGAAGACATCTTCCGTGCGCCGTGCTCCGATCTTGAAATCTCTACACTCGAACGACTCACGAATCAGCCGTCAGCCATGTGCCGTTGGCACCCCATCCCTTAACCTGTGCGACGTGAAGAGCCATCAGACATCGCAAGAAGCCTGAGCAAAGTCAGGTTCCCAACCCTGTTTTGGATGCTGGCATCCCACAGACAGGGCCACGCATTCCTAGGCAACGTTTGGACCGTCGGACCGTTGAAGCAGATGAATCTTATAGACGGGAGTATTGAGGAGAATGATCGACTTCGGTTCAATGCGCAGACGATCGTGAGATTTTGGTACTGTTTAACTCGCACCTTACGATTGTTTTTTCATTGTTGCATACGTGCGGGTTGCGTCCCAGGTCATTGTATGGCGATGAGGCCTGTCAGCCCCTTTCGGAACCCAAAAACTTGTTCCGGAATTTGATGAGTTGCGGAGTGGGGCCAGTCAGTAGCAAGTCCACACTGCAGCACGTCCACTCGACAAAGCAGGCAACAGAGCCCGCGTTGCGATTTGCGGCTGAAACGCGCAAGCCTCATCCTCAGAGCTTCCTGAGCTGCTTGAGGAGTCTTATGTCTTGCTTCTTTCAAGTCACATGTTCGCCTCCCTATGGCCATGCAATCTTAAGCTCCAAGGCCCTCCAGGGTCTTCCGTGGGTGTCCAGGATTGGAAGGAAGTTTCGGATAGCTAGCTGCCCATGTCCTCAACTCTGCTGACCTGACCTGTTGACCCGACACATTCCATCTGGAAGCAGTTGGGCAGGCCATGTGCAATAGTTCCCTGCAACGAGTGTGCCAGCCTTCTCAGTGCTTGGATTCACCTGCAGATGAAATGGTCGAGCCCTGCGACTGCTCATCAGGTACAGTTCTATCCTGACTACGACAAAACTTACGAGGGCTACTGTGAGGCGCGGGCTTCTCAACTCTATGCCTCCACGGTTCCGAAGCAAAGCGCTTCGGCCAGGCGCTGCTCCAGGACTCTCGTTGGTATGGCGGGTCCTTCGAGCTCGTGAGATTGGACGGCCAGCCGCAGCGCATTTCCAGCATCATAAATCGTGAGGAGTGAGAGTCTTTCGCAGAGGTTCAGCTGAAGGTTTCATAAAGCTTCCAGATGTCTCCAGCAGCTTCCAGCTACGAGGGGCCCAGACCAGTGCCACGGTTGCACGCGGCCGCTGTGCATCGTCACACAACATGCTCTGAAACTGGTAAGGAGGCGCCGAGCATACATCTACACGATTCTATACGGAAAAAGTACACATGTATATATATATATAGGTACGCACAAATTTTATTTGTGTTATACTCACACACTGCATTCTGTGATGCTGTCTTTGGCTGCTGCTCCCCGTCCTCTATGTCCTCTCGAGCCCCTTGCTTTCGGACGACCAGTGGCCAGGTGTACCATTTTCCCGGACCTTGCTTGTGGGGCCCTCGCAAGCTTTTTGGAGGGCAAATGGGTATATTTCCAGAGAAACTGCGCACAAGACTTTTTCTAGTACACACTGCAGGTGCAGAACCCTCCTGAGTACGAGCAATCTGCCGTCAAGGGCTCAGCCGAGCTTGGGCGCGCAGTGGCTTTGTTGACGCTTGGTAGCTTGCCTTGGGAGTCGCGAACAGTCACGATCCTCGCAGCTGTGGTCGTTGTGGGACTCGGCCCACCTTCGCGCATCAAAAGTTGGATTGGCAATTGCCGCAGGCATGTCGGGTTCGCGATGCTCGTCCCCGTCGCTTTGATTTTCTGAGTCTCAACTCAACTCGTCTCTCATCTCAACATTGCTGACAGCCACACGGATCCTGCGCATCAGAGACACGATCGAGAAATCCTGTCTTTGGCTACCGTGTGGAAGTGAAAGGGCCAGAAGACAATATGCAGCCGCCAGAAAAAAACACCAAAATGCAGGGAAAACCAGCTACCGAAGCGCGAAGAAAACACCCACAACCAAGACAACATATCATCGTGAAAAACTCCCACCTCTGTGGTCACAGCAACGGGCGACAGGACGCACTCCTTCTTTTGCACAGCTAGGGCACCTTTGAGAAACACGTGGACTCGAACAGGCGTCTGCCTGAACATCTGCACGGCCGCAGAAAGGCGTATAAGACAATTAAGATTATATAATTAAGGTGATAGCAGGCATGCAACCGTGAGGCCTTTGAAGCAGGTTGGAGTCCACAACGCCGTCATGGCAGTGAGCTGAGCCATTCACAATCGGAACGTCCTTGCTCCAGCCCCAAACACGTTGTTGCTGCTGGGTTGAGGAGCTGTTGGCTCTCGCAGGGTATCTACGCCAGGCGGAGAGGCCCAAGCCTGGCAAAACGAGCTGGATCTGTATGTATCTGATCGAATCTGTTTGCGGCAGGGTCCAGCAACGTCTGATTTGTTCCGCTGCCTTTTGCATCCCAAGATCCATCATCGGGTGGCAGAAGAACCTCGGCCCCCATGTATTCATGTTTCGCCTCACAGTGATCAGTGCTGTGGCTCTTCAGACTCTTGGGTACATAGAGTCAGAGTCAGACTGCTTCGGTCTGACGTTACTACAGCATGGGGTTCACGCCAAAGCATCTGCACAGCAGGTCGCAGCCACTGACGCAGCTGCACTGTCAAGTTTCATGATGAATCACTCGCGAGGGATCCCATCGATCGATGAAAACGGTCGGGTTTGCTTGCTCTGTAACCTTCCGCCAGCAGATCGTGCGCCCAACCAGTCTTATGTACAGCGCAGCGACTGTGGAAACCACAGCTTGTTGGAGCACCCTGAGATGTTGCAGGTGCCTTTAAGTTCTTTACGGCGAGAGGCTACCGTACATCAGAACGAAACGTCTGGCTTTTGCGAGCTGAACTTTGAAAAAGGATGCGCAGATGCCATTTACAACGAGGATTACATGATGTTTGCCAAGAGCGTGGTCGTCCCTGATGTGCCTGGTGTCCACTACAAAGTTGCGTCGTGGGACCAGCACCACTGCTTTTACAATGGGTGGTTGTCTCCTGAGATCAAGGCGATGCAGCACGATTTCCAAGGAATGACAGCGAAAGCTCAGGAGCTGTGCGATTCGGATGCCCTTGTCAAAAGGGGCTCCCGAGGCAACATAACCGTAAGCGACATGCTGCAACATTGGTTGCATGCACTACCTGGCTTGCCGGGTAGCCGCCCGAGCTACGAGGATTCGCTGTTCCTCGCTGCCTGGGCGTGTGCTATGGGAAGTGCTGCTTGTGACATGGCATACTGCGCTTACACTTACTGCAAGAAAGATGATGGTTTCGGCACCTATGAGGAATGCCACGGTTGGGACCCGGTCAAGGGAATGCCGGTAGATTCATAGCGATGCGGCGCGCTGTAGCATGTTTGCAGCTCTCCTTTTCATGTTGGAGGCAGCTTAGAAGATCAGGATGCGCGTCTAGTTGAAGAAGATAATCTTCAGAGACCTGTTTGGACTCGTGATTGCGTCCAGATTCGCCGCAGGCTTCAAAAGTGGTAGAAAACCATCCAGAAGATTCGAGTTCAGTCCGGCAATGCGGATTGCAAGACTTTGTTGTTGTGAAGCTATGGCACAGTGTTGAGGCTATGCAGCACTTTGGATTGCAGACCGGCTTCATGCGGGCCTCGGACTGGGAAAGGCCACTCTCTGCCCATTCACTGCCCAACCACTACCGTTTGGCGTTGCATGTCAGCCGCATGTTGGGCATGACAGCATGTGCCGCAGGCTCCACCAGCAGCAGGAAGTTGGCAGAGGGTTACGGCAAGCGCAATCGGTGGGGCGATCGCGTTGAACTTGCTGCCAACAAGCAGAAGCGGATTCTGGCTGCGAAGCCCATCGTCGTAAGGCCTACCATAAAATAGATATTAATAGTCCTTGGTGTGGTATTACGTTTCCAAAAAAACAATTGGCGTTCAATGGTAAGATTCACATCAGTGGCCGAGCCTGTCCATGATTCTCTTTGCTGGCAAGTCAGATTTGTCGGCCGCAAGGGAAACGCGTTTTGGCTCTTGCAGGCGAGTTGAGATGTAAGGCTGCATGTACCGTGCCTGTCCACGCTCAAGAGTGCCAGCTTTAATCACGCAGCGCCCTGCACAAGAAGCCATGGCACGCCTTTCCGCATCCATCCTCCTTTCTGCAACTTGGACCACATGGATAGGAGAAATGACCAGGTGACCAGAGTAAATGTATCTGGCTTCTTGCCCGATTGTGCAAGCTTGACAAGCTTGACAGCGGACAGCCAAAGATCAGGCTCCAGTTCTGTTCTTGTTGTGTGAACTTCGCCGTGTTTTGACAATGCTAATGCTTGCGCTCTCCACTTGAAAGTTGGTGTGATGCTTTTGGGGAGGCTGCAGCTTGCAAAGTGCTGCGGGATCTGTGGGAAACTTCGCAGTTCAGGCGCTGCGCATTGTGGCCGCGATGTGGGCTGGCCCCGTGCCATAGTTTCCTGCAACGAGGTGTGCCAGCGCTCTCAGAGCTTGGACTCATCATGAAATATCATGAAATGGTCGAGCCCTGCGACTGCTCATCAGGTACAGTTCTGTTCTATCCTGACTACGACAAAACTTACGAGGGCTACTGTGAGGCGCGGGCTTCTCAACTCTATGCCTCCATGCTTCCGAAGCAACGCGCTTCGGCCAGGCGCTGCTCCAGGACTCTCGTTGGTATGGCGGGTACTTCGAGCTCGTGAGATTGGACGGCCAGCTGCAGCGCATTTCCAGCATCATAAATCGTGAGGAGTGAGAGTCTTTCGCAGAGGTTCAGCTGAAGGTTTCATAAAGCTTCCAGATGTCTCCAGCAGCTTCCAGCTACGAGAGGCCCAGGACCAGTGCCACGGTTGCACGCGGCCGCTGTGCATCGTCACACAACATGCTCTGAAACTGGTAAGGAGGCGCCGAGCATACATCTATACGATTCTATACGTATATAGATACACATGTACATACATATATATATATATATATACATATATGCCCTTTATGTTATACTCACGCACGGCATTCTGTGATGCTGCCTTTGGCTGCTCCTCCCCGTCTTCCATGTCCTCTCGAGTCCCTTGCTTTCGGACGACCAGTGGCCAGGTGTACCATTTTCCCGGACCTTGCTTGTGGGGCCCTCGCAAGCTTTTTGGAGGGCAAATGGGCTGCCCCCGCTGTATAGTTCCAGAGAAACTGCGCACAAGGCTTTTTCTAGTACACACTGTAGGTGCAGAACCCTCCTGAGTACGAGCAATCTGCCGTCAAGGGCTCAGCCGAGCTTGGGCGCGCGGTGGCTTGATTTGTTGACGCTTGGACGCTTGGTAGCTTGCCTTGGGAGTCGCGAACGGTCACGATCCTCGCAGCTGTGGTCGTTTCGGGACTCATCCCACCTTCGCGCATCAAAAGTTGGATTGATTGCCGCAGGCATGTCGGGATCGCGATGCTCGTACCCGTCGTCGCTTTGATTTCTGAGCCTCAACTCAACCCGTCTCTCATCTCAACATTGCTGACAGCCACGCGGATCCTGCGCGTCGGAGTCACGATACTCGGCACTATGTTCGAGCTAAAGCCATCCGATTACCTTCAGGAGGGGATCTTTGGATTCTTTGGGAAGTCACAGCGTTATGTATCTGATCATTTGCGGCAGGGTCCAGCAAAGTCTGATTTGTTCCGCTGCCGTTTGCATCTCAAGATCCATCATCGGGTGGCAGAAGAACCTCGGCCCCCGCGTATTCATGTTTCGCCTCACAGTGATCAGTGCTGTGGCTCTTCAGACTCTTGGGTACATAGAGTCAGAGTCAGACTGCTTCGGTCTGACGTTACTACAGCATGGGGTTCACGCCAAAGCATCTGCACAGCAGGTCGCAGCCACTGACGCAGCTGCACTGTCCAGCTTCATGATGAATCACTGGCGAGAGAGCCCGTCGCTCGATGAAAACGGTCGGGTTTGCATGTACTGCGACCTTCCACCAGCAGATCGTGCGCCGAACCAGTCCTATGTACAGCGCAGTGACTGTGGAAACCACAGCTTGGTGGAGCACCCTGAGATTTTGCACGTGCCTTTAAGTTCTTTACAGCGAAAGGCTACCGTAAATCAGAACGAAACGTCTGGCTTTTGCGAACTGAACTTCGAAAAAGGATGCGCAGATGCCATTTTGAACGAGGATTACATGATGTTTGCCAAGAGCATAATCGTCCCTTACGCACCTCCTGACTACTACAAAATTTCGTCGTGGGACCAGCACCACTGCTTTTACAATGGGTGGTTGTCTCCTGAGATCAAGGCGCTGCAGCACGATTTCCAAGGAATGACAGCGAAAGCTCAAGAGCTGTGCGATTCGGATGCCCTTGTCAAAAGAGGCTCTCGAGGCAACATGACCATGAGCGACATGCTGCAGCGTTGGTATAATGCACACCCTGCACCTGGCTTGCCGGGTAGCCGCCCGAGCTACGAGGATTCGCTGTTCCTCGCTGCCTGGGCGTGTGCTATGGGCAGTGCTGCGTGCGACATGGCATTCTGCGCTTACACGTTCTGCCAAAAAGATGATGGTTTTGGCACCTATGAGGAATGCCACGGTTGGGACCCTGTCAAGGGAATGCCGGTAGATTCATAGCGATGCGGCGCGCTGTAGCATGTTTGCAGCTCTCCTTTTCATGTTGGAGGCAGCTTACAAGATCACGATGCGCGTCTAGCTGAAGCACCCAAATTGCAGATCTGTTTGTTCTCATGGTGCAGTGCCTGGACGCGTGGTTGCGTCCAGACTCGCCGCAGGCTTCAAAAGTGGCAGAAAACCATCCAGAAGATTCGAGTTCAGTCCGGCGGATTGGAAGACTTTGTTGTGAAGCTATGGCACAGTGTTGAGGCTATGCAGCACTTTGGGTTGCAGACCGGCTTCATGCGAGCCTCGGACTGGGAAAGGCCACTCTCTGCCCATTCACTGCCCAACCACTACCGTTTGGCGTTGCATGTCAGCCGCATGTTGGGCATGACAGCATGTGCCGCAGGCTCCACCAGCAGCAGGAAGTTGGCAGAGGGTTACGGCAAGCGCAATCGGTGGGGCGATCGCGTTGAACTTGCTGCCAAAAAGCAGAAGCGGATTCTGGCTGCGAAGCCCATCGTCCTACCATATATAAATAATGAGTCCTTGGTGTGGAACTTCGTTTTCAACACTTGCAGGCGATCTGAAATGTCAACCTTGCTGCATGTACCGTGCCTGCCCAAGGGTTAATCACGCACGGCCCTGCGCAGGAAACCATGGCATGCCGTTCCACATCCATCCTCCTCTCTGCAACTCGGACCACATGGATAGGAGACATGACCAGAGCAACCAATGTAGCTGGCTTTTTGCAAGTACATGTATCTGGCTTTTTGCCCGATTGTGCAAGCTTGACAAGCTTGACAGCGGACCTCCTGCTCTGTTCTTGTTGTGTGAACTTCACCGTGTTTTGACGATGCTAATGCTTGCGCTCTCTACTTGAAAGTTTTTCCTGCAACGAGGTGTGCCAGCCCTCTCAGAGCTTGGACTCATCCGCAGATGAAATGGTCGAGCCCTGCGACTGCTCATCAGGTGCAGTTCTATCCTGACTACTACAAACTTACGAGGGCTACTGTGAGGCGCGGGCTTCTCAACTCTATGCCTCCATGCTTCCGAAGCAACGAGCTTCGGCCAGGCGCTGCTCCAGGACTTTCGTTGGCATGGCGGGTACTTCGAGCTCGTGAGATTGGACGGCCAGCCGCAGCGCGTTTACAGCATCATAAAACGTGGGGAGTGAGAGTCTTTCGAAGAGGTTCAGCTGAAGGTTTCATAAAGCTTCCAGATGTCTCCAGCAGCTTCCAGCTACGAGGGGCCCAGACCAGTGCCACGGTTGCACGCGGCCGCTACACTACATGCATGCCAAGCTCGACGCCCAGCTATACTTAAGCCCCCAGTCCCGGACATGCACTGAAACTGGTAAGGAGGCGCAGAGCATACGTCTACACATATATATATATGTATATATATATATATATATATATATATTTGTATATATATATATATATATATGCATACTATGCTTACGCAACTCGGGCCACAAGCTACACTCAGTCACTCAGCCATTCTTGGCGGATGAGAGTGGCTCTGTACGGGCGGCCTGCGCACCATGTCCTTGTGTCACGCTGCTCTTCGACCGTGAGCAGCGTGTCGGTCACTGGCAATGAGATCTTTAAATGTCCAGGCCAGGCCACCTGCATGGGATGCGCCTCAAACCAATTCTCCAGGGGGTCACGTTGCCGAGCATTTATTCGCGATTGTTTATGTCAGGGGAGCTGGGTTGGAAGGGAGGACAGTGGCATCCTGGGTCCAGGTGTGAGAAACGTAAACGTTTTGAGACCTTTCCGCGAACCGGGAGCCACCCCCCCCCCCCCCACCCCACCACTCACCCCACACGCTCGAAACCGAACCCCAACGGACCTGTGGTGCCGTCCACCCGAACCACCGAGTCACCCAATGCCTTCACAAAGAAAACGGCCGCAGGCTTGAGCCCCCTTGCAAGCCCCAACTCCAAACCCTGCAGTCGCGCTTCGAGATGATGGATCGAGTATACAGGGTATACGCAGCTCATGATCGTACGTCGAAAAAAATCGCGGTACAAATCGCCATCCAGCCATGGACTGCCATGTACATTTTGCAACAACACCCTGAGTTGCAGCCTCAGGGTTGGGTTAATATATCGAAATAACTATCCAAACCCACTCTGCCTCCGAAACCTCCCTCATCTAGTTGCCTGCCCCAAGATTCCTAGCGACGCCGCCAGATATAACGGATTCGAAGCAGGGCATCGTAAATGCCCTAGAATTCGCACCCCACAAAGATTCCCAAACTTTCCAGGACTTGTGGAGGACACCTGGCGCATGCGCCGCAATGTGCAGGCAGCCATGGCACTGGACCTGCACCTTGTCCGGCTGACATGTATACTTCACCCACATGCAGCGACATGGGCCAGTTGTGTTGCTCACTGAGGGTGTGGTTGGAGCGAGTGTGTTGTGACGGTGTGCGTGCGTGTGTCTACGAAAGGTTTATTTCGTAAACCTTCGTGGTTGAGCTTGGGCCACGACCTTGCCTCAGGATAGCTGCGCCTGCAGCCAAAGTTATGGGCAATCAGGTCGACATCACGGGCTTTCTGCCAGCCACTTGCTTTAGTCTGGCGTGCTCGAACTTAAAGGGTGTGCGATCTGTCTTTTGCCGAATAACCAACGTGTAAGTGCAAAGTCCATTTCAAGAGAATGAAGTCTTCCGGAGACTAGTAACTAACTAGGGTCGGACGAGAAGCTGGCGTTTATTCTTCTGCACCCGCGCCATGCTGATGCTTTCCAGCTTGTCTGAACACAACTTCGGTTTTGCGTTGTCGCAGCCGGGGTATGGAATTTGGGGATGCTAAGCAAAGTAAGGGCTACCAGACGGCCTGTGCTTGTCGTGGTGCTTGGACACAGAATCTGAGTCGTGAAAGTAATGAACTAAGCCTAAATAAGGAGCCTCTCGCCTGTTGCGTCCGAGGCAAAACTCTAATAGATCCCAAGCAACTGCACATGCGGTCGCACACTGAGATCTCAGAACAGATGATGTCCCACAGCAACTTTGTTCTGATACTGCATGCCGGGGCCATTTGGTGGCCCGCTGCTGAGATGTCAGATGTAAGCCTCAGGATTTTTCAAGTCTGGCTTCTGCAGGTTCGGGTTTAGGGGTCTAGAGCATGCAGCGCTTCCCTGTCGAGGGCTGCGACGTCATGTTGTCTGTGAGCGCAGTTGGGGAAGCGATTTCACCACTGGTACCGGGGTGCTGTCCGAGGTACCATTGCTTTTTGCGTGACCACCTAACAGCTCGACATGTGACGCGGATTGGATTGGAGAGGCCGGCCATGAGCAGCAAGCAGCAGGGACACGTGTTTCTCTTTATTCTTGGGGCTCAGAATCCAGAGTGGCGTACTGCACGTTCTTCGTTATGCTTCATCCTATCCTCAATTCAAGCCATCTCCAAGTGGTTGCAGCCCTTGAGAATGTGTTCTCGAACGCATATTCGAGGCCCGGAAGTGGCGGAGTGATTTAAAGAAAAGGAGAGACTGCAAAATAGTGTTGAAAGCGTAATCGAGTGCGTCTCTGGCAAAGAGTGCTTTTCTGGCAGAGGCCCTGGCCGGAGGTGCGCCAGGCCTTGGAAACAGGCTCCAGAGAAGTGGTTATCGTGGAGACAGGCGCGCTCACCAGGGGCCGTTTTGTAGTTGAGGATTGGGTCCAGGTTCATGATGCATGGCCTTGAAGCTCTTGTCAAGTGCTGCTGCAGCGGCGCCCAGTGTATGATGGAAACTTTGTCTCACAAGACACCTTCAAAGATGTGTCGATGCTTTGATCCAGGACCCTGGAGGCGGCGCTTGGAAGTGAGCTGCCGGAAGGAGCAAGAACCTGTTTCTCCAGGGCGCGAATGTTGAACGTCGTGAATGCATGCGAGAGGAGCGAATTAATTGAGCGAATGCATGAACTGCATACATATGATTATTGGGATATTATTGGGGGTTCTTTGTGCCCGCACTTACAATGCTCTTATGCAATGCACTAAATTAAACGGCAGTAACGCATGATGTTAGTATATTTAACGGGGTCTTTTTCCTGATTCAACTTTATGTGGCTGCTCACAAAATAAAAAAGTATTGTACTCACCGCTACATTGACATGCAGTCACAAAAACGATTGGTAAAATGCGGTCTGGTAGAGACTATGCCCGAACATGTTCAAGGACACACAAGGGGCTGTTCCATTGCGGCAGCTGTTATCCACCGGCGCGCTCCACGTTGATCGTGACTTGGCACGCACTTACGTCCGCAGAGGCTGAACGTTGGCCTTAGATTGTTGTTCCGTGGCTACGGCTGTCTTATGGCATCTCATTCAGCCCGTCGTGCATTTCTGGGGTCAGTTCTTTATACCTCCATAACTTCCGATGAACTACTTGTTGAGATTCCTGAGCTGAGGTGTTGCGGGCACGGTGCTGAACGAGGATGCTCTGCAGCTGCTGCGTGAAGAGGAGATCTACCCTATCGCAGAGGAGAGGCCGCATGAAAACGAAAGAGACATGTGGGATTACGGCACCCTCTTCACTGCACCCCCTCAAACAGAGCAGCTCTCATTTCAACATGAGTCTGCTTGCACTATCTCTCTTTTCCAGGCGCTTGCGACGCCCATACGTAAACCGTTGGTGACATTATGGGGTACTTCATTAGTCAGCATGTTGAGAGAGCTGCCACACTCGCAAGATCGTGGCAGTTGAGGAGCTTGCACAAGACCATGCTGCCAAACATGCAGCCGGAATTGGAAACCATGAGCCAATGGCCTTGAAGATGGAAGACGACACAGGCCCAGAAGTTTTGCTGTAGGGGTGGTTGTTGTGGTGGTATTTTGGTAGTACATTGTTGTTGAGGGCTCCGTGGGAGTTTGGTAGATAAGTCTGGCCGGGCTTCGACTTGGACTTACGCATGCCTTCTCATATCTTCTCATACTCATGTCTGGTCCATTTTGGCCAAGTCAGGTACCCTGAAGTGGATGGAGGATTTGCCACCTATGGCTCAACGCCCACTTCAGTGGCACGGGCGAGTTTTCTGCATCTGAGCTGCAAGGTGACGGGTTTCCTGACTGTAAGCATCTGATCCAGGCCTGGCCTCGTGCTAGCAAAAAGAGCGCGTAAACTGGCCTAAAAGCCTATCATTTCGAAGCAGCGAAGGCCGCTATTGGGGCGGCCTGTCGGTTGTCATGGGCTTGACCTCGGAGCCTGGGCGTGATTTGCATAACACGAATCATGATACAATCGCTGGGCAGACCCCCCCGCCCCCAGAGCTCAGTCCACGCGAACCCACGTATTGCTGTCTGCATTTGCTGTGGTATCCGAGGTTTTGGTGTGGATGCCCAATAGCAGCCTGCAGCCTTGGGCAAAGTTCCCAAGAGTGTCCGCAAGAACCTGACTGTGACCTGACCCACGCAGATTTGGGACAAAACTCTGCGCAATCTTCTTGTTTGCGCTGCTGTACTGCGCTGCTGTGATGCTGCCAAAGCTGTTCCTCCCCGCCCTCCCTGTCCTCTCGAGCCCTTGCTTTCAAACGACCAGTGGCCAGGTGTACCATTTTTCCCGGACCTTGCTTGTGGGGCCCTCGCAAGTCTTTTCGAGAGCAACTCGGACAGTAAGGGGCTGCTGTCCGCTGTAAAGTTCGAGAGAAACTGCGCACAAGACTTTCTATATAGTACACGCTGCAGGTGCAGAACCCTCCTGAATACGGGCAATCCGCCGTCACGGGCTCAGCAGAGCTTGGGCGGGCAGTTGGCGTCTTTGTTGACGCTTGTTAGGATGCCTTGGGAGTCGCGAACGGTCACGATCCTCGTAGCTGTGGTCGTTTTGGGACTCAGCCAGCCGGGGGCAGGGTCGAGTAAACATCACGTTAAGCATCCAGTAAACATCAGCAAACATCATGTTAAGCGTCCAGTGCGCATCCAGGCCAAAGGCATCTACCCCCTTCGGACACCCCGCCATGCATGTTCGACCGCTGCAAATGGATTTTCCCCGGTTTCACGCAGCGGGACACCCCGCCATGCATCGTCCGGCCGCTGCAAAATGCACAGGGCTCCTTCCCGGCGTCATGCAGCGTGACAGGTAAGGCAGCTGTCCTTCGGGAAGCTCGCCATTCATTTTCCAGCTGCCTCAAAATTCCCAGGGCCATGCCCTGGCGCCATGCGGTGGAAAACCTTTTGCCCCCCGCCTTCTCCGTGTCATGGTCCAGCTCCGCCTTCGGTTACCGGTTGCTGCTGAGGACACTACCTGCCCCTTGTGTGACGGGGTGGCCGACCGCCACGGCGACCACTCCCGCTGCTGCCCTTGCGGAGGGGACCGGGTTAAGCGCCACAACCGCCTCCGAGCTGTTGCGGCAGCGCGGGCGCAGGCGGCGGGTCTGGGGGTTGAGGTGGAAAAGCCTGGCCTGCTCCCGCTGCGGCCTGCTGAAGAAGCTGGAACTGATGCAGGTCGGGGCGCCGGGACGCGCAGACCAGCGGATGTCTGGCTCGCTCAGTGGGGCCTCCATGGCCCGGCTGCTCTGGACCTCGCTGTCACCTCAGGCCTCCGCACTGGCGCCGCCGTCGCCCAATCGGCCAACTCCAGCTCTGCCGCGGTTGATGCTTACGAAGCTCACAAGCGCTCACACTTGCACACGGATCAGCACTGCACGTCCGAGGGCATCCAGTTTATGCCGTTGGTCGCTGAAGCCTGCAGTGGGGGGTGGGGGCCGACGGCTGCCGCCACCTGGCGTGTGTTGGGAGGTCTAGTTGCTGCCCGGTCGGGGGATAATGCGTCAGCCGAGACCGACCGTCTCTTGCAGAGCCTCTCCGTCGTCTTACATCGTGAAAATGCACGGGCGGTCCTCCGCCGCCTGCCCACTGAGGCAGCGCAGCCAAGCCCCTTCGCGGAGCCTTGATCTCGTTGCATTGGCACCTTCCTGCACTGCCTACCGTTGCTCGGCCTCCGCTTGGGTCAGCCAAGCCGCTTTCACTTCTTCTGCCTTTGTTGGCCTCCGCTTGGGTCAGTCAAGCCGCAGTTTCCTCTTCTCTTTTCGGCCTCCGCTTGGGTCAGTCAAGCCGCAGCAGCTTCCTCCGTGCACCCTGTTGCCTTCGGACAGCTCCCGCTTTCCTTCTGACTCGGCCTTGTACTCTCTCACAAGTAGTAGGGTTTTTATTGTTTTGCGCAGCCCTCAGAAGCAGGAACGCGCTCATTGTACTGGGAAGGTTTCGGGCAAGCCCCATTGAACTAGACCAAGAGCAGAAACCTTTAAAAGCACAGCCTCAAACAAGAGAAGCAACAACATGTAGCTGGTGACAAACAATCCTTTCCTAAACAGAGAAAATCAAAAGCAAACCCTAAGTAATGAGAAAGAAAACCCTAAGGAGTTAGGATGAACAACATAGGAAGACAAAACATTGCAAACAGAAAACCAAAAAGAAACCCAAGGGAGTGAGAAAAGCAACATGTAGCTGGTGACAAACAATCCTTTCCTAAATAGACAATCTAAACAGAATTACCAAAAGGAAACCCTAAGGAGCAAGAAAAACAACATGTAGTTGGAAACACAAAAAGAAAACCTTACGGAGTGAGAAGAAAAACCCTAAGCAGTTAGGAAAAACAGACAGAACATTCTAAAAAGTCACATGGAAAACTTGGCAGGTAACAAAACAAAGGCGGGCGCACAACGGACTCTTAACACGGCGTTTACTGGACACGCGCGGGGTCCAGCAAACGTCATGTTAAGCGTCCAGTGCGCATCCCAGGGCGCACACTGGACAAGTAAGTCCACGGGGACCCCCCCCCCCCCAGGATGCACACTCGAGTCTTAACATGATGTTTACTCGACCCTGGGCCCCAGCCCACCTTCGCGCATCCTAAGTTGGATTGGCAATTGCAGCAGGCATGTCGAGATCGCGATCCTCGTGCCGGTCGCCGCTTTGATTTTCCGAGCCTCGAATCAACTCGTCTCGCGTCTCAACATTGCTGACAGTCACCAGGATCCTGCGCAACAGAGTCACGATCCTCGGCACTATTGTCGAGCTAAAACCATCCGTTTACCTTCAGGAGGGATCTTTGGATTCTTTGGGAAATCACAGCATTATGTATCTGCTTGCATCAGTTTGCGCAGCAAAGTCTGATCTGTTCCGTTGCCGTTTGCATCCCAAGATCCATCATCGGGTGGCAGAAGAACCTTGGCCCCCGTGTATTCATGTTTCGCCTCACAGTGGTCAGTACTGTGGCTCTTCAGACTCTTGGGCACATAGAGTCAGAGTCAGACTGCTTCGAGTCTCAGCAAACGACGTTACTACAGCATGGGTTTCACGTCGCAGCATCTGAACAGCAGGTCGCAGCCACTGACGCAGCTGCACTGTCCAGCTTCATGATGCATCACTCACCAGTGATCCCATCGCTGGATGGAAACGGTCGGGTTTGCATGCTCTGCAGCCTTCCACCAGCAGAACGTGCGCCCAACCAGTCCTATGTACAACGCAGCGACTGTGGAAACCACAGCCTGTTCGAGAACCCTGCAATGTTGCAAGTGCCTCTAAGTTCTTTACGGCGACAGGCTACTAAAGGTCAAAACGAAACGTTTGGCTGGTGCGAGCTGAACGTGGAAAAAGGATGCGCAGATGCCATTTACAACGAGGACTACATGATGTTTGCCAAGAGCGTAGTCATCCCTGATGTACCTGGTCTCCACTACAAAGTTGCGTCGTGGGACCAGTACCACTGCTTTTACAATGGGTGGTTGTCTCCTGAGATCAAGGCGATGCAGCACGATTTCCAGGGAATGACAGCGAAAGCTCAGGAGCTCTGCGAGTCGGATGCCCTTGTCAAAAGAGGCTCCCAAGGCAACATTACTATGAGCGACATGCTGCAACGTTGGTTACATGCGCTACCTGGCTTGCCGGGTAGCCGCCCGAGCTACGAGGATTCGTTGTTCCTCGCTGCCTGGGCATGTGCTATGGGCAGTGCTGCTTGTGACATGGCATACTGCGCCTACACTTACTGCAAGACAGATGATGGTTTTGGCACCTATGAGGAGTGCCATGGTTGGGACCCGGTCAAGGGAATGCCGGTAGATTCATAGCGATGTGGCGCGCCGTAGCATGTTTGCAGCTATCCTTTTCATGTTGGAGGCAGCTTAGAAGATCACGATACGCCGGCTTCTCGTCTAGCTGAAGACCCAATTTGCAGAGATCTGTTTGTTCTCATGGTGTCACGTTGGGCATCTGCAGTGCCTGGACTCGTAGTTGCGTCCAGATTCGCCGCAGGCTTCAAAAGTGGTAAACAGCCATCCGTTTTTTCGAGTTCAGTCGCGCAATGCGGACTGTAAGACTTTGTTGTGACGCTGTGGCGCAGTTTTGAGGCTATGCAGCAATTTGGGCAGCAGATCGGCTTCATGCGAGCATCGGACTGGGAAAGGCCAGCTACTGCCCAACCACTACCGTCTGTCGTGCATGTCAGCCGCATGTTGGGCATGACAGCATGCGCCGCAGGCTCCACCAGCAGGAAGTTGGCAGGGGGTTACGGCAAGCGCAATCAGTCGCGTTGCCGCCAAAAGCAGAAGCGGATTCTGGCTGCGAAGCCCATCGTCGTAAGGCCTACCATAAATATATAGATATAGTTCTTGGTGTGGAATTTCGTTTCCAACAAAATTGTTGGCGTTCAATGGTTAGATTCACATTGATGGCCGAGCCTGTCCACATCGGCTCGCGTCCTTGACTTCTTGCTGGCAAGTCAGATTCGTCGGCCGCAAGGGAGGCCCTCAGAGACCCTGCCAGTCCTTGAACGAAGCTCTACCGGGCAATTCTCCGCAGCTATTTTTTGAGTTGCTCACCGAGTTCTGACGCTTTTTGGCTCTTGCAGGCGAGTTGACATGTCAACCTTGCTGCATGTACCGTGCCTGCCGACGCCCAAGAGTGCCGGCTTTATTCACGCACGGCACTGCACAGGAAACCATGGCACGCCGTTCCACATCCATCCTCCTCTCTGCAACTTGGACCACTTGACCAGAGTAATGTGAGCCATAGCCAAAGATCAGGCTCGCGTGCCCTGTTTTTGTTGTGTGAACTTCGCCGTGTTTTGACAATGCTAATGCTGCTAATGCTTGCGCTCTCATTTTGAAAGTTGGTGTGATGTTTTTGGGGAGGCTGCAGCTTGCAAAGTGCTGTGGGATTTGTGGGAACTTCGCAGTTCAGGCGCTGTGCATTGTGGCCGCGATGTGGATGTTGTCGAGCAGAGGCCTCAATTGCATCGATTGCAGAGCGAAGCCTCCTCGAAGCATTTGGGATTCACGCTCCAAGAACCCCATCCAAGCTTTCAATCAAGCTGCAGCAGCTTTAGGCACCGCTTTTGTGTCCGCGCCGCAAACAGCTCTGCGCGGCAGCGAGGCGGGAGGGATCAAGATTGGCATTGGCCTATCTCGTTGGGCACCAGTCTGTTTGACCCACGTAGAGGCCAATTGAAACATAGACACAGACCAACTCAAGACCTGATTCCCGCGTCTTTGCGACACTCAACAGTGTTCAACCCCTTCCATTCCAGCTGATTGGGTACAGGTGCCTCAGAAGCTGGAGCAGGCCCGCCGTCCATGCTGCCATGATTCGCGGGGGAGAGCCAGGGGCCATGGGGGCGAACCTTCCCAAGGCGAATGAAGGAAGGCGGCCAAAGCAATAAAACAAGTCCCTGAAGCCTAATTTCCCAAAACACACCAAGAAGACCGAGCCAAAAAGCATGTCCGCATCCCAAAACCCCCCCAAACCCCTCAGTCTGCGAAACAAAGCGGCCAGAGTTGCCCATTCAATTATGTGCTGGACTGTCGCCTCGAAGCTTCCCTGCAGTGCGCCAGCTAGACTCCTTCAAGTTCTGCCGCCTGGGAGCAAGCATACGGGCAAACCTCCTGTGCTCCACGAAGCCCAATGCCACCCACTTGCTTTGCAAGCAGGGACTGCTGTGCAGCAGCTTCAATCAAGGCAATTAACATCAGGGTTGTAGTGAGGGAGCGTAGCGCGCCATTATGTGCCATTCGGAGGATGCGACAATGCCTTGGTAGCGTTAGCTTGTCGTCCCGGTGCGGAGAGCGAACTAGCAGATGGCAAACATAAGCATGAACAGGCAGCACTTCATGCTATTTTTGAAGATAGTTTAAGCATTTACTATAGAAGAAAACGTTAGAAACCAAAACGTTGCGTATCGATGCAACATGTGTCGCAGAGGCGGCGGCCCCGGCAGCCCTGGCTGTAGCCGTGGCCTCGCTTCCAGAGGCCGCGCATGCTGGCAACTCGGGCCCGGGGACCCGGGGACCTGCATTCTTCTTGCTTTTCTTTTTGTCTTCCTTTTCTTTGTCACATTTTTCCCCGTTTTGTCGGTGTCTTTGATTTTGACGTATTTTGCTCACGTTGGCGCTTGGCCTCGATGCTTGGGCATGCATCGATGGGATTGGTAGGCATGTGCAACATGCCAGTGATGCAACATCGACTGCACCTTCGCTCACATCTCCAGCCATTTCTTGTCGTCAACTTCCTGACATGCCCAGGCTATGCCTTGCTCCAGCTGGGCTGGGCGGTCTTCATCATCAGCCTTGGTCCGGCGGTTCTTTTCTGGACGGCTCCGATATGCTTGCAGAAGCCAGGGTGGTCACGGCCTTCCGGAGTAGACTCAGAGATTCAGCTTTGGCTGCACACCACGGCTTGTTGCGTTGTCATCTGTTGTCATTTCTGCTAGCAACTAGCAGAAATTGCATTGGCATGTAACATCATGTAACGCAGTGTAACGCATTAGGCAAAAAGACCTGTGTTATTCCAGGGTCAGCTCGCGAAGCGCAGCCAGTCCCTCACGTCCATGTACCATGGTTCTTTGTGGCATTATCCGGCCCTTTCAGGATCTACTTCAACAAGCCAGAGCTGCTGTGAGCTGAGATTTGTCAAGAGGCCCTTCGAAATTGATTGCTGTGCTTGGCATCTGTTCAGGGATGTTCAGGGTCGACAAACCACATTGCTTCTCATCGACGGTGTTGGATTCTGAGCCCAGCGTACGGAGACAATCGCAAGCCCGGACATTCTGCGAGGCGTGCAGCCTGCAAACACGCTTCCCTGCAATACCGGACTTGCAACTCAGACGTGCTGCAAGTTCCCAAGCGCATATCCGCTGCGAGAGCAATTTCTCGCTGACGTGCTCAGCCAGGGGCGCCACGGCAAGCAGCGAAAGTCGCTGCTGAGCCCGGCTCGCCCAGCGCCGCAAGCCTGATCCGCGCTTGGCAGAAGACTCCAGTATAGGAGGTTAATACAGGAGACTTTGAGCACACAAAACGGTTGAAAAGTGTTGTCTGCATGCTGCAACAGAATCCATCAAGAACAACCTTGCAGTCACCTTTCATCCCACGTGGGACGCAGCCACCAGGCACTCAAAGCAGAAGTCCAGGCAAAGAGTGAGTAGCCCTAGACCGCCCTGGGCCGGGCCGGAGCCGCAAGATGCATGGTCCATCGCAGGAGTTTTCCGCCGAAGCTTCGACGATGCTGGGGTCAGCGGGTACGCTGCAGATGATTCAAAAATGGGTTGGATCAAGTTGCATCGATTCCCCTGCTGCACGCTTTCAAGATGACAGGCAACTGAAGGCTCACATGGCTCACATGGCTCACAGCCCAGCACGTTTGTCGCAGAGCACGTCGGAGAACTTGCCAAGCCACACGACGGCGACTTCGTCAAGCAAGCATCTGAAGAGTCCGGACATCGATTGGCAGAGGCCTTGGATTGATGCACTGTCACACGACACGCAAGACGCCAAGCAAGAGTGCACAGACCTTTTCCTGGGTCAAGAAAGTGCAGATGGCGCTTGGTGTCGGAGTCGAAATGGCACCATCACACCGGAGTCAAAGCCTTGGCTCGAAACTCCTGTCACACCCGTCAAGGTCAGTGTGAATCCGCGTCGAACGTTGAAGGTTGAGGGCCCCATTCAAAAGTCCAAAAGCGGCAAAAGCGGCAAGACGCAAGTGCAAGGCCCGCGAGGCTCAAGGCCACGCAAATTGACTCGTGTGTCAGCTCGACACGTGCCTCAGAATCTTCAGGGCCTCTTCGACGCAAAGGATGGATTGCAGGAGGCCTTCGACTCGCAGGATCTGCACAAGGCCGTGTCGTGGCTGAAGGGGCTAGGGAGGAGAAAGGTCGCAGCTCACGAGCTGGAGAAGACCCGCATCGGCCTCACGGTCAACGCATGCCGCAAGACTGCGGAGCCCTTTGTGACCAAGTTGGCCGAAATATTGCTTCAGAGGCGCGGGGCCGGTAGTAGACTGTTCTTTGACGTTTTTTGCAAAATAGGAGCTCTTGTTGTCAAGTCACGTTCCCAGGTGGAAGCGTGATTGGCGACTTGAGCGCGAGCTGGAGCATGCCCTGCAAAGAAGCTCCTGATAGCTGCAGATCACAACCAGGGGGGAGCGGGCCCGGGCTTCGCGGGAGAGAGGATGAAGGCCTTGAAGTGAGCTGACGTCATCTCTACAACCAGACAGCTGCAGGCCATTGGGGTTGTTGCCAGATCCGTTACCAGGGGAGGAAGGCGGGATCTGATGTGATGTGAATGTTTGTGACATTTTGTGACCATCTGAAACTTCAGTTTCTGATGTTGCTAGGGCCTTTGCGCCACAATGTTGAAATGTTGTTCTCATCGGTAGTGACCCGGTAGTGTCATTGAAAGCTTGCCTGCCTGGACAGCTTTGCATCTGAGCAAGTGGCCCAAACGGCTGTACACTTGCTTCCGTGCTGGAGGCGCGAATTTGTACACTTGCAAGACAAAACAGGTTGCCTGCGCCACACCAATGGACGCCGCATCACCCTTGTGCATCCCATGAGAGCGAATGTCGCTGCCCCGACAAGCTCATGCAGCACGTGTTGGGAGACGAGCACCCAACATCACCGGTTCGGCTTCTGTTGCTACTTGCAGGCTCAAGGCTGCAACGAAAGGACAAAAGATGACACAGTTCAGAAGCGATGCATGTAGGCAAGAAGTGACAAGAAGTCTGCATCGATGTCAAAGAACATCAGCATGACGGGGAATCCAGCGCGACTGGCTCGCCGAAGCTAGGCCGCTAGGCCTGCAATTCAGACGTGCTGCAAGTTCCCTAGCGCATATCCGCTGCGAGAGCAATTTCTCGCTGACGTGCTCAGCCAGGGGCGCCACGGCAAGCAGCGAAAGTCGCTGCTGAGCCCGGCTCGCCCAGCGCCGCAAGCCTGATCCGCGCTTGGCAGAAGACTCCAGTATAGGAGGTTAATACAGGAGACTTTGAGCACACAAAACGGTTGAAAAGTGTTGTCTGCATGCTGCAACAGAATCCATCAAGAACAACCTTGCAGTCACCTTTCATCCCACGTGGGACGCAGCCACCAGGCACTCAAAGCAGAAGTCCAGGCAAAGAGTGAGTAGCCCTAGACCGCCCTGGGCCGGGCCGGAGCCGCAAGATGCATGGTCCATCGCAGGAGTTTTCCGCCGAAGCTTCGACGATGCTGGGGTCAGCGGGTACGCTGCAGATGATTCAAAAATGGGTTGAATCAAGTTGCATCGATTCCCCTGCTGCACGCTTTCAAGATGACAGGCAACTGAAGGCTCACATGGCTCACATGGCTCACAGCCCAGCACGTTTGTCGCAGAGCACGTCGGAGAACTTGACAAGCCACACGACGGCGACTTCGTCAAGCAAGCATCTGAAGAGTCCGGACATCGATTGGCAGAGGCCTTGGATTGATGCACTGTCACACGACACGCAAGACGCCAAGCAAGAGTGCACAGACCTTTTCCTGGGTCAAGAAAGTGCAGATGGCGCTTGGTGTCGGAGTCGAAATGGCACCATCACACCGGAGTCAAAGCCTTGGCTCGAAACTCCTGTCACACCCGTCAAGGTCAGTGTGAATCCGCGTCGAACGTTGAAGGTTGAGGGCCCCATTCAAAAGTCTAAAAGCGGCAAAAGCGGCAAAAGCGGCAAGACGCAAGTGCAAGGCCCGCGAGGCTCAAGGCCACGCAAATTGACTCGTGTGTCAGCTCGACACGTGCCTCAGAATCTTCAGGGCCTCTTCGACGCAAAGGATGGATTGCAGGAGGCCTTCGACTCGCAGGATCTGCACAAGGCCGTGTCGTGGCTGAAGGGGCTAGGGAGGAGAAAGGTCGCAGCTCACGAGCTGGAGAAGACCCGCATCGGCCTCACGGTCAACGCATGCCGCAAGACTGCGGAGCCCTTTGTGACCAAGTTGGCCGAAATATTGCTTCAGAGGCGCGGGGCCGGTAGTAGACTGTTCTTTGACGTTTTTTGCAAAATAGGAGCTCTTGTTGTCAAGTCACGTTCCCAGGTGGAAGCGTGATTGGCGACTTGAGCGCGAGCTGGAGCATGCCCTGCAAAGAAGCTCCTGATAGCTGCAGATCACAACCAGGGGGGAGCGGGCCCGGGCTTCGCGGGAGAGAGGATGAAGGCCTTGAAGTGAGCTGACGTCATCTCTACAACCAGACAGCTGCAGGCCATTGGGGTTGTTGCCAGATCCGTTACCAGGGGAGGAAGGCGGGATCTGATGTGATGTGAATGTTTGTGACATTTTGTGACCATCTGAAACTTCAGTTTCTGATGTTGCTAGGGCCTTTGCGCCACAATGTTGAAATGTTGTTCTCATCGGTAGTGACCCGGTAGTGTCATTGAAAGCTTGCCTGCCTGGACAGCTTTGCATCTGAGCAAGTGGCCCAAACGGCTGTACACTTGCTTCCGTGCTGGAGGCGCGAATTTGTACACTTGCAAGACAAAACAGGTTGCCTGCGCCACACCAATGGACGCCGCATCACCCTTGTGCATCCCATGAGAGCGAATGTCGCTGCCCCGACAAGCTCATGCAGCACGTGTTGGGAGACGAGCACCCAACATCACCGGTTCGGCTTCTGTTGCTACTTGCAGGCTCAAGGCTGCAACGAAAGGACAAAAGATGACACAGTTCAGAAGCGATGCATGTAGGCAAGAAGTGACAAGAAGTCTGCATCGATGTCAAAGAACATCAGCGTGACGGGGAATCCGGCGCGACTGGCTCGCCGAAGCTAGGCTTGCAACGAGAGGGCGTGGCTAAGATCGAGCATGCATCAGGCATCAGGCAAGCGTCATGCATGGTGACTCAAACAGCCCAACCAGTCATCCTAAGAATGCCAGTTGGCTGGCAGGAAAAGTTGCCGAGCCTTTGTGCCAGTTAAATTGGCCAACTTTCCGAGTTTCCGTGATCCTGCAGCCGCCAAAGGCAGGCAAGTTCGCAACCAGCATCATCAAGGATCAGAGAGTCTAACAGCCCTTTGAGAACTAGGAACTTCTCTACTCGGCGGGCTTCTGCTGGCGGCGCATTGCGCACAAAGTCGTCAACTCAGAGACGCATGGGATCAAACGGCGTAGGCATCAGCCCAATGATTGCTTGCAGATGATCTCCTTTACTGCCGCAGCAGCCGGCCATGTCACGGACAGGAATTGACACAACCACAGGAGACTTTGGAAGCTCACATGCATCGTGCGCCTCTCTCGCCCTCCAGGCCCAGCCAGAGCCTTCACCGCACCTACGAGGGCCCAAAGTCGGTCCTTCACTGGTCCCCGAGTAGGCCACCGGATTGCCTGTTTCGACCTCGGTATGATACACATCATACACGGTCATCTTCGACTAACGCTACTTATGCCTACTGATCCCGAGAAGACAAAAGCTTATTGTATAGGCATCGCTAAGTTAGCTTCTTTTGACAGATGCATGTCGATGCCCGAGCATGCCCGAGCCTATCGCCTTCAACTCCAGTGGCTGAAGAGGCTCGCGCCAAGTCGCACGTGCAGCCGAGCCTCCCGCTTCGCAGCTGGAGGCCGATGCATGAGAGGGCAACATAGGCACCACTAGACACCCAACTTCAGACTGACATTGCAAGGGGTCCCCGCACGGTTCGAAGGACAGCATGACAGGATATGAAAGGCATGGGAGGTGCCGGTCTGAAGGTTTATGAAGAAACTCATGCTCCAGAAGCAACGCATGACCCCTATTGCAGATAACGCAGCACACCTACAGCACGATGCCTGCAAGGTTCCGTGTTACCAGTAGTAGCGACTCAGTCTCAGGATGTTGTGGCCAACGCCCGCAGCTTGATCTTCGCGGTATACCCAAAGGGTCCTCAGGCACCTGGATGCATCTTTTTCAGATCCGTGTCCGGGACGCATGAGATTTCCAGAATGCTCATCTTGTGCAGTGATGACATGTCTCTTCAGCGCTTTGTAGCTGTCAATGATGAGATCGCGATTCTCCCACATTGCCTGGAATTCCCCAGGCTGCCTGGCGCAATGTCCTCGCAGGTTTCGCAGTCGCTCTGGCGATGATCCCAGCCCCTTGGCAGAGGCACCTTGAAGTTGAACAAAGGCATTCCCACACAAGACCCAGATCCAATGTATTTCAATCGGCACTGCTAGATGCACATGATACAATTAGATATTCATTGTGTATAATATGTTTTTCTTTTTCTACATATTGTTACATATTATAATGTGGCTCGGAAAGATACCAGCCTAGGAGTCAGTGGCCTTTGCTTTCGTCGCCGGCGTGACGCCCATCGTCGGCCTTTGGAGCGCAGCTACTTTGGCGAGCAGCTAACTGCACGTTAATCCGGCCAGCCCCGTAGCGGCAGCGCTTTACAGGATGTCCCGTCCCAAACCGGCGATTTCAACTGACAGGCAAAGGAACTTAGACCCACATGGGATGCAAGTCACATGCCTAAATGCCAGGCTTGCCCCGGGGTTTCAGGCTTTGCCTGGGACTGCACGTGGTCTTCAGGGCTATTGATTCCTAGTTTCTCGTGCGACAAAGTCAAAGTATGAGGACCGCACAATGATGAAAGCAGCAAACCCTTCCAAATACCTCCAAAGGCATGAGTTTTGCCTGCTAGATATGAGGAAAATGCAGACATTCATTAATGTCGTCGGAAAGAAGCTGTTGTTTCAAGTTATTCCCACATAATGTACCTCTCAGGTCGCCCTCGGTTTCTTCGCGGCCGCCTTCGGCGGCCGTGCAGGGGTCGCCTCTGGGGCTGCGGGTTCGACCGCTGCGGCTTGGGCCAGAATGTGGTCTCCAGTTGCGGTGGAAAGGGAGATGAGCCCAGGGGTTGCCGGGCAAGGGATGCAAGGGATTCGTGGAGTTTCCTAGTACTGACATGCTTAGCTGCCAGATTTGAATGATGAGATGGTGTGTGGTTGCGAGCGGCATCGTGCGGCCATTACAAGTTCACCTTCCTTGGGAGCCGGTTTCTGACAATGCGGCTTCAGGCATTGGAGTTGCACAGGTTGAGAGTGAAAGTCACATCACCCATTCTTCGGGGATAGTACGTCTGGCAGCCGAGGTAGTGATGGCGGCACTTTGTGCACAGCACGGAACTACATACTTGAAACTCGGTCGATGCCGGTATTTAGGTGTAGCAACTGTGGTCTCATGAAATCTTATATTGCCAAATGCCAAAGGCAGCAAGTCAGTTATGCAGCGCTTTACGCAATCTGCCGGTCATATTTGGTTTTTGCATGCCTCGCTGATCGCACGGCTGCAAAGGAGTGCCGCGGTACTTCTCGCCGGTGGCCTGCAGATTCTAGCAGGCACATGGGGACTGCCAATGCTTGAGAAAGTGAGAATTGGCGTCGTGGTCACTGGAAAGAGCTAAGCTTGGTGCCTGGGCAGGTGTCTTGCAATGGGGGAAGTTCATAAAGTTGGTGCCACATCCAGTGATGCTCGGTTACTCGGCTGCTGGCTGGAGACATCATCATGTGAACGACATGAGCATGTCAAATCGTTTCTGGGTTGAAAGGTTTCAAGGACTTGTGGCGGCTGATTGTTCCCGCTGCATGATGTCCTTGCTTGCGAAGTACTTGTGAGCCACAGCCAATGCGGAGTGATCTAAGGATTTGTTAATGGTCTGGCGATCGTCATCGGCAAAGCGCGCCATGGCTTCAAGTGCAGACGGGCCGAATCCCGGAGACTAAGATTTGGTCCATTCCCCGTACGCATGTGTATTCAGACTTCAGAAACTATGCCGTCGATTGCTAAGGCAGCTGACCCACTTTCTGGACCCAGTCACTGGCTCTTTGATGATGGGTGCGCGAGGTGGCTGTGGGCTCGGGGCTTTACCAACTTTGTTTTAGCAAGTCCCAGAAGGTTATTCAGTGGGCTCATGATAGGACTTGGAGTGTACTTGTTTTCAATAGCACTCGGTTCAATTTGCACCAATGCGTGGAAGGCTCCCTAAGCCTAAGCCCCGAAAGCCTGTGTAAACCCTAAACCCCAAAAGGTCCGGGGAGTTTGCCTCCTCGGGGAGGATCCTTTTCGCTCGGAGATGGCCTTGGCCTGATGGTCGAATTTGATAGTCAGTCATGAAGCCATGAAGACATGTTCGGGTTAGACTCAGCCTGTGACCCCAGCAAGAGAAGAAAGGAATCAACCACGGCAAAATTTGCAGAGCTCCGCCAGCTTGCACCAGCCCCGCCGCTGTCTACCGGTACATTCATTGAACCTCACGGGGTTGTAGGACAAGTTCTCTTTCATAGTTACTTTGTTGTACGTAGTCTTGTTGCAAGACTTTCTACCCTTTGTTGTGTTCGTGATTTTCCCTTGGCATCTCTGCCAGGAGCCACAATGTTTGGATTGACAGCGCTGTCAATGCTCCTGGTGCAGCAGCTGCGCAGAGTAAAAGCATGCAAAGACCTTGGCGGACATGAGCGTCATGAATAGGCCTGAATAGGCTGCAATCATCGTAGGTTTTCTCTTAACATTGCGTACACCATTCGCGCGCGAGTGAGCGAGTCGTCACGTATCAGTACCATAGAATTTGCGGCAATGCGAAATGGGACCCTGTGTCCCATGCTATGCGCAAGCCTCCACAGGCATCGGCTCCTAGCAAATGTGCGAGCGCATTTTAAACTCGACGGGAAAGCGTGGTACAGGATCCTCAGCGAATCTGAAAGAGCAGTGAGTCGGCTCGCAATATGTGCGGAACAACACGGGCCGGCAGACTCTGATCAAGTGTGCCAGCAACATGTTTACGCCAGTTCACAATGAAGCCACAGCTTCTGCTAGTAGTATAGGGCCTTTTTGGTACTGGGGCAGATCAACGGCTAGTGTGATCTCAAGACTTCGGAAGGCTTTCGGAGCCTGAGCACAACATCACGTCCTCAAGAGCTGTTGCACGTTGAATGGTGTCAGGCATAACGTTTGGGAACAGACTTTGTCATGCTAAGGTGAAGCTTCTGCCTCGTGTCACGACGGCCGTTCCCTCATCGCTGCTGACCGTGGCCTTCGTGACCCTGCTCACCAAGGTCCGTCAGGTAAGAAGACGGATGATTTGCATGATGTTGCCAAGCTTCAGTGGGAGTATCGAAACTCATGCTTAAAACGTTTAAGATCGTATCCTGCTCGATTCTGCAACTCGAGCTCCAGTTTGTGGGGCTTGCCCTGTTGGGCACCAACCCTCCAGGTTTGTCGACTGCCGCTCGGCTTGAGGCTTGAGAGCTTCGTTCTGCGCTTTTCGCGCAGCTGAGGGTGGCTTCATTTTCATATTATAGGTTTGATTGCAAAGTCCCAGCGCCTCATTCCTGAGCTAAGCAAGGCCCGCCACGACGTTGATGGACATTGCTGGAGCGGAGACTTTTCGAGGAGGCCACACTTCGGCTGAGGTTAGGGTTGATGGCTTGGGGTTTAGGGCAGTTTAGGGTTTAGAGTTTAGGGCTCAAAAGGGTTTGGGGTTTGGTAAAAATCGCACACATGAAGTGCACAGCCTGGCATTTTGCGAGGCCTTGCCATGCTGCCACACGTGGGGCTGCCAGCAGCAACTTGCTTGCGGATATTTCCTGAGTGATGCAAGTAGGGCCGGTAGGCTGCCAGCAGTGCAAGTGTACCTAAAAGCACCACCGCATCCAAGTTGATTGTCTTATGGGGTTTCGGCACCAGAATCCGCAGGTGCCATGGTTGGCCAGTCCCTTGCAGACCTTCGGCCTGCTGCTACCATATGCGGCTACAATGGCTGCAGTAGGCGGGGGCGTGCGATCCCCGCAATGAATGTGCCGAATTACAGTCCATTGTTGTTGCAGTTTTGGTGTAGCTGGCCTGGGTTCCTGATGCTATCATGTTGCACAGGTCTCGTGGAATCATTGCTGACCCTTCAGCTAGTCGATGGGCTCATGGAGGCGTGTGGGCCCTTGGAATACAAGTACCACTTGAAGCAGGTAAAGTAGGGTTTAGGGATCTTGTTGGGCCCCAAGGCTTCTGAAGTCGGTCGCAGGTTTCCGCGCAGTCGCCCCAATCCTGAAAGCCGTGGGAATCCATCAAGTCAAGTCCACCAGCTCCACCTCAAGCGACACCAGGGATCACCACAACTTAGCTTAGGGCACCAAGCGTCAGGCTTTTGCAGCGCCACAGGCTCCTTAAAGTGGGTTTGTGCTGCGGCACGCAACGTCTCCTTTCTAGACTCAAGATGGTAGTTTGAAGTCTTCCGGCAGTTGTCTAAATCGCGGCCTCGAATGAAGTGGCTTCAGATGCTTTGTACTGAAGAACAACAACCGACGATGGAGCCTCACAAGCTGCATTGTTCGGACCAAAAACATGCTAAGCAGAACCACGAAACTAGGCAGCACAGTTGTTCAAGCAGCATGCACATGGAAAGCTATGAACGTGACAAATCCTGGTCACCCGGCTCCCTAAATTTAGAAACAAGACGGGTATCGAGGAATCAAGGCCCTATGACCTTATGGTTTAGGAGACGTGCTGTTCTTGGCAGGACGGCAAAAGAGGCGACACCTCCAAGGTGCACGGGGCAGAAGTTGTGCGTGCAGGATATCAAGGCTTGTGGAAACGGCTTGTCAGCCTTGACCCACTGCAGGAGTGCATCGGCCAGGGCCTGGGCAACATCGCCAGTGGCCTCACTGGAGGTATGGGCGGCTGTGCGATGATTGGCCAAACTCAGGCTCGACTTCAGATAAGGACTCAGTGGCTCGGGGGCGGAGGGAAGGGGGGGGGTGGAAGGACTCAGCAGCTGGGGAGGGGGAGGGGGGGATGTAGCAGCTTGTCCCTGGCCAAGTGATGCAGAATTGCATGCGGTGCATGTGCCAAGTTCTCCTGGCCAGGCGAAGCCCCAGAGCTTTCAAAAGATGTCAAGTTAAGTTATCAAGCACGGAATGCAGAAGCTGGGGTATCAAATCTTACTCTACGCCATCCCATCACTTCTCACTACTGACACAACTGTAGCTGCCATTTAAGGGCACGAACAGTTCAAACCGGCGACAAGGTTTGCAAACTGCTCCAAACACAACATAAATTCCCACTGCCAGAGCGGAAACTCCCCGAGTTTTACGTCAATCAAGCACAATGGATGAAGTGTATACAGCGGGAAAGAAATGAAAGGGATTACTGAGTACAGAGCTGAGAAGGACAGTCGAATTTGTCTGGGACCTTCCTAGATCACTCAGTCCCTTCATGTGCGCGCAACAGCTGGGCTGTGAGAACCTCAACAGCACGAGCTGCCTTTCAATGTGAGAGCATCCGAAGGACAAGTTATTTCAGGTACCAGCATCAAAGTCTTTGCCTTTCTCGCTAAGCCGCAAAAGCTCAAGGTCTCCATGGTGAAGGGGGCCCCAGAATGAGCAGTGAGATTTCGAAGCAGTTGGCAGGTCAATGTCCAAGCTGGTGCCACGTCACGGCTTGCAGGCAGTTGGAGACTGGTGCTACCCCAAATTTAGACTCGCTTGATTTGGGTGTGTTGTTGGGATTCAGCGTGGAGTAGTGAGGCGGCGTACAGGGTGTTGGTGCAGTCAGGGCACAGTATGGGTGGACACAGGGGCCTCCACTTGAGCACAGCGGTGGTTTGCTAATGCTGACGCGTACGTTTCCACAGTTTCCACGGGATTCTTTGCCATCCCTTTGCCCGTGGTTCGGACCCATTTAGAATTCAGCGGCAGGGATTTCAATGGCTTGCTTTCTGGGCGTCGGCATTGTTGCGGCTGCACCAGTGCGTGACCCTTAGACACGGCCCGCTCATGTGCATAGGTGCTTGTTAGCAGGAGCAGTGCATGATCATTGTAGATTGTGTGTGTGTTTGTTCGGCCAAATCCAAGCAGAATCCAAGAGCAGCGCAACTGACACCACAAAGACTGGGCACATGCCAAGCCCTGGACGAACAGCATGATGGCATAGAGGCCCACAGTACTGTAACCTTGAGTGGAGTCGGCACTTTGGGGTTGAAGCGATGAAGGCTGAAAGCCCGAACTTGTGTGCTCGCTGGTGTTGTCGAAAAGGTTGAACCAAGCAATGCATCGCAGGAAAAGGGAACGGAGTGTTTGCGAACGTTGATGTGTTGGCTTGAAGACATCCCTGCGATGTGGATTCGCCCTAGCTGGGCAGGAGGGAAAAAGTCCCTGAGATGAGGTTGAAGAAAAAATGTCAGCACGAGGCTTCGCGCTTCGCGAATTACTTCATTTCCAGCTTACCCACAACAACGGAAGCATCAGCCCCCAAAAACCCGCTCGTCTCCCCAAGGCTTGGGCAGGTCCCAGTTGCTGCCTTGGTGGGCATCATGTACCTCGGCTGCGATGCCATTTTGCAGTGTTCCGCTTTTGGCGATCAAAAGGCTCGTGTGGTCTTGACTCCATACCCAGCTCCGCCTCTCCTATGGAGGCAGCACAGAAGAGTAAGTCATAGATGAGTCAAAGAGAACGATGGAAGGCTGTTGGTTTAGGTTGCATAGAAAAGGGTGGAGCCATGTTTCTACTGTCGCTTGCCAGTATTTCGATTGGACGTCCTGTTTTTCCTTTTTACTTTGGAGTTCAATAGAAAACGATGTCCTTGCAGATTATGCCTTTAAAGCTGTACGAGGCGTCCTGTTGAGCTAAGTAAGCATTGCATCTGATGTTAAGAAGTATTTGCAGTATAGTGGTTGTGTTTTAGAAACGTAAACCTTCGAGAATGCCGGAATGTAATCACAAAACCAACGGAAGACTTCTTAAGACGTCTTGTAGGCCCTGGACCTTTCTCTCCCCCCCCGGTTCACCACCACAAAGGAAATTTGAAAATCAAATTCACAAACAAACTGCGCCCTCGGGGTGCGCGAGGATGCATGTCAAGGATGGACAGCCTGGACCGCATGCCACAAGAAAAGGAAAGAGAGCCCAAGAGAGAGGTAGCAAGCCACGATTGGAGTAGTGTGGCGCTGGTGTAATCGATAACCTCAGATTCACCGACACTTCCTGAAACTTGCTTGAATTTGGGGCTCGAATGGGGCGATTACCTATTGTGGCCTTCCCCTTCATTGCTCGTGGCCACCTATGCCACAAGACATCTCCCGACTTCTCTTGATCCTAGTCCGCCGTAAGGCGAAGTATCCGTGTTCGAATTTCTTCAGCATGTCTTTCAACCATTCAGGCTTTTTGAAATCAATTGCCGGCTTGGTAAAGCATCACCTCCATGCTCTCATAGAGAAAGAGAAAGCAGGGTCGAAGCTTGTGGCCATCTGCAGATGCCGCCTGTTGACCAAGAAAGCCTGGAATGGCAACTCAGGTTCGTGGTGTGCCAATCGACATTCGCTTGGTCAAGCCTCCGCATAATGAGCCGCCGGGCGATGTTGAATGGATTGGTTAGAACTGCTCTGAATGTGTTTTGGGCCATTTGGTTGACAGATCACGGTGCTTGCAGCATGCATCGTTGGGCGACGGGTTCTAGACACCATCTTGCACGAAAAGTTGTTTGAGATGTGTCTCTGATGCGGTCAGGGGGTAACATATCTTCCTGGAAGGAAAGGTGCCTCGATCCGATGCAGCGGTCATCGTGTTGGTGTCACTGGCTCCTGGGTTCAATTGGGTATCCAAGTTGGACGCTTGAGGAAGGCGTTCCTCCAAGGAGGGTTCGGGTCGTTTAATGGCAGCTCTCTGGGTCTCCTACCAGAGAATCCTGCAGAGAATTGCTGGAATGCCCGACCCCCCTTCCCCGACATCCGATATGCGGGATATCATTTCCCCACAGTGCTGCGAACACATGGCAAGAGCCGTCCAGGCTTCACTGGCTTCTGTCCAAACATCTTGTTCGAAGCAGTAAGCCCTAAGAGCCGTAACCCAAAGTTTTGAGGTATGCTGCAAGGGACACCGGAAAAGGGTTTGGGGTTTAGGGTTTCGTGCAGTACCCAGCTTGCCTGGAGCGGAGCCCGGGTTTCAAACAGGGTGTCGGGTCTGGGGTTTAAGTGTTGAAGCGGTGCGGTTGGGAACTAGTGCTGATGTTGGTGGTGGTCGCGGGGGGATAGGTAAAGGGATGCCTTCCCATGGCCCTTGCAGCAGGCACTTCGGAGCTAGGCCCCAGGCTTCAAAATAGCAAGGCATGTCCCGTGACGGTTGTGGAAACACCGTTATGGGAGGTATCAAGAGGGCAGCACACTCTCAATTCCTAAATCTGAACAGGCGCGGCAGCGCAGACGCTAGGAATACCTATCCTCCCTGGGCTGCACGCGGAACCATTCAGGCTGAAAGCAACAAACGCGGCGTTGCAGCATGAAGCCATGAAGTCCAGGTCACGGTGGTCAAAGACTTGGCCATGGCCGTGGTAGCTGGAACCATCCTCTCGGTCACCAGCCTGCATAGCCGCATAGCACACAATGTGAGACATCTGGAAGAAGATGCCTCGCAGGGTGCATCGGTTTGCAGTTGGCAGGCGTGAAATCTAAGGGGCTTCTTGAGACTTAGGACTTTTGAAAGATTTTGGGCTTTAGGGCCTTTAGGTGGAAGCTTTCCCGTCCTCTGAACCGGAGGGCTGTGTGCACAGGCAGCTCTATCAGCTAGTGATGAAGCAAGAGGTCGGTCCTGACTGATCTTCGTGAAGACCATCTGTGCAGAGGCAGTTCACAGCAAAGTCAGCTCGGGAGCAGTTGTCAGTCAGAAAGCTCTGGGTTGACGGGGTCGCATATGGCTCCCGTGTCAGACGTGACCGTGTTCCCAGGCTTTGGCTTTCTCCTGGCAGCAGAGTACCAACCTGAAGGCCGAAACGCAGGCGCCCAAAACAGATAGCTTTCTGGCAGCTTGTGATGGGCCTGGGAGCCATCAGAGCGTCGTCATTCTCATCAGCTAGTTCATTCTTATCTACCATGTTCTGACATGTACGTAGGACCTACGTAGGAACAGCCGTTTCGGCCATGAATTCTCGTGCTACCCAACAGCAGGCACTTGACCGCTGAAGATCTTTGACTCCCACCAGTGCTGGTTAGAACATACCAAGAATATCCAAGAAGAACCACTGCGGTTCGACCTTGCCACTTCTACGTGAGTATGATGTCGCCTGTTGCTGCAGGTCAAAGGTGACTGGAAGACTTATCGACTCAGAGGCTTGCTCTTCTTCGGATCGACTCAGCAGTTTTCAGAAGCTTGCCTGGACTTGGCACATTTGGGTTGCAAGCTTTGCTTTTGTTCAATACCAGTACTGTCACGGGGGATGAAAAGTGCTTCTGAAGCACTGCGTTTTCCACGGAGCGGAGTCTAGTGTAGACTTTCGCAGATTGCCCAACATTGTTCCTGCATAGCATGCGATATGAGGACATCTTCGCGGTGCAGGAGGACCAGCTGGCAGCACATGATGTGTAGGACTTATGTATGCAATGTAGGCGGCTTAAATGAAGGCTTCTTTAAACTCTTTCGAGTCACGCTGCGCTGGCCTACATCCCCTGCAGGATCCCGAGGATGTCATCCTTGATTTTGCCGAGTCGCGGGTCCTTGATCACTCTGCGCTCGAGGCGTGCTCTGCTTCGGGAAGCTTTCGTTGGTACTAGCATTTTCGAGTTTGTAGCTAACTGCATAGATGGAGGGGCCAGATTACATTAGAATATGCTGGTCAAAACCAGCAAACTAGTAGGCCTTCTTCTTCTGATGCTCCCTAATCATGTTTAATTCATGCGGCCGCCCTTTCTATACTTTGCCATCAATTGTTTGCTGCAAGTTGAAGTAAGCAAACAATCGCAATGAAAGATAAACATCATAATGGTCTTTGGCCTTTCCCTACTTTTATTGTAGCTATCATGCTGTTGGATAAGGGGCTTTACGGGACAGAGACCAGTCGTGGATCGTTTGCATCCCTGCAAAGAGGTGTGAGGCTGACCAAGGGCAACCACCGCCAAGCATGCTCAAAGTCAACCTCCAATGACCATTGAAACTATGACAGTCCTGGAACCAAGCCATCCCAAACCGTTTGTGCTTTCAGAGTCTCAGGCCATAAATTCCTTGGCCGCCTCCTATGGTGCTTCGACTGCAGCAAGCAGGATTGAAGTTAAGCCCGCTCCCACCAATCTTCAGTAGGAGTTCTACGAACAATCACCCGCATCCGAGTCTGAACCCACCATTACATGAGCTCACAGGATACCTTGTGCATCGTCCATCTGGCGAGTAGGAGCGACTAGGACTGGGAGCTCAGGCAACTGGGAAACCTTGTTGACCTTGACCAGAGCCCATTGCAGGCCCCTAGCAGCCCAGAAGGCTCAACCCTTAAAAAACATCCCGAGGCGAGCTGGGAAAGCGCCTGCATCTTCGCCACTTGAGCTCGGACTGCGCTGGCCTCTTGGAGCGGCTCAATGGTACCTTGGGCTGAAAGTTGGACCGGGATAGATTTCACGAGATTTGACGAGGTGCTACGTTTGCGTGGCTAAGGAACAATGCCTCCGTATGAGATCGTTGAGGCCGACCCAGAGACGGACCCGATCTACGAAGTCGCAGAGGATTCCGCACTTGGGAAACGACACATGCCAGTTACCAGTTTCCCATTCTTGGGCATGAGATGCATCTGCATGAGCCTCAGGGCTTGCCCGGATATCGCTACATCTTGTGATGCTGTGGCACTCAGACGTCCTCCGCTGGAGAGGACAACAAGTTCTACAAAGATCTAGCTGCCCCGAGCTCAC